CCAACAATATTCATTCATTGATTAATCTCTCGCACGATTGAGTAATTCATTTGTTGTAATAAAATAAATTTCATTGCTCAAACCGGCTCAAACAAGACAAATAATCATCGCTTGCTTTGCCCTGTGCGGATTTGACAATTTTAATCTGTGATCTGAAAAATCTCAAACGGAAGATTCGCTGCTCGGAGGGAAATCGATCTGTGTGTGCATTTGAATAACTGCACTTGCGATGCGCCGGAGACGGTGCAGGAAAAGAAAAGGAGGCTTTGTTGAAACCGAATCCGTCGCCGCCGCCGCGATCTGTTGTTGACGATTTCTTTGACCCTTGGGAAAAATGCGCTGATAAAGTGGCCGCGCGCGAGTAGCGGCGTTGGGAAAGAACAGGTTTCTCTCTCGCGATTGGGACACGTGAGGGAGGGATGGCGCAAATTGAGCGACCCCGCCGCCCGCCTCAATCAACACGACAATTTTCCAATTGAAGGGGCTCTTTGTTATCAATGGTCAGTTCGTTATACAACAATCGTGCCAAGGTCCACTTTTGTGTTTGCCAGAGGAAGCCACTTGCGAAAAGTTTCAAACCAACTTTCGCTCTCTCGCTAATTCTCCTCGCAAATAAATACATATTTTTTGGGATTTTCCCTCAAGAGCCAAAATTCCACTGCGATGAGAGAGGTTTTGCTTAGCTCTTGCCAATTTTCATAATTACACGTTTCGCAAGCCGAGTTTTTGGCTATTCTAGATTCTAGACACGCGCAAATTGTACGTTTTGCTTTTGATTCCATTAATTTTAATTTCAGCCTGTCAAGACTGCAAAAAATTATGCATAAGAACTCGTATTTTAGCTCCAGATTTGATACGTCTGCTCATTGAAGAACAGTTTTTTACAAATATTGTTAAATTAATGAATTTATTTTTTATTGTATTTTCGAGTGACGAAGTTAATTTTTTTCCATTTAAAAATAAGATATACTTCAGGCAACCTCGAGGAAAACTTATTTATAAAATCCCATTAAAGCAGATTTGTTTTATTTTAATTCAATTCTCGAGATTAATATCTGGATTTAAAATGCAATCCCTCAATATAAGCTTTCGAATTAAATTAAGTTTAAATCTTTGAAAAGTTCCCTTTGGTCTTTGACGGTGGCAGGAATTGCACGCAAGGGGAATCCAAACGAACTGAAGAAATGCGCGGTTGTGCCGAGTTCGAACAGGATGCGCTGCAATGAGACGTCGCTCAATAAGAAAAATTATAAAATTAAATGCGATTCGCGAGAGACAGAGCACGATAAATCATGGCTCGGTGCAGTTTATTTTCACGTGATTCGTCATAATTAATTCGAATGCATCTGCGCGCGGCGACGAGCGTGCCAAGTGCAGCAGTCAGTGACCTTGTTTGGAGCCGCAGGGGTCACAGTTGACAATTTACGAGAGGTTGTTAGGCGGCCGCGTGTACCATCTGCCCGTTTTTTCTGTTTCACCGTCGCCAAGGATTCGTTCGTTCGAGAGCAATGCCTACTTTTTTCCCAAGGCCCAACTCTTTTCACGCGCCGCCCGGCCGGACGGGGACCCCCTTCATTACAAATTCATTCCTCCTCCTGTGGCGGTCCTAGTGCTGTCTTTTGGTTTGCCAAAAAATTTCACCATCGATCCAACAAAAGCTGCGTTTAAAAACAAAAAAATTAACGTTGCATTGAAATAAAGAAGGGAAAATTGATAATTTCATCATGTTTGACCTTTCGTAAATGACGTTTGAATTAATTACTGTAAGAAATTCAAGTAATTAGTAGAAACCTACTGACAAATTTTATTTAAATTCTTCAATTTTAAATGGAAATCAATCAAATTTAATGAATAAATAAAAAGTAATGAAAAAGCCTCTTCTTCTAATTTTTAATTGGGTAGTGGTATTTGGACCGAATAGACTTTGACCGAATGGCCTGAAGAGGACATTGGCCGAATGGACATTGTCCGAACGACTTTGGCCGAATAGCTTTTTGACATTGACCGAATAGTTCAACCCCCAAAAGGATTTTGACCGAATAAAATCGACTCATAAAACCAGTTTTTTCCAAACTTTTTACATCAATCCCATGCGTGTTTAGGGGTGCCGTTTATAGGGAGTGTGTCACTTGATCCAAAATGTTGGGTAAGGCTGTCAGGATTCCAAGTGTAAAACACAACAAAACTGTTTTATATCATGAAGTTATTCTTTTACCACTACAATCGGCGGTTGGAAAGGCTGGGTACAACGTTGTAGCGTTGTAAATTACGAAGTTGCAAAGACCGAGGAAAAATTTTTGATGAAAGTGACAAGTGACTTTGTCGTCAATTCGCCACATGACCCTCACCCTGTTAATCCAATGAAAGAGAAGGTCAGCGAGCTTCGAAAAGCCATCAAAGATCGGGTTGTGACTGAAGGAACCGGAGGAATGAAGGCAATTTTCTGCAACAATTTATGAACAATCCTCGAACATCGAAGCTTCTTGAAGAAGGGCACATAAATCCTACAGATTTTTTGGAACAGCATACCACTTCACCTAAAATCCAGCTAGGAGTGAACTGAAAGATGCAGACAAAGAAAACTTTGAAGAGGAAACACCTGCACCTAATGAGCCAAGGAGAAGAAGAATGAGAGTCTGACTAGACCATTATCTACGTAGAATAATGACGATAACTTTTATGTAAAAGTGATAAAATACCTAGTGAAATCAAAAGGTGACGATTCAAAATAAAGCATCATTTTGGTCTCAGAGTTGTTAGTGTGCGTGTGTTTTTTCTTTTCTAATTAGTGTAGAGTTGTGTCTTTGTTTGTGTTGTATAAAGCAGTTTTAAAGCCAAGTTCTGATTGCACAGTTTCAGTAAATCTACGTAAAAACCTCAATCTAAAACATCATTTTGTTCACTCATTCATTCGGTCAAAGTCCCGCATCTGGAATTTTATTCGTTGAAAGTCCATTCCGTCAATGTCCTAGAAGGGTATTTTTAAAATTCCCATTCGGTCAATGTCTATTGGATGCATTCGGTCAATGTCATTCGGTCCATATATGTGTTCCCTTTTTAATTCATCCGAACTAACCTTTCTTCTTCTAGTTCACTGTTTAAAAATCAATTTTATTATTTTTCAAAACCGATTTTTCAACATTTTCACTCTAAAACCAAGATACATGGCGCATCTGTTGGCTTTTTTGGATTATTGTTTGGGTTGCCCATTTTTTAGGAGCACAAATCTTTATATTTTGACCTTTTGCCAGGGTTAATGACCCTTAACCCACAAACTTGGTGTCTACAGAGAAAATACCTTGGTTTCATTAGCTCGAACCTCGCACCGAGAAAATTAAAAAATTTATAATAGAAATTAATTTAGTAAACCCTTATTTGCATCTTTGGTGGCCATACTGGAATTCGGCAAATATAACTTTTAATTACTTTTGGGAATTTTAAGAACCAAAAATATGATTTTGCAGATATTTATATAATTGAAAGTGCTAAAATATTAGCTTGATTTTTCTTTGAATCGAAGAATCAACTTCGCAGCTAAAAAACGAGTTAAAATTTTGATTGAATTTGAATAATCAACGCCGGCCGCAGCAGAATCAAAAGCAGTATTTGGATTAAACGCGGCTAATGATAATTTGAAGCGAGAGAGGAGACGGCAGGCGGGCGCCACTGCAAGGGGCATTAACCAAGCCGACGGGCACGCAGCGATGCTGTAATTATTCCTTCTTTCGCTATTTCCTGCGCGCCGTTTTCTTCCATTACACCTTTCCGATCGCCGCTTGCTTTCTTGTCTAATTACTTTAGTGTGCATATAAAAATAAAGCAGAACTCTGGTGTCGGTGCGAAACGGGCCGAGCTTCTTGGTACTGCCGAGTTCCTTGAAAAAAATCGCCAAGGAGGAAAGGCGCCGCGAGGAACCCATTTTTGCTCAAAAGAAATTGCAGCCCAACGGAAAATTAAGTGAGCCGAGGGAACGCGATCAAAAAACCGAGTTTAAAAAAAAAAAACATTTAGTAAAAATTAGTCTGCGTTGATTAAAATTCAATGCAACGAGAATCTCCAAGATAGTTCGTAAACCTGGATAGAAACTAGAACAACAACTCTGCCTATTATGATGGTTGCAACACGTTCAAAAGCAAAAACCGTTAAAATGAACTCAATTTGAATGACGTCTGGGAACTTTGCAGAACGACAAGCTTTCCTTATTTATTTTCAAAATCGAGCCGAGCAATTAAAATAAGTAAATTGTCCCAAAGAACGACGCATTTGTAACAATTTTGAAGTGTTAATAAAAAATCCAGATTCAAATTGTAAGTGGAAATTTGAGATATTGAATAATTCGCGTTTGGCTGCGATTAATTAATTTGTGGGCAGACGCGCTTGGGCGCCAAACAGGGAAACCGATCGCGGGTCGGCCATAAATTAATCACGTGGCCGCGCTCGGATTAACAACAATAAAAATGGACCACCTGCGGCTCGGGTCGGCCTTGCCCTCTGCGCGCGCTGGCTTCCGTACCGTTGGCTTCGATTTTTCGATTCACATTTCCATTCAAAATTACGGTGGCGAGTTGCGTATGCAAATCCCGAGATCGTCTTTCGACATGCACGGAATGTGGTTTGCGGCGTGCATTTGAAAATCAGAACACGACCTGCAAGATCTTTGGGTCTCGCGCGTTGAGCAAAAGTTGAAATTCCCCGGTGACTCAGGCAGGTGGAAAGAAAAACCAGATCTGCTCCGATTCAGTTTTATTTATTGGCGATGCGCGAAATTCATGGGAGAAGGACGACCAGTTTTGGCGTTTTCACTCGCAATAGAATTGACAAACACGAATTAAAATTAACTTAATTAAATAATTTTAATTTCTTGAGCACATATTTGAGAGAAGATTTAAAGGAAGATTTTGGTTGGGAATCGAGGCGAGGAAATGCAGTCGGTTCGAAGTGGCGATCGAGATAATGGCGAGCTAGTCGTGGCTGGGAACTGAATGACTGCAGCGAGTTGCGTTTAGATCCCTACCATGGGGCCAAGTCCCGCCTTCTGTGGTGCTGCCTTTAAAAGGAGTCGCGGGGGCCAAAGGAGCTCAGATTCATCTCGGCCGAGGCAGTTGGCAGACAGTGCAGTGTTTTCAGTGAGCTCACAAGGGTTAATTGCAAAAGAGGTGAGTCCTTTTTTCCACGACTTAAGGTGATCGGGCGTGCAAGTCACCGCTCGGCAATTAATTTCAACGCCGCGGTTGCGCAAAAAATCCACATCGCACCCTCCTCCGAGTTCAGCCGAGGCAAAAACTGGTTTGGCGCCATTAGCGGTTCACTCAACTCAAGCCTGCCTTAATCGCGTAATTATTCTCAAGCCTGCCATTACCAATGTCACGGCCGTTCTTGCTCAACGCACGAACCCGCTTTTATTGCAGCCTGTCGCAATTAACCGTCCGTCCACTCGCAAACAGTTGCGAAAAGTAAAGCGCACTTTGCGAAAACAACCTTCGAAATCACGCAGGATATCGCACGAGATCTTCCTCTTTCACGCCGGGCTGCCTTTTGATTCCTTTGAATGCGTCGCGATTGTTTGCAAATCCTTCCGATTTCCACACAATATGAGATTTACTTAGTTTTTTGTTTTTTAATTAGAAAAACTTGACTTTTTTGTGATAAAAAATGTTTTCTTTTGACTGTTGCAGGCAAAATGAAGTTGCTCGTGGTGTGCCTGTTTGCGGTTTTAGGCGCTGCCGTCGCGAAGCCCGTCGAGGGTGACCAGGTCAAGGTCAAAGAGCCCGTGCCGCTGATCGTGAGCGACTACTCGAGCGTGGTCAAGGACGACGCGTCGGCCGCGGCGGCCCCCGAGAAGAATCTGGCCGCCGCCGTGCAGGTGGTGCCCGAGGAGGTCCGCGCCGAGGAAGAGGTCAAGGCCGCCGAGTCGACCGAGGTGCCCGCCGCGGCCACCGACGCCCCCGCCGCCGACGACAAGGAGTTCGCCGAGGAGGTCGAGTCCGAGGAGAAGCTGCTCAAGAGCGTGCCCGCCGAAGAGGCCGTGGCCGCCCCCGAGGAGGCCGTCGTGGCCGCCGAGTCGGCCGTCGACGAGGTGCGCAAGGAGGAGGCGGAGGAGGTCGCCGTGACCACCGAGTTCGCCGCCGCGAGGACGGCCGAGGAGGAGCAAGACGGCGAGGTCACCACCGAGCCCTCCGCCGAGGACGCCGCCAGCCGCAAGGTCCGCGACGCCCCCGACCAGGAAAAGACTGAAGAGGCGACCGAGGCCGAGGAATCGACCACCCCCAGCAGCTCCTCGTAGACACACACGTGCAACCCTCGATCACACGCGCCAACCCAAAGCCGTCTGACAAATAGATTTTCGCCCCCTTAATTTATTTCCGCAACACTTTCAAGCTAGGAAATCTATTTCTTGTCATTCCCGGGCTTTATTTTTACTGTTTTCCATCCAATCCTTTAACAGCAGCCGAGCGTCTGCTAAATTAGCGAAATTCGACTCAACTAACACAGAGTATATTTTAGCAAGTGTGATTTCAGACGGTGCAACATTTCCGACGTGTACGTTAAGTTAAGAATGTATTTATGAATGAGAAGAATAAAACTTTTTTACAAAAAACCATGCTTGTGCATTAATTGACTTTAAAAATGAATATTCACGAGGGAAGAGAGATAAGAATTTAATTAAAAACAGCTTCGCATCCTCCAAAAAAGTGATTATTTTAATAGCGTACGTCATCGCGAAAGTCGTGTGCCAAGGTCGCCTCCGAGAATGCGGAAAGTTGTACCTGCGCGGGCCGTCCCTTCTTCTTTTCAAGTAAACACATTTGGTTTGGCCAAGCAATTAGCTTGTGCGAGCTCAAAATCGAAAAGTCTCAAATGGAACATTTGTTTGCTTTGTTTTATTGGTTGTTGCAATTACTTTAGACTTTTTCTCGGGTCGTTAGAAGCAGCGGACGAAGCTACAAGGTCGTCTCGATTGCAAGGGGCGGACGGCCTCTAAAATCGGCGGCGACGGAATCAATAGTTTTCTCGGCGCGCGTCAACGCTCCGCCAGCAGACAATTGAATCAAGTGCGGTCAGAATTTTAATCGGCCGTCGTTGCACTTAAAAGGCCGGCGTGCTTTCCTGGTTCAACGTTTCGTCCGGAGCAAGATCAAGTTCGAGCGCATCGTTAGACAGCTCAAATATATTAGGTAGTAATATCTCCTTGCTTGCTTGCACGCCGCCAGCTCCTCACGTGATTTATATTTATATGCTCCGAGAAAACCCGTTCTTTTTATGCGCGCCGATAACAAAGTGAGTCCGGGATGCGTTCATTAAAATACAAGACCTACATTTCTCAAATAATTCCCACAGGCCAGATCTCGAGTCCCTCTTCTGCAGGACAATTTAACTATTTACACGGCCGCGATTTAAAAATTAACCGTCCATTTTTAATTTTTTGAATGAGTTGCGAATGGAGCATAAAAATTATTTTGAAAAAACTCACGTCTCCTGTGATGAGGCAGAAGGCGATGATTCCCAAAGACCACCAGTCCACCGCATGCCCGTAAGGCTCCATGCTGACCAACTCGGGTGCTGCAGTCAAATCGAAATTGGCACTCGAATAAATACTCAACTTGCCACAAACCCATGTACCGGACGGTCCCGCACAAGGTCCGCGTGCGCTCTCCGTGTTTCAGCCACTTGGCCATTCCGAAATCGATCACTTTGAGGTGTCCGCTGGCGTCGACCATCACATTTTCCAATTTGAGATCACGGAAAATAACTCCAGCGTTGTGCAGGAAATCTGAATTCATTAAATCAGACCAAAATTAAAAATAAACGCAGCCAATTACCCAATGCAAGTGCCAGCTCTGCAATGTAAATTCTTGAGAGTTCCTGAGGAAGTGCTCCGTACTTTTGCCACAGCGCCAGCAGTTCGCCGCCTGGCATGTATTCGCTGACTAGAATTTGCAGATAAATTAAGAATCAAGTGGCGTTTTGGTAAATTTACCGATAAATAACTTCTTTCTGCTTTGCCAGTAAAACGGACAGTTGAGGATGAAGGGGTGGTGACCACACATGGACTGGATGCTGACTTCGTTTTTAACTTGATTGACCCCACTCTCGGATATCAACTGGAATTTGAAACTGAAAAAGGGTGTTGCGCCTCAAGCTGAACCTGTACCTGCGACTTGGAGAGTACTTTGAGTGCGAATTGCTCGCCCGTGTCCCTCTTCCGCACGTGGTACACCTTGCCGTACGATCCACTCGCTAGGCTGTTGAGCAACTTTTGTTCAAACATTTTATTTTAATATAAAGAAAAGGAAAACGAAGCGTACTTCAAAACTATGCTCGTTGACGTCCGTGCCAATTTTGAATTCAGGCAAAAAGGCAGCTTCGATCAAAGGCACCGGCCACGCAGTTTTTGCAGCCTCGAACTTGTCATTCAAAGTCGACTCTCGCCACCTGCATGCACACGTGGTTAATAAATAAACAGAGCACCTGCCAAGTCCGAATCAAACCTGTGTCTGGACACTCGAGACCAGGGCCTGGACACGCTGTAGGTCGACTGAGTGCTGGCCGAACTCCAAGACCTGAAGCATCCACTGCCTGCCGTCGACAGGCCCGAAAGGTTGTACTGGAAAAACAAATGAAAGTTAATTTCCTTTCAATACAAGCAGAGTTCGAATAATTGAGTTTTTGGCAGGAGTGAAAGAAATGGACTGGTTTGCACTGCAAAAATATGCTTTATTTAACCTAATTGGCGAAGTAAAAACGACATTCAGTGCTTTGATCCGACTTAAAATCAAACTTACACTTAACAATGGAAATCAGAGACAAAATTGTGAGACTAGTTAAGTAAAATTCAAGCATCGGTGGAAACGAGCTCCCTGTCGGAGAGCGAGATGGACGGCTCGGACCGGGTCCTCTGCTGGAAGAAGGAGGACTTGGCGACGAGGTCGTCGTCGTCGTCCTCGTTGTCCGACTCGGGCGGCGTTTCCTGCGACTCGTCCTCGGTGAGGGGCCGCGCGTCCAGCAGGTTGCCGAGGCTGGCCAGGGTGACGTTGCTGTTGGTGAGGATGGCCGCGGGGCTGGCGCAGGGCGTGAGGGGCTTGTCGGGGAAGGAGGCCATCAGGTCGCACGCCTTGCCCAGGATGACGAGGCTGTTGAGGATGCGGAAGGAGGCGACGCAGAGGTAGGCAAGGACGAGGAGGACGAGGCCGGCGGGCGAGTCGACGTGCAGCGCCTGCACCAGCACCCTGATCATGACCACGCCCAGGGGCAGCGGGATGAAGCCCATGCGGCGCGCCACCAGGTCCGAGTGGTCCGAGACGGCGTGCTTCTGCCGCGTCTGCGCCGTGTCGAAGGCCAGGCTGGCCGTGTAGTCGCGGTACACGTCGTCCAGCAGCTCGTTGAAGCGCGTGATGAACGCGTGCTTGACCCAGTCGACGAACACCTCGGCCACCAGCACCATCACGCAGTCCGGCAGCAACACCCAGAAGCGCTCCTCGCGCCACGAGTACTCCTTCATCGTCTGCAGCACCACGATGAACAGCAGCACGAATAGGTGGAACCTTTCCCGCACGTCGCTGCACGCAACCTGCAAAATAAATCATGCAAACAATCAGTTATTTCTATGCTCGACACGAAAAATGACAGTTTCTTTGCTAATAATGAACAATTTTGGTTCGATGTCAACAAAATGATTTCAGCAAATTAAATAAACTAAAAATTGGACTATAGTTTAAAAAATCAATAATTTTATAATAAATCATGACGCATATTGTTGACAAAAGGCCACGAGTGGTTAAAATGCATTCCGACCAAAAGGTTTGGACAAAAAGCGATCTGCCTTGTAATCCTTACAAAAGACTTGGGCAAGAAGCATATTTTTTAAGAATCGCGTGGAAAAGAAAGCTAGAAAAATGTGTAAAATACATGCTTCAAAAAAACTATCAAATTTAAAAAAAGAATCAATAATTTTCAATTGCAAAAAACAAAATCAAATTTAATTTTTTTTTAGTTCAAATTTATTAAAATTTTAAATAATTATTAAATTTAAAAGCAAAATATTGATTAATTTCATTTCAATATTTTAACTAATAAAGAGTACTTTAACCAGCAGTTCATTAAGTTGGCTGGTATGGCAATTTAAATTGATATATTATATGATTTCATGATTTTTTTTTTTAATTACATTGTAGAGGACAAATATAAATACATATAATGCTACTTGACAGAGACAATGAGCAGCATATTAAAGTTTGGGAAAATGTGGACTTAATTAGTGCAAATTATCTTTTAGTTTTTACAATCTTTTCAAATTTGAAGTTTCAAAATAATTTAGAAACTATTGATTAAATTTTAAAATGTCATTTGTTTAATAAAAGCACTGAATATGTGTGGAAAAGTTTTCAAGACAGAGCGCTTTTTGATCAAACGTTCTGGCCCAAGAATGCATTTTGTCCACGCCTGGCCTTTTGAAAATATCAACGCCATATTTTCCAAACAAGTCGTTTCCAGTTTATAATTTTTATGGGAAGCCTTGCTTCATTATCTCTTAAAAAAAAACATATAAATAGACCAAACTGAATGCTATTTTTTACTTCAGCAGATTCAATAACTCGAGACTTAAATCTGCAGTTTTGTACAACAGTTGGGAAATATTTTTTGCACTTGAATGTGAGGCTGCAAAAACATGTCATTCACAAATATGTTAAAAGGATTTGAAATTAAAAAATTGCCAGACACAATTATTAGATCTACTTGATGCGATTAAAAGATGAATATTACGTAACAAAAACGTCAATTTCAATTTAACACTTCACAGGAGTTACTCCTTGCTGCTTAAGAAGCAATAGAATCCCTTATAAAAATTAACTTTTCGTCCAAGCCTTTTGGGCGAGCAGGCTTTTGTCTTGATAAAAGGCCTTTTGACCTAGCACAGAGTGCTTTTTTTTTAAATGAAATAAGCATTATAAGAGAAAATACAAACCTGGAAAAGGTTGTTCTTGTCAAACTTTTTGAAAACGCTTCCTTTGAGCTCGACGAAATTGTTGGACATCATGATGGTAAGTAAGGCTTTGTTGCTTGAATTGATGGCCACATTCAGAGTGGTTGCCTGAACAAAACAAAATTAACAACAATTACAAAAGAATGGGAGCGCAGACCTGGAAGAGCACCAGCAGGCTGTGCAGAAAGACGTAAATGGCCGCAAAGAGGAGGTGCGGGACGAGGCCAAAGTGCTCCCTCTTCCTGCCCCGCGGCTCCGTGGCCGTCCAGAGCAGGGCGTCGATCGTGTCCTGGCCGAACGCAGAGAACAGCCGGTCTCCCACCTCCAGCATGTTGTAGAAGATGTACAGCTTGATGATGGACTGCGACTTGATCAGGTGGTACATCATCGAGGTGTCGATGTAATTCATCGCCAGGCAGCACACGAGCATGATGATGCCCTGAAAGAAATTCGTATCAAATTACTTCTTTGCTCAACTCTCTTCAAATTACAAAATAGGCACTTGAGATTCAATAGTCTTTTGCAACAATACGCTTTAAATTTAAAAAAGATCTCGATTGTTGCCAGAAATTCTTGATTATGTATTCAAAAATCATACCTTGAGGGCGTCGCAGACCTCGGCAGGTTTGAGCAGTGCGAGTTGTCCAAAGCAGTGGTGGAAGGGTCGGACGAGGATGGCCCAGAGCGCCATGACGAAGCGCACGGGCAAGAAGGTGAAGACGAACAGGAAACTGTCCGCGCACTGGAAAAAGCCGTAGGCCATGAACTTCTCGACCTCGCGCGGGATCTTGAAGAACGAGTAGATTTTCTCTCGCTTGGCCGTGAAGCGGTCCTCGTCCTGCTCCAGCAGGTAGTCGCGGGTCAGCTCGACGCGCAGAAAGGTCGCCAGGGTGACCGCGGTCTGCTGGAGGTCGTCGCGGCGCCGCCGCGGCCGAAAGTCGTCCGTCTGCCAGCGTCGCAGCGGCGGCCGCCGAATCATGAACTCGTCCTCCTTGTCCATCGCGTCGAAGTAAATTCGCCGCTCCGCATCCCTTCGATCGCCGCTCATTTGCAGGCAAACATCGGACACGATCTCTTTCCTTCGAACTTCGAAGCCAAGTCGATCAGCTGGGCCGCGCGATTCCCCCCCCCCCTTCCCACCCCACATGCGCATAAATTCTCTGACAGGTGCCGTCCTGGTGCCGTCCGATAAACAAACAACTTTGAGCGAATTCGGACACACCTTGGCCGCCGATGAATTCAAATTTTACACACACCTCTCAATCGGACGACCGACGAGTTAAATAAAAACTTAATAAACAGAGAAAGTTGCGTAATTAAAGCAGGTTTTAATTTAAAATACCTCGCTGGAGGATCGACGGTGCCGCTGGTTGAAGGCGCCGAGGCCCGCGCAGCCGGCGGTGACGGCGCCGGCGTCCCGCTGCTGGACGTTGCCCATCTGCCGGTCTCGCGGTCGGCGGCGAATTTGGCGTCGGCTCCCGAATCGAGCGAAAAGCGAAACTTTCACACACTCATTATTTTCTAGTTTTCCCACCCAGCATGACGTCACGCCCGAGCACTGCAGATGGCAGCACTGCCTCGCTTCCTGCGCCACGCCCCCTTTTTTCGCAGATCGCCATCTCGAAAAATGGTGTCCGCTACCCTTGTCAGGACGATCGTCACCAACTCGGCCCTCAGGGCGGGCGTGCAGAGCAGCGCCGCCACCGCCGGTGGTCACGGAGGTGATTCCGGAAGCCCCTGCCCCTTTTTAAATGGCTTGAACCGCCCTTTCCCCCCTCAAATGCCCGAATTCGTCACTCGGAAAATCGCCTTCTTCGATCGATCGTTTTCTAACATGACTTTGTTTTCGCCCTTCAAGGTGGTTGGAAGGTCTGGAGGAACATTTCCTTCTTCGTCGCAATTCCCAGCGTGGCTCTGTGCATGGTGAACGCTTATCTGCGCATCACCGAGCACCCTCACACTGCCCCCGAGTTCAAGCCCTACGAGCACCTGAGGAAGCGAGACAAGGTACAAAAAGTCAAAACATTTTTGACATTTTCATTTGAACGGCTTTTCCAGCGCTTCCCGTGGGGTGACGGCCAGAAGAGTCTGTTCCACAACCCTCACGTGAACGCCCTGCCCGGAGGCTATGAGCACGACCACTAGAAAAATGATTTTTTCGTCAGAATCAATTTAGTTGTACATATAAAATCAGCTCCTCCTGTTTCCTGGATTGCAGTTAAATAAACGAAAATAAGTCTAATTCCATTTCTTTGAAGATCTTTATTTCTCCTCAAGCTGTATTACAGACTAGTCTTAACTTTAGGAACAGCTTAATCAACTTCATTATTTAGTCAACCTCAAAAAACAAACAGCAGGCAGAAAAACCTACCAAATTTTATGTATTCCTCTCTGGTTAATCTGCAATTCTGCATTGTAAGTTACATTCTAGGGATTTGTCAAGTTGCAATGTACATTGGGCAGGTAAGGTAGCTTACTTAAGAGGAATAGGTAGCTTACTTAAGAGGAATGAGCAACGCAAATACATTTGTAACCTAAGATCGTTAAGTTTTTGTACACTTTTTGATTAATTTTAAATTTGAAGGCACAATTTTTCCCAATATATCACTTATTGTCGTGCAATTGTAACAAACATCTGGTTGAACAAAAGAAAATCCATGTCTCTCTGAATTTGTAGAGAAAATTCAAATTAAAGCTTCATTTTCAAAAAAAATAATCTGTCTGCAGAGCTGCGACAGATTCTAATCATAATCTCTCTTACTTTGTAAGATTTTCATATAAAATATAAGAAAAATTTAATGTAAACTTAGAGCAATACTTTCGGTTGTGTGGGAAAGTATGTAAAAAGAAGGCAGTCAGAAGACCCTGGTTTCAGGGCGTAGAGAGGTAATCAAGATCAGGTCGTGCAGAGCTTACTACACACTTTTGAGAAGGTTTTCGTATATGGCAGCCTGGTGGGTCACCCTGTACTTGAACAGTTCGTATGCCTTCTCCAGCAGGATTTTGAAGTGGGCGGGGCTGCGCACCTGAAAGCAAAAACCGAAAACTGATCAACGTAGCTTGCACGGTTTGCGAACGGACCTCCATGTAGTTGAGCGGTTCGAAGCGCGGCTGCAGGACGACGTCGTTGTTGAACAACTGGCCAGCGGGGTTGAAGGCGCACCCCTCGCTCTTGATGCGAATGGGCCCCGTGGCCAACGAGGGCATCTTCCTCTTCTTGCCCCTGCTGATGGGGTTGTTCCTCTCCGAGTTGAGCACCTCCAGCTCCTGGTTCATGTCCCTCTTCGGACAGCTGCAGATCCGAACGTGCACCACATGCCGGCCCACAACCGTATTGCTACCAAACAAAAAAGTTAGAATCTGTTGTCAGTAAAAAAATGGGGGCATTTCCATGAGTACCCTCAGGGCCTTGGGAGGAATTTGTTTAGGAAACCAATCATTTCAGTGAAACTTAAGTTTAGGGGCTTTTAAAAAGGAAATGTGAAGCAAATTTTTTTTAAATTTATGACTTTCTCCTTGGAAAAAATTTAATTATTAATTTAAATCTGCAATCGTTAAGTCTTAAAATGTCATATTTCAACATAATTTCGTGCTGAACAACTATTCCTTTTACACCGAAGCTGTAGGTCAAAAGTCAAGGTCACTTTTAAGCAATTTTATGACTTCATAAAACCAATAAAACATTCAAATTTTTGGGGGGAAAAGGTTGTTGCTTGTGTACTTTAACATTATATTTGTAAATTTCAGAATAGAAAAGTTTATAGTTCTCTCACAAATCCAGTCTTAAGTTAGAAAAACTGAGTAAAAACTCTGAAATAACAATCATTTCAGTCAAAATTATTCTCAAAGTTCTCAAATATATTAAAATGGCTCATGATTTAATTCACCTGAAGTGGTATTAGTTTTTTTACTTTGTACGCGATTAGTGAGGGAACTAAAAATTGAATTATTCTGAAATTAACATAAATAATGTAAAAGTAAACGAGCTATATTTTGTTCCTATAACTGCAAAAAAAATCCAGAGAAACCATCATACCCAGAATATGACTTTCTTTCTAAACAAAACATTAAATAACTTAAAAGTGACCTTGACCAATGACCTATGGCTTTTATGCCAACAGAATAGTTGTTCGGCATGCCAAATAAGCCCGCAAACAAATGTAAAACTCTAATTATTGGTTTGCCAGAACGAATGGAATCGTTACTTCTTCTCGAGGGTGAAGATGATGGAGGTGTTGCGCCTGGCCACGCCCCCCTCGCAGCTGCTCTTGCACATGAGGGCGTACAAGATGGTCATGTAAGTGGCCCCGGCCTGCGGCTCGCCCAGGGGCACCAGGACACTGTAGCGGCCGCTCGTCTTGTCACAGGCGTAGGTGGCGTTGCTGTGCTGGCAGCACAGGACGTGGTTCACGTCAGGGTAGCCTGAAAGCAGTTCGGAGTGATAAATTCGGTCCGAGACCAGGCCTTGCATCAGCTACCCTGGTTGCTCTTGTGGTTGGGGTCCCTGTGGGCGACGCACCTCTCGACAGGTTTGCGCGAGTCGTCCGGGTTGTCGTACACCAACAGGCCCCTCACCTTCAACTCGCTCCAGTCCAGCTGGTTGTTGATGCGGAACGACACGGGCACCGCACTCCCCACTTTGACGAACAGTTTGTTCATCGGCAGCGAGTACTGAAAATGAAACAAAATTCGTAATTTGCCGAGGAAGAATTTGAGGATGGATTTGTACCTCCCAAGACTTTTTGATGTTCTTGTACTCGGGCACGGTGCAGGCGCCCATCAAGAGGCTGAAGTCGTAAACGCCTGGGAACTCCTCCAGACTGGGCATCTCCCCTGTGGCGTGGTTGACGGGGTTGGGCACCACGATCACCTCCCCCTCGCCGTGGTCCGACTCCTGCGAGGACAGGTGGTAGTCGCTGCAATTGAAAGGTGAAAACTTTTTAGCACTCGGTCTGGGCAAATGAAAGAAAATACTTCTCATTCACTATGGGCTCTATGGTGGGGTTGATTTCGGCCAGGGACACGGCGCCATCCGGGGTAACGGTGTTTGAAAAGCTCATCGCGAAGTTTTCTGCAAAATAAATCATTTCAATCAATTAACAAATTTAAAAAAAAAAAAATTAATCAGGGAATTATCTTACTATCAGGATTGCTGCCGAGCGTTCCGATTGGGAAAAATTTTACTAATACCCAATCAGAGAGCTCAAACAACAATAAATTTTTGCCTCATTGTTGTAAAGTGATTTTTTTTTCTCAGAAAATTGAGTTTTGAAAAGAAATGGAAATCTGATGGGACTTCCTGAAAAATTCAAAATTTACGCACGATTAGAAAAAAAATTAATAAAGTTTTCGATATTTTATGATAATTTTTCAAAAGCTTTGGCACAATTTTCGAGCAACGATTCTTTCATTTCAAAAAATTTTGGGTTTTTTTCTCTTGAAAGTCTTGTAATGTCAAAAAAGACATGCTAACGTGAATAGCAATGAAGCATGTAAACAATGGTTTGCATTGTTATTAAACTCTAATAAGACGCAGCATCTGAACGTCTCGCTTTGGAGCGAAAACCGGATGAAAAACAAAGAGAGACTGCTGCTCTCCTCCCCCACAAAACACCCCCCAGAGGCAAACACCTGAGGATTGCCAAGATGGCCTCTGCGGCCGGAGCTGCTGATTTTGACAGAAAATTTAAATCGGCCGACCGGTCGCCGATCTCGTTCCGAAATGAAAGGAAATCTCGGCCGACGGAAGAGAAGCAAAATAAAAAGAGCTTCGGCGGCCGAGTCGTTGCGTCAGTCTCGGACGAGTCGTCCTTTTCCATCTCGTGCCTCTGCAGCGTGCGTTCGATTCGAGACGGGGCCGGACGCAGTCGGACGCTCGAAGGACACTCACCTATGCATTAATTCAACTGGGACTGACGGCGGCGGCTGCTGCGGCTCGAGAGCGGGTTCGGCGAGCGGACAGGACACACAAGTCTGTCTCTTCCGTCGGACGAGGCTCGGCTTTCTGTTTTCTTCTTCTCGCTCGGCAGCCCAACAGGTTGAACAGATTCAGGCGAGACGTCACGGCCAAGACAATGAAACCGACCAATCACGGCTTCCTCTCTCTTGCTTGACCAAACAGTTGCCTCGTTCGCCGCCAGATGGCTTTTTTCAGACAATAAAGGAAAAAATAGATCTGATTTCGCAATGGGACGTGGAAACTTTTACCTGCGATCGTGAAAAGACATTTTTTATTTTTTCAATATCACCTTTCTGTCACCTCCACCCTTAAAAAAATTAAATAATTTTGACACAAGATCACCGCATTTAATCTTTTAGAAGGTAAAGTGAAACCCGTATAATTTAATTTAAATAAAATATTACTATAAAATTATTACAAAAGTATTAATTATTTATTTAAAATTATTGATTTGCACTCAATTTTTTAATTATGAAATTGTACTTATGTTAAATTAATAAATCAATAAATAATGGTGACTGATTAATTAAATGAAGTAATTTTGTCTTCAATATAACGATTATAAAAAAGCATTGCTTAAGTTCATTTTGCGAATAAATTTCCTACTTTTATTTATACATAAAATAAAATTGAAACAATTTTCTGTTAAATTTTAAAAATAAAAAAATACAATAAAATAAAAAATCACGTCTTTAAATATTTAAATAAACATACCGATTCGACGATCTAAATGTTTCCATTAAGTTTGATGGAAGAGTTAATTATTTTCAAAATCAAAATTTTCCAACAGACGTTTTTTTTTAATGTTGACCTACAATGGTTGTAATTACTGAAATGCTTTCCGACCTGGAGAAAATTTTCACAATTCAATATATTATGAATCTGTGTAACAAAAAGAGCACGGTTTTTTATTTGAACTTTTCTTAAAAAATCAATAAAAGTTCAGTTAATGGAAGGCAAGATGCGATAAACGTTTTCATTTATTAAACACGACTTAGAAAAAATCTATATTTTCCGCAGATGTTTTTATTTCGTGTATATGCAACCTGCAATGCACACGCGTTCGGCGGGTTGCACGGCGAGACATTTCAAGGGGTTCTGATGACGTTTAAATGTTGCTGGACGAGAGTTGAATAGGCTTGACAGGCTGCATGTGACATAATTGCTGGGGGCGCGCGCGGAAGACTGATTTTGGCCTCACTCGACGCGCGCAATCAATAAAAAGCTGTCAGGCCTTTCGACGCACTCAGCGAAGTCTTTATTTGTTTTTATTTTCGCGTCGAACAAAAAAGGGAAAAGCTGCGTAGTTGAACAAAATATAATCCAATCACTTCAACAAAGGTCACAGTTCAAAGGTCACGCGTCTATGAATTTTGCACCACACTTTCGCGAACTTTGACCTTCGCAGACAAAATAATGACATGGTTTTCTTCAGCACGTCTGGCTGCTGATCGTGAGATTATAAAAATATTGTTCGTGTCACTTTAACATAAAAAAAAAACAGCATTTGAAACCAAAAAGAAATTCGAATGCGTTTTTAAACTTTCTGTAATTATAAATACGTGTAATTATATAATTAAATCTGTTTTTAAGTTTGTCTTGCCGCAAATTTATTGAAAAAATCTAGAAAACTGGAAAATATTTTTCCCATTCAAAAAAAAATACTCAAAAAAATGGAATTAATTTCATATCTCCGATTTCCATCTCTTAATAATTACGTTTCTTGCTGGGGAAATGCAGTTTGGAGGGTTGTCTGATGCTGGCTAATTGCGAAATCCACCCCCGAAGGTCAACCGAGTGGGGCGCATGCGTGTGTCGGTCTCTCGGGGCTGCAAAGTTGAGAAAAGAGCGAGCTCTAGTCGGTCCGCTGGCCTCGTCGCTTCGACCCGATGAAGACCCTCGCAGGGATGCAGCCGCCCCCGCGTCCACCCTGCCGCCGCCGGTGAGTCCCCATTCGCCGCCCCCGACCCCCTCGATCGTCGCCCAAACTTGTTGCTCGGCCTGTTGACCTATGCACCTGCCCCAATCCAATTCTCCCCCACCCCCAACCACCTAATATGTTTTTTAAAATTTAATTTTTATTAAAAATACAAATAATTTTTGTGCATAATTAATTTAACAATAATTTTTAATATTAATTATAAAATACAACCTTAAATATACGCAACCCATAATATAATTTTAAATAAATAATTAAATTAAACAATGAATTTACAATAACTATGAATTTAACTGAATTAATTTAAACTATAAAATTTGATTATTTTTTTTTTTTTACATTTTTCTCTTATTTAAAACAGCACTCAACTTACTTAAATTTTTTTATTTAGTTTCGAGACTTATAATTTTTTTTCTTCATTTTCGATTTGTCCCTTCCATTCTCTGCACGACGCCCAACAAAGGAACTTTTACACAAATCATGCAGCTTTTGCGCATCAGACAAAGGAGATGAGCGAACAATGGCTCGTGTTTCACTGCCTCTCATTATTTGCACAAAACACTTTGGCCAGTCTTCTTAATTAACTCAGGCAAAAAGAGCTGGAGTTTTTTTTTTAAATATATGTAGATAAGACCAAAAATTCCTTACTTTGGAGAGAACAAAATGTTATTTACTCACAGCGGCCTAGAAAATTAAATTACGAAGTAAAATGTTACCTTTGATATTAAAAATATGAGATCGAAATCAAAATATTTGGTGCAACAAATCATCTTTAGAGAACAAAAATCAGAACATTTATTTACTTATTGGTGAAAACAACATGAAGATGAGGTCACTAATTGTTTTAAGTCGCTTTTTGACCATTTTTAAGTTGGAATGATAAATAAATTGCATTTTGTATTTCATTTGAAGCATTACAAATCTAATAAAGAACACGCGATAAATATGGGCAGACTTCAGCAGTAAATTTTCATACAAAAAAAATGACGATGAGAGAAATTGTGGTTTATTCTTTTCAAAATCTCATATATTTATGCGTGACAAGAAATTGCAAAACTTTTATATTTTAATATTAGAAATTTTAATTATAAGTCTTGTTCTAGAATTAATTTCTTACCCACATTCATCCCGATAGTGATTAAAAAGGTGTCATTGTTTAACAAAAACACAATTTTAGCCGGAAAATAACAAGAAAATGGCTCGTTTTTTTACGCAAACGAGAAGCTTTGTTTGATTCAAGAGTTGATTTTGTGCATCGCAGGTGGATTTCAAGTGCAAGAGTTGTTCTAGAATTATCGACTGTTGGTTTGATTTGAGAGTGATCCATGGACACGTTCTCCGTCTCGCACCTGTCGCTAAAAACCTTTTTTTTATTTGAATCAATAAACGAAAATGCCTGAGTCACATTCGTGCTTTTTGGAGCGTGCGTAATTATGGAAATTCGCGCGCGCAGGCAAAACAAAACAAAGAAATTTCACTTGAATTCAATTGCGCGGCGCGAGAGAAAACAAAGAGACGCGTACACGCGAGGCCTTTCCGAATTTCATCTTTGCTGCGTTCCCAAGATTCACTTCAAGCGACACTTTAACCAATCAATCGTGAAACTGTGCCAAGTAGGCCGGACGAAAATAAGTATGAAAAGTAACTTTTTACAGAAAAAAAAACATAAAGAGAAATAAGTTTTTCATTCCGATTAGAAATTCCTTATAAATTTTTAGAAATAAATGTATGAATTTAACAGGAAAACATTGGAAATGTCACGATTTATTTATGCTTTAGAAATTACTGGCGAAGAAATGAAAAAAAGAAAATCTATTCATTAAAATAAGTGGAGAAGATTTAATTAGATTTGCGTTTTTGCGACGAGCCGTGATGAGACGGAGGATGGTGCGTGGAAAGTTGAAATTTGGAGCGAAAATAAGAACGGGCTTTATTGATTTTGGAATGACGTCAAGCCCGCGACCTAAGGGAGTCCCGCTGGTGCTCACATCCCGACGCCGCCGCCGGCATATCGTTTGACATTGCACGTGCAGGTATTCGCGGCCGCACCAGTTTTTCCACCCAGCGAAACACCAAATGTGACAAAAAAAAATCAAGCAACAATGTAAAATAAAATATTTATTACATTTTCTATTACTTATATTCGTAAACGATTTTCTAAAATTCAAACTTGTATTTTGCCTTGGTTTAAGAATTTTTACAAGTAAAAGTTTAGTTGAAATCAAAATTTCTTTGATGTTTTTTTAACAAATAATTTAAGAATGTAACCATGATCGCTGTTCTAACCTAATTTTTATTTAATTTCTTATACTAAAATTTGATTTACAATTTATCTGATATTATTACAAAACCAATAAAAATAATTTATTATTTAGAAGAAACCTCAAATAATTGCGGGGGTTTTTTTTAACAAAAAGAGAAGCAAAATAAGTTATCCACAATTTTACGATACTCCCGCAATGACAAACCCGAGCTGGAAACAAGCGCACTTTGAGAACCGACATGTAAAAACGAGATATGCAGTACACGGTTTCCATTTTATCCTCTGTAAAAATAAAACTTTCCATACTGATGTAAATAACGACTGTGAATGTGAAAAGTGCGGATGTAAAATGGGTTTATATAATTTTTTTGAATGCAGTGCAAATAATCTTAGTTTGTCTGAAATAGCAAGAAAAAACAAAAAATAAATGTATTATATGTAATTTTATATTGTCTATAGTTGTACACGACAGTGTTTAATAAATTCCTGATGATGAAAATAAGTTATTGCAGAAAATTTTAAAAGTTGCATTGGAAGAAAAATATACTTTTCAGTAAAACCGGTGGCGACGAAAATGGTTCTCGGTTGAGGGAGTTAAGAGTTCACTCGCAATTAGATGCAGTCGAGTTGCTGCCGAGGAGGTGCAGCAGCGACCGAGGTACAGTTATTTCTTGAGCGCGGCGCTCGCAAGTCGCGCAGTCAACTTTTAGGCGCTGTGTCAGTCACTTAAGTGCGCACGTACGGGGCCCGAGACCAACTTTTAAAGTCCGCTACGCACAATCCTTCCTCAATCCAACAACAGGTAAATAAATAATTATATTCAAAGCGAGTTTTTTCTGAATTGCTAAAAAATCGGCTCCCTCAGCGGGAATTCCCGAAGGGAAATAATGTATTTATATCCAGATAAAGCAAGAAATTTAATTTATCTGCTGGAAACACGCAGAATGGTGCGAGAGAGGGAGAGAGCGTCCTATTGGTTTATTGACACACAATTACACTAGCTGCGAGTAACTGTAAAAACTCATCCCACAGCATTCACAGTAATGCTTAAATAGGGTAAACGCTGACCTGATTGCAAACAAATGATGATCACAATTTTATTTCGTGCAACGTGCAGAGGCCGCAAGCGTAAATTTATCTCTAATCCAAAAACATAAAAAGCATAGGAAAAGTGGAGAGCTTAAAATTAATTATTTTTCTAAAATTCACGCAGGAAGTATTGAAAATTGAATTTGTTGTCTTCCAGAATGGGTAAAAGTCGAAAGCAAAAACTTTTTCCTTAAAAAAAAGGCATTCAGCAAAATGTGTGATAATAAAACTCGGACAGTTATCGTCGCTATCTCGCCGTCCATAAAAGGAATATTACAAACAAAAAATGAGTGAAAACAATCGTTTTTGAATACAAAACTCGAAGTGAACAACGTCATTGACAAAAGCTCTTAATTAATTAATTTATTCATGTGATTTAGACAGAAAAAATATTCGGCAAAAAGTTTAAAATTTAATTATTCGCCCCTGACCTTGCGACGTCATGAGATAATTTTCTCCCAAGACACGATTGAGTGCAAAAAGAATTGTTGATTGCTGCTGAATTTCAATACAACATAAGAGGGAGTGCGGAAAAAAATGAATAGACCATTGAGCAGTGCAATAATCTTTGGATTCTTCTCGCGAGGCAGGCCGCGGCGCCTCTCAATTGCATCATTACTCGCCCCCTCACATACCTATCCTCCCTCCGCTAAAAGCAGAACATTTCATGTTTATTGAGGTTTTCTAAAACAACAATTTCTTATTGAAATAAAATCTGTATCTTTGGCTGTTTTTCAAATAATCAAATTCGTTATATTCTACACGATTAAATTTTGCGCACGGACTTTGATTTGTTGAGTCGGTGGGACGGAGAGATAGTTATGAACATTTATTCAAACGGCGGCGCTGTCGGTCGAGCCGCGCAACACGAGCTCCATTCCGCCTCCGTCAGCCATGCAGGCCAGTCGAGTGTCCGCCGCTCCGTGGTAAGACCTTTGTTTTCCGTCCCAGGGCGCGGCTCGCCAACCTTTCATTTTTTCGCCAAACCCCGTCGCAAAAAATGGCCTTCGCGTTTTCCTTCTTCTTTTGCCAAGCGCCGCCCCATCGAAATCTATTCAAATTTCGCTGAAGATCTCTCTTGTTTGTCCCTTGTTGAGCCAAATTTTTATAGATTTTCTTTTGCCTTGCCATTGTAGCAGGTACAAAAACTCAGTCTGGAGCAATTATTTGCCGTTAATTCCTGCATGTCAGTGCAAACTTTAATTATTCAATTTTCTTAAAACTTTTCATTCAGATTTGAATTTGCTGTCACTGATGTACAAAATTTCTAGATAAAACATGCACCACAATTTCATCATCACGAATAAGAAACAAAAATTAATACTTTTAAGGTAGTAATTCCTCTTAAGAATTCCTTCTATGTTAAAATAATATCATTTTAATAATTTAAATGTGTCAAAAGATTAAATGAGATTTTATTCTGAAATGTTTAGCCAAGTTTTTTTTTTAAATAAACTGAAACGTTTGAATCGCTGCAGAATTCAAGAAATCTGTCTTTTTAACCAAAATAAAACTCCCTCCAGGAGAATAAAATTTCTGATTTTAACCAATTCTGTTCAAAATTGAGAAGAACCAATTTGCATCTTTGGTGCGAAAGAAGAAAAGATCAGAGTTCATTTTGTAGCCGCGCGGAAAACAAATGAGATTTAAAGGGAAAAAAGTAATCCTGTGAGAGGTCGCGTGCGAATTGCGGTTTCGTGCGGGGCCAATTTTCCGCTCTGCATCTGAAATCGCGGCGACACGCGATTTTCGCTCTCGAGCACACAGACAATGAATCGAAAAGAAAATCGACACAAACCGTTTTCTCGTGGCCTGACATCCATTATCAAAATTACTCTGCGAGAGATTTGCATGGAACTGCAAAAATAATTTCTTCTGATCACGATTTTGCAGAAGTAAATATTCTGTTTTAGTTTTTCTTTCTCAATGATTTAGTTTTTTAATTCTCGGTTAAATTTGACTCGATCGTCCTTTTGCTGCATTCCGAAGCAGTGCCTCTAATTAAATATGGAGAGCATGTAATTGAACGTCCTCGGCGCTTTGATTAGCACGTGGCTCAAGGCTGCAGGTCGATTCAGGTTTTCTGCACAAATCAGCCCCTTTACTCGCTCTATCTGCGTTTGTTTTGTGTTTAATTGCAATTCAATCCCAATTTCTTTGCCTTGTTTGCAAAACAAGAATAAATGCGGAGCGAAGAAAAACGTTCAAGGCCGCGCCGCGTGTTTTTTGCTTATTAAAAAGACGCCAGGTCAACTCGCTGATAATCTTCAACTTCGGAGCAAAAATAAATTTCACATAAAATTGAAAGCGATTTCACTTTCGGTGCGGGTGTTTGGGCATTCGCGTTTCGTCCCAATTCGTCCCCGCCGCGAGAAAAGCAACAATTTAATTAATTTGCGATAAGCATGGGGGCTTTTAATTGCCCGCCTGTGACGCGATAATGGAAATGCTTGTGGGTTTTGCGGAATTTTACGATCCGGTTTGTTTCTGTGGCTTTGCATTTGAAACCATTTTCGCGCCTTCATTTCCAGCCACACATGCAAATGCTCATATTAATTGGAGCCGTGCAGAGAGCAAAAAATTAAATAACCAATTGTGAAATGAAAAAGAAAAATTCATTTGCGTAAAAACAAATAAATGCATGAAGAGGAAAATTTCAGAACAAGAAAAGGATTTAAATTGAGGAAATAATTATAATTATTATTAACCAGTTAAATCTTAGAATTCACCCCCAGGAATGGATTGAAATCAAGTTTATTTAATTAATTCAACCATCAAAACATTAAAATCTGATCCAACATTTGTGGCGCCTTTTGTTCTACAAACAATTTAACTCTAAAATGCTCTCGTTTATCTGCGGTTTCATTGAAAACAAATACACAAAAGCCGCGACATTCTCTTTTGTTTTTCCTGTCGAATTTTTGACGATGAAAGAGAGCGGATGTGTCGGTTGACGCGGCACTTGTCTTGTTGTCCTCGTAAAAACTGACAGTGCAATTGATCCAAAGCCGGCGAGGAAGAAGCAAACTAGTTTTCTTCTTCCTCAACTACACGTTGTTGGATTTTTCGCCCCGCAATGAAAATCGTGTGTTTATTTCTCTGCAACGAGGCTGCGTCACAATGACCTACATTGTTGCGCATCAAAAGAAAAACGAATCAAAACCCTGAAACGAGGGTGAATTTTGTTCCATCTATTCTTTGAAAAAATGAGCTCATTCTTAAATGAAGTAAACAATGAAATTTCTACTGAATAATTTTTAAATTTGAATACGCGTTTGTTGCATCAAAATTCAAAAAGTAAATCTGGCCTTGCGATGCACCTTTGACGAAATCGGCGCAGTTTGCCGTCGTCATTAATCTCGCCGTCGGCTCATGTGACGTGAAAATTAGCCCCCGTCAGCAATTTGGCGCATGAGCCGCTGCAGATTTACGACCGACTGGAATTACAAACGCTTTGTCTTTTCTTGATCCTCTTTCTTTTTTAATTTTGTTTTGAATTTGTCTCGTTTCAGCTGCAACAGCAGAGGGATGAGGACGGGGTCGTGGTGCACGTCCACCCTGGTGGTGGGTCTCATCTACCTCTACATTTTGGCCGTGGAGGAGGTGATGGGCCAGCAGGCCGACACCTTCGGCAACAGACCCGCCGGCTTCAACTCTCCGGACCAGTTCTACCCCGGCGCCGCACAGGTTGGCATTTTTTTTGCAATTTGCGAAGAAAATATTTACAAAAATCAACGATCAGATCAAAATTTCATTTAATTCGCCCAGAATCAAGTAAAAATTATTAATTATTGCAATGAGGAGAATTGCCAACAATCATTTTACTGCAAATATTTTCTGATCAAGGGAAAAAAGTGTATTATTTATTTCATTATTTTTATTAGAAAAATAAGCAGAAAAATTGCTTTGCTGCGTTAAAAATTGTGAATAAAACCATTCAATTTATAATTATGCTTGATTTAGATAGAAATAAATGAAACATTTTGATGCCTCCAAGCCCAAAAATTCATTCATATTTTTTTGGTAATTTTTTGTATAATAATGATTTGATCTAATCTTTCTCATTTAAATTAGAGCCCCGAGCAAATAAAAAACCCTTTTCTATGAAATTAAATAAATACCAACAATGGAGGCAAAAAAAATAGCTTAACATTGGATTCTGGAAGACATTCTTTTTTTTCGCAACGCGTGTAATCGGCTTTTCTTGAATACTTTTGATTGGAAATGAAATGAATGTGTTTCAGGGCCAGGGTTCCGTGTTCAACGTGCCTGTGGGGGACGCGGGGGCGAGCGGCCCCGCCAAGCAGTTCAGTTCGAGCGGCGCCGCCGGATTGCCGTACTACGGGGTCGACTTCAAGTACCACAACTACAACGAGCTGACCGACTTTTTGCGCACCACCAGCTCGCAGTTCCCCAACCTCACCGCGCTCTACTCCATCGGCAAATCCGTCCAGGGTGAGTTCTCCAAAAAACAATTAACTTGCTCGCTTGCCAATCTCCAGCACGTGCGCAATTCCAGAATTTATTTCAGTCCTGCAGCTGAAGTAATGAGCTCTGAGATTGAAACCGTTCATTTCTGAGCAGTTGGAAAATTCCACCCTAGCAAGAAATCGACGCAGAGAATTTTGTTTGTGTATTCCGTCCGCGTTGGTGGTTCGCATTTCAGGGGTGGGCGCATTATTTAGGTCACGTGCGGAAAATCAACTCGGAAAGTTTGCCTAAAACGAAATTCGTTCCCTCTCGTCGGAGAACGCGCCAGTTTAATTAAGTTTGCTTTTTTATTTTCAACCCACGGTTTCTTGACTGGTTATAAATTTTCTGAAACGGCAAAAGAGATTCTATACAATATAGTTTATTAATATTTAATCAACCGCGAAAAGAATAAATAATAATAAATTACTTGATTTTGTTCCCCACTCGATGATGGATTTCGCCACACGACAGGGGTTGTAAAAAAGCTGCCCGTCGTCCATAAATCACCAAACTTTGGCTGCAGAGGTGAAATGCTTTTCAATCAATCAATCGCCGGCCGGTTCCATTAGTCGAAGAATTGGCGCAAAACGAGTTTGGAGCAAGCAGAAAAGCCACTTCTTGGGTTATTCCGATGAAAATTTGATGCGCAGCGTTTGAAACGATATTTGTCGCAGCGGAAAAACAAAAAATCGTGGCCCAGTTGGCAAAATGCCTCCGGACCAAAAGCAAGCAATGGAAACTTATAAAAGTGTTGCCGTCAAAAGCGAAAGGAAAAAAGCGTCTTTAAAAGAAAAAATTCAAATCACCAAAAATAGCAACGAGAAAATCGAGAAATTAGCATAATTTGAAACTTTCGCATTTTAAATTCCGCAAGTTTGCTTCAATCGGAGTTTTTCAATGGAAAAAAGGTTTTGCTCGCTAGGGACTGATGCACTTGCGACGGTGGCAGTGTCAAGGCTGTTGTTGCAAACAATGGCGCGGGGGGATCATTGACACTGCAGGCAGGGTGCGTGTGCTGAGATTCCTAACGGCGGCCGATCTGTCCCGTTACCATCGGCAATAACCGGATTAATAAAATCGGTATGCACACCGCGCGCGTCCCAAGGAAAATTACTAATTGAGCAGCACCTTCGCAGCCACTGACCCCGGCAGGCCGGCCGCGCCAAACTCGTTTTTCCCCAAAATTCACAGAGACCGGTCGGTGCAGTCGAATCGTTTCCTTTCGATGCTCCTTTTCATTGCGAGAGAGACACGAGGCATATAATATTTTGAACTCGCCTTCTAGCCTAATTACCGCAATTTTTCACGGTCCACGCGCTTATCGGCAGCGCCAAACTGCCGCTACTTGTTTTGCTAACAGTTAGTTTGTCAGTGCGAAAATCAGCGCTTGCTTACTTTTCGTTCAAATACTCTTTCAAAAAAATATTTTGTACGGGAATATATTCGAAATTATCTAATAAAATGATCAGTGTTTCCCATGTGCATGGGTAATTATTAAAAATAAAAAAACTAAATGGTTCTTTTTAGAGCCAAACACAAATTAATTCAATTTAATCCGTATAAAATCTAAAGAATTCCAGTTCTTATGCAAGTAAACCAAATAAAGAGGCTGAAGGCAAGTTTCTTTTCTCCAGTTTTATTTTGGGCATTCACGAAGAATAAGAAAGAACTGGTGATTGGACTTGGTTAATAATAAATTGCTTATTTCAATTAATTTGTGATTGCCAAAATTGAGACGATTTTTTTATAATTAAATTGCTTTCAAGCATTAAACTATCATTATAATGTTTCTGACAAGTCAACAAAGATTTAAGTTTATATTTTTTGCTTCAACGCAGAGTATATTTTTGGCCAATAGGTTTACAGATGGAATTGCTCCAATGAAACCCGCATTTCTTTTTTATTGCAGGTCGCGACTTGTGGGTGATGGTGGTGTCGGCGTCGCCGTACGAGCACATCATCGGCAAGCCGGACGTCAAGTACGTGGCCAACATGCACGGCAACGAGGCCGTCGGCCGCGAAATGATGCTGCACCTCATCCACGTGAGTTCATTCAATTTTGGTCAACAAATTGACACTTTTGATGAAAACGGGCTTTGAAATAATCGTTTTTTATTCCAAATCAAAACCGACCTAGAAAAATACAAAAAAAATCAGCAAAATTCAAAACCTCAAATTTGTTTTTTAAATCTTAGAATTACCAAAATTTGTTGGCACATCATAAATTTTGTTATAGTTTTAAGATAAAAAAACTTTTGTTAATTTTTTAAATTTTGCCCATTTTATTTGCATTGTTCTTGCTTATATTATGAAAAAGGTTGCAGAACCGTTTTGTTTTTGAATAAAAAACCTTTTTTCAACTTCCCTTTCGTTCATTTTTCGTTTTAAATTTTGAAATAGTACCTGGTGACGAGCTACGAGTCTGACCAGTACATCCGGTGGCTGCTGGACAACACGCGGATCCACATTCTGCCGTCGATGAACCCGGACGGGTTCGAGGTGGCGCGCGAGGGCACGTGCGACGGCGGCCAGGGTCGCTACAACGCGCTCGGCTTCGACCTCAACCGCAACTTCCCCGACTACTTCAAGCAGAACGTCAAGAACGCGCAGCCCGAGACCGAGGCCGTCAAGGAGTGGGTCTCCAAGATCCAGTTCACCCTGTCCGGCAGTCTGCACGGCGGCGCCCTCGTCGCCAGCTACCCCTTCGACAACACCCCCGCGGCCAGTAAGTCCACCAAATTCATTTCAATGCCAAAATATTCCAATCGAGTCAAGTTTTGACCCGGAACAAAATTAAATTGGAAGCTGCGAATTTTACCAGTCAAAGTGCGCGTCATGGGAAGCCAAAAAATCATTTAAGATTATAATTTCGGCATTGCAGGAATTTTTATTTCCAACCATAGAGCAAAAATTTGAAGAAAAGCACATATTTTTAACACTCGAGCGTTTTTAGTAAGTTTCTCATAAGATTTAGAAGGAAATATTAGACATAAAATGTGCAAAATTAAATTTCCCACATCTTTTGTTCAAAACATTATCTTGTAAGACAATTACCTTAGGCGGAAAATCCATTGTACTAAAACTTTAAAACGATTTTTTCCTAATTATTATTCAGAATTATTTGTACATTTTGTACCAAAACGATTTCCTACAAAATTCCTTTCTTTAAGGCCATATTTTTTTTTACTTTCTACAACCAAGTAGAAAACGTGTTCAAGTCAATTAGAACCAAAATTTCGACTTCATCCTAAAATAAAAATTTCCAAACCAAATTAAATTGAGGAAATAAAATGATTTTTCAGCTTCTCAATAAAGTTACTTTGACAGTTATAAAATTTAGCCTTTTATGAAATTTGTTTCGGATCAAATTTGATCTATTTTGACTGGGTTAACGCAAATTCCGGGGAATTTGTTCTTAAAAATTCTTCTTCTTTCCTGCTGCAAAAGAATTGTGCAAATCTTCCGCTTCGTGCTCAGGTATTTTTCTACCCTCAAAGCCGTTTGCATTCGTCTTAATTTTTGTATTAATTTTTTTGTATAAATTTCCAGGCCTGAGCAACTACAACTCGCCGCCGTCGGTGACGCCCGACGACGACGTGTTCAAGCACTTGGCCCTGACTTATTCGAGCAACCACGAGGAAATGCACCGCGGCGAACCCTGCAAGCCGGGCACGCCGTCCTTCAACCAGGGCATCACCAACGGCGCCGCCTGGTACCCCCTCACAGGCAATCCAACCAAAAATTCGTCATTCGAAAAAATAATCACCTTTTATTTTGCGTGCAGGAGGAATGCAGGACTACAACTACGTGTGGTACGGCTGCATGGAGGTGACCATCGAGATGTCCTGCTGCAAGTACCCGCCCAAGTCGCAGCTGCCCAAGTTCTGGGAACAAAACAGACTGGTCTCAGCACAAACATACCAATTCGTGCAGAAATTAAACTAGAAATATTTCAGCCCCTGGTCAAATTCCTGGCCGAGGCGCACCGAGGCGTGCACGGCTTCGTGCAGGACGAGAACGGCAACCCCATCGAAAAGGCCTCGCTCAAGGTCAAGGGTCGCGAGGTTGGATTCCACACCACCAAGTACGGAGAGTTCTGGAGAGTCCTCATGCCCGGACAGTATTCTCTCTCCGTAAGTACAACCCAAAAAACCCATTTTGAATTTATTGTTTCAAAAAATTGCTTCAGTTCTTCCAAAGAACATTTAATTCAAAAAGAAAGCAAATTGCAGATGAAATTGAGATTAAAGAAGATGATTAGCAAAGTTCTCCACAAAAACTAATAGTTAAGGCCATTAAGATAATTTTTTCAAGCAGAAAAATGGGGGTCACTGCGCAAATTTTAGAGAAAAGTTTACTTCAAAGTTGAAGAAATGTGGTTTTTTACAGTATTTGAGTTTCCGAGAAATTCAAACTAATTATTGAGCACTTTGAATTAATGGTTTTCTTGAAACAAATATCAGGATACTTTGTATTTTGGTTTGGTTCTTAAACTATCTATATGGCCATCGGAGATAAAATAAGGTTTTACCAAACTGTGAAATAATTTGGGTAAAGATTTGTTTATCTGCGTTTAAGGTAGAAGGTCAATAATTACAAAAAGTTTTATGTCCCTTGAAAATAGGCAACCTGACATAAACTCAAGAGATAGCCAATTTTCATTTTGCATCAGAAAACAAATTTTCAAATATTTTGAGGTGTTTTAAAATTTTCATTGACTGAAAATAAAGAGTTAAAACATAAGGAAATGATCATACTTGAAACAAATTGAGCAGCTTATAATTTTTATTGCATTCCATTCAAATTTGAAAAAATAGGTAGGAGATTTGATCTAAATTAAAAATTTGTGACCGTTTCTGTTGCAGGTGTTTGCCGAGGGGTACTTCCCGCGCGACGTCGAGTTCATGGTGGTGGAGCAACACCCGACGCTGCTGAACGTGACCCTGCGCGCGGCCAAGGTAGGTCAGGGCCCGAGGCGGCGTCCGGTGGAGACGCCGCCGTGGCTGGGCGGCAGCGGCGCCGGCAACGGCATGGGGGTCACGCGGGGGCCCTCGCACGTGGTGGGCAACCGCGGGGACATCGGGGACCGCACGACTAACCCTGGTGGCGGCGCTACTAACCCCCTGGCTAACCCCTCTAACCCCGTCACCCCTCCGCAGAGCGACGGCCTCGAGCCCTACACCTTCTTCAACCCCGGCTCGTTCGTCCCCGCCGCAGCCACTTTCGCGCCCTCCGTGCAGGCCTCCTCTTCGGCCGCCTCCAGCGGGCCCCTAACGGCCGCCCTGGGGGCCGCGCTCCTCCTCCTCTTTGCGGCCAGATAAATTACGTCTAGTCAAGGGACCTTTCCATCGCAGTCTGCAAACTGTTCATTGTAAAAATGTTCAACCGAATCTCAAAGCTTGACAAACTGTGCTAGCCAGATTTAAACTAGTCGTTCAAAGTTTCACAAATAATATGTAAGCAATTAACTTAAAAAAAAATGTGCAATTGCCGATGAAATTAATCAAAATTGATTCCGCGCAATGTTCTTATAATATTGAACCCCTTTTTCCGGGTTCCAGTTTCAGATTTTGTTAATTTAAAGTGGATATCAAACTGAATCTACCTTTTAAAAAACGAGGCACAATTAAGTAAAAATAACAACCTCTGCGTATTGTCTTGGTGATTGATTATTAAATTCCGTTGCTATCCACTTTGAAGAGTTATTGTGTCAAATGGGTGTGCAGCTAAACCACTCTCTAACGACTCTAAAATGCTTCCCCTGCTCTCTCTTGCTTACTTTCTATGAATGTTGAAGCTCTAGAATGTAAAACCAAAAGCCATATACGCGTAGATATTTAATCCAGAAAGCACATTTAAGGAAGACTCTCCTCCGTTGAGCAGTGCGGGCGAGAGTGATTAGCTTTGTAAGTTTTAAACAATAAGGAACCAAGTGCCTTTGAGAATTGTAACACTACTACACCAAAACCATTGTTGAAGATGTTGATATACTGACCTGTTATTTTGTAACAAAAGTGTGTAACAAGCGCAGTGGCTAGTCCGTCGGTTTATTTTAGCTTGGAAAATAAAACTGAATTTGAAACTAATCGAGGGTTTGATCAGCATGATGCATGACTAATCACTACTTTTGCTTCAAAAGTAATTTATTCTGGAGTTGTAAATAGTCATTGTGGACTAACGAAAATCAGCAAACACTCATGATACACTTATCTAGTTGGATAAAGAAGAAAAAACGCATGAAGTTGGCACCCAAGGACAAATCACCCTCACTTCCACCCCCTCACCACTCGCGGGTAATGACACAAACAATAGCAAAGTAGACACTCTCACGTTTCCACGAGACTGACGGATGAGGTAATCAACCAATTCTTCTTGTTCTTTCCATTTTTATGTACATATTGCATTCTGTAAAATACAATTTGTGTTTAATAATTTCCCAATTGTTCCAATTTGACTTAATAAATATTAATAATTTGATGAAAAAAATTGCAGCGTTCTGACGGCTTCTACCGACCTCCCCAGGGACCGCCGGGCCCCAATTTCTACCACCCGCAACACGCCAACTTCCAGAAACAACCGGTCGACAACAACGCTGGCATTTTCTCGAGTATTAGCACCGGATTCAACAGTCTCGTCAGCAACATCTTTGGCTGAGGCAACTGATTATTTATGGACCAACTTGCCTATTACTTTACTTGAGCAGCCAAAGATGTTGTGGTGGGGCCTGAGGGGGGTTCGGGGGGAGGGTGGAAATTTGCACTGAGACCATTTCCAAGCATTGTGTAATTTAAGTTATGAACAAGAGTAAATATAAAATGTGTTTTTATAGAGAAAAGTGGCATTTCATTTATACCTATACAATCACGATTCCATGCCGATTTGCCTTGCGATTTGGAAAGCAGCCACGAGCGAACTGAGCTGGACGCTTTCTTCAGTGCCCAGCGCCAGGCGCTCCTCGATGCTCGCCAGTTTGATCAGCACTTGAATTCTGATCTTGGCAGGAAGTTCGACTGAAAAGTTTCAATTTTTAAATTTATTTTTATTAATTTCCTTCCAAGCTTACTTCGATGGACATAAAGATGCACCTCGGTCAAAATGTCACCCAGGGCCAAGCCTTTGTTCACCTTCAGTTCTTGAATGTCTGCGATGTGAGTGCATTAGAAAAAATTGAGGGTGCTTAAGTGAATTTACTTTTGTAGGCGACTCTAAATTGCTCGTTGAGCAGCCACTTGACAATGTTCGCAATGTCCGAGCGCAGGGGTTGGCCGACGCACGAATAGACCGAGTCTTCATTGACCTCAGGGTAGGCCATCGAGGTGCTCTGCAGGATGTTGAGCACCTTTCTCATGTCGCCGTTGGCCAGAGTCAAGAGGGCCTTCTTGCCATCGTCAGTGACGGCCAACCTTGGCGATTCAAAAGAATTAATTAAAATACAAAATCAATTATTTCCACCATTATTACTTTTCCTGCTCGATGACGTGCTCAAGCCTCGGCAGCATTTGGTCGGTGGTGAGGGGGCCGAACCTGAATCGGGTGCACCGCGACTGCAGGGCGGGAATAATTTGGTTCAGGTAGTTGCAGATGATGCAGAACCTCACGTTGTCAGTGAACTTTTCAATGACTACAAATTATAATTTATACGAATTTCAAAATTATTTTCAATGATTTTTACTTCTGCGGAGCGCGTTCTGGGCGTCGTTGGTCATGGCGTCGGCCTCATCCAGGATGATCAGTTTGTGGCCTTTGTTGAAGATGGTTTTGGTGCTGGCGAAACTGAGAATCTGGCCACGGACGATGCCGATGCCTCGGTCGTCGGACGCGTTCAGCTCGAGCACCATCGAGGAAAACTGGGCCGGCGAGTACCGTTGGCGGGCGCACGCCAGAATGGTGCTGGTCTTGCCTGTGCCCGGCGGCCCGTAAAACAACAGGTGCGGCAGCTGGTCTTCTTTGATGAATCGGTTGACTGAAATCAAATCCAGGCAATCAGTGATTCAATTAAAACAAGGTAATAAACGCACTCGTTTTGATGATGTCTTCGTGCGAAATGAGACTGTCGAGAGTGCTGGGACGGTACTTTTCAACCCTGAAATTTTAGCGTAAATCGTCAACAAATTCAGAATTTTTCCAAGATTTGCGTCAAGTACATACCAAGGAAGGTTTCCCTGCGTTTTTTTTCCTTCAACCATTGCGAAAACCTGATGAAAATTGAGTTTTAAAACGTAAAATTCGCGGCGGGTTCTCCCGCGATTTTGAATTGCACAGCTGGACGATGGTGCTGCCACCTGTGCTGAAAGGTTCGGCAAATTCCGCAGGTGGCGCGTCGATCGATTTGATAAGTTGAGTCAGCTGGGGGTGTATTCGGACCCGGGGCGTCGGCTTTGTTTTCCCGAAAATCCCGGAATTGAGGGATTCGAGATGGACAGCCAGGGACGAAAAGTGATCGTGTGCGACAACGGAACGGGGGTGAGTGGAATCCGCGGCCCCAACCCTTCGTTTTCGCCGCGAACGAGCTTGTTTATATTCGGGCCACTTGCTTATCTCAATTCTGAACCCAATTTCTCTTTCAGTTCGTGAAATGCGGCTACGCCGGCTCCAATTTCCCGGCACACATCTTTCCGTCGATGGTCGGACGGCCCATCATCAGGGCGGCGAACAAAATCGGAGACATCGAAGTCAAGGTGACAGTTTTTTTTTTTAAATTTCCGGCACACCGCCACTCCCTTGTTGAAAAACAAACAATCACATTCCTCACATCCGTCATGAACGAATCAATTTGTAATTAAAGACATTTTACTGTTCGATCTACAGGGCGCTTGTGTCAGTGTAAGGGCAGTTTCCTAAACATTCTTTTGCCAAAACTGTAAGATAAAAAAAGTCTGGTGTTGTTCGTGACAATTTTTTATTAACCTGCTCTGTACATGTTTTTAGTCTTTAGACACAAATTGCTGTGAATAACATCCACTTGAAGTTTTTTTTGTACCACCCCCGTGCCTTTAAATTAATTAACTTTTTCTAATGAGAGCTTTCAAATTTCGCGTACTTGCTTCCATTGACGCGCAGGAAGTAGCAAACGTGCCAGTAAGTAACTGGAGAGTTAATTCTGCATGACTCCGAGTGTCAGCATGCTTGATTTAAACTTGGTGGTTTTGATTCCTGTTGCAAGAAAGTAAAGTCGAGCCGCAGTTTCATAGGAATGCATTTTAAAATAATTTAAACTTTGAAAGCTGATCCTTTTAACCTTTTCAGTTTAGATTTTTGTCTTTTCTTTGTTATTTTGTCAGTAGAATTTGCACTTCTTGTGTAGCAATTTGAATGTTGGTTGAAACGGTTTGATGCAAATTTTAAAATCCTCCACAGGACCTGATGGTGGGCGACGAGGCGAGCAAACTTCGCTCGATGCTGGAAGTCAATTACCCGATGGAAAACGGCATAGTCAAGTGAGAATGACCTTTGAATTGACGAAACAATCGTGACTTGGTGCTTTTTCAGAAACTGGCCGGACATGTGTCACGTGTGGGACTACACGTTCGGGCCGGACAAGATGAACATCGACCCAAAGGAGTGCAAAATCCTGCTGACCGAGCCGCCGATGAACCCGACCAAGAACCGGGAGAAAATGATCGAGGTGTGGACTGGAGTTTGAGTAAAGGTGAAAAGACTAATGTGGGTCGGCAGGTGATGTTCGAAAAGTACGGCTTTGCTGGCGCGTACATCGCCATCCAGGCCGTGCTCACGCTGTACGCGCAGGGCCTGCTGAGTGGGGTGGTGGTCGACTCGGGCGACGGCGTCACCCACATCTGCCCCGTCTACGAGGAGTTTGCGCTTCCCCACTTGACGCGCCGCCTCGACATCGCCGGCAGGGACATCACCAAATACCTCATCAAAGTCAGTCAATTTGCTTTAAAATTGAATATTTCGCTTCATCTTTGAATAAATTGTGCAGCTGCTGTTGCTGCGTGGGTACGCCTTCAACCACACCGCCGACTTTGAGACTGTGCGCATGATGAAGGAGAAGTTGTGCTACATCGGCTACAACATCGAAACCGAACAGAAACTGAGTCTCGAGACTACCGTGCTTGTCGAGCCCTACACCGTAATTCGGCCTCACTTTTGATTTGAAAATTTCTTACTGAATTTTCGCAGCTGCCGGACGGCCGAGTCATCAAAGTTGGTGGGGAGCGATTCGAAGCGCCCGAGGCTCTCTTCCAGCCTCACCTCATCAACGTGGAAGGACAAGGTGGGCAATTTTCAACTTGATTAAAGCAAAAGTTAACCATTTGGACAAAAATCAACAGGTATCGCCGAACTGGTGTTCAACACCATCCAGACGGCGGACATTGACATGCGCTCCGAGCTGTACAAACACATTGTCCTGTCCGGAGGCTCAACCATGTACCCCGGTCTTCCGAGTCGACTCGAACGAGAAATCAAACAACTCTATCTGGAGCGGGTTCTAAAAAATGACATTGATAAACTATCTGTGAGTCTTTTCTATTTCCCGTGATTTCAAAATTTGATTTGCAAAATTTTGCAGAAATTCAAAATCAGGATCGAGGACCCCCCGAGGAGAAAGGACATGGTGTTCATCGGAGGAGCCGTTCTGGCCGAAGTCATGAAGGACAGGGAGACGTTTTGGATGACGCGCGAGGAGTACCAGGAAAAGGGCGTCCACGTCCTCAGCAAACTCGGGGCGCGCTCAAATTAATCTTGGTCTCGAGGCCATTTCTACTCCGCATTTACCTTTCCTGTGTTAATCATTTGTTTTCTTTTGTCATTAAGCAATATTATATAGTGAGGGTTTTTTATTTGAAAATTTTTATAAATGGAAAAGTATTTGTGCTCAAAGGTGAAAAAGATTAGAAAAAATTTTGTTGATTCTAGTGAATTTCCTCCAAATGTTCGAGAGTCACATCACATTCCATCCAAACTCCGCGTCTTCTTTTGGTCTGCTTGTTACTCCATTAAACAACTTGCTATAGATCTAACTCTGTAAATTTTATCAAAACAATGAACAATTAAAAAGCTTACAACTGAATTATGCGATTCAAATTTATTGCAAAAATTTACAAGGGATTTTCTTGAATGGTGAAGTCGGCGACGTCGCTCGCCTGGTCTTGCAGGATGGGCAGGTCCAGGGTTTGTTCCTCAACAACCTGTTGGTCCGGCTGCTGGTTCTGCTCATCCTCGGCGCGGAAAACAACGCCGGCCTGAGTGGCCTTTTTGCGCCTCTTCTTGGCCTCGAGCTCCTTGCCCAGCACCAGCTCCTGCTGCATCTTCTTCAGGTAAAAGTGCACCCTTTCCCTGACGTGGCACCTGCTGCTGGCGCCCAGCGAGGTGAAGTGTCCCACCAGGTGCAGCACCGTTTCAATTTCCAGCCGCTCCTTCCCAGTGAAGTGGTCGTTGTAGTTTTGCTTCAGCTGCGTCGCGGCCGCGTAAAGAACCGACGCCGGCACAGGCCAGTCTCTGAAAATGCACAAAAATTAAGCGAATTAGTCTAGGAAAGAAAGGTTTCTATTTGTACTAAAAAGAAAATCATTTCAGTCTGGAATTAGGGGTGCATTGAGACGCACCCTTTCTAGGTAAAAAATAATTTTGATTTCTTTTAGTGATTTTTCTATTTCTAGCACAAACACAAGAACGTAAATTGATAGGAAATTTATTGAGCTCTAAAAACTTCAGAAAACTTCTCTTGAATTAGAGAATTTTTGGAGCCAATTGTCAAATGATTGAACAATGATCAAATTTTCTTATTTGTTGTTTAGCTGTGGCTCTTCTAGAAAACATTTTAGAGAAAAATATGGCGAACAAAACCTGTAGAAAATTTAATTTTAAACACTCCATGTTCTTTTCATTTTCTTGTAAATCTAAAGCTACTAAAGTTATCAAAGTGGAAAGGTTAAAAAAAATGAGATTTTCTTATGCGTGAAAATCCATCAATTTCAACCTTTCCGCATTTATAACTTTTGTCGCTTTGCATTTAAAAGAAAATGTTAAATACAAAAAGTATGTAAAATTAAATTTTCTACATCTTTTGTTCCAATTATTTTTCTCTAAAATGTTTTCCACAAGAGCTAGAGCTAAAAAACCAATAAAAAAAATGACAAATTTTTTTTGATGTAATTAAGATGTTGTGTTTTTTCTATTGTATCTGAATGGAGAATAAATAAATAAATAAATAAATTTGTTTCCTTTGTTCAAATCAAAAATTTTAGCTCCAAAATTAGCCACATTTATAAAAACTTCGTAAGTTTTTGAAAGCCAATGAAATTTCCTATCGAGTGGCGTTGGTCTCATATCTGAACAAGAAATAGAAAAATTACTACAAAAATTAAAAAATACGCCACCTTTGAAAGGTACTTTTTTTCGGCAGGGCAAAACTTTGCACCCCCAATAGGCTGGCATGAATTCCTTCAGGGTTACATAAGGCAATCCTTTTGATCTGAGGTACCTGAAAATCCTGGGCACGAACACGTCCCACTTGTGCAGGTTGAAGGTGCCGCCGTGGGCCTTCCTGGGCAGCATGGGCGCCACCTGGTGCACCTGCGAGCTCACCTGGGGCGTGTTCAGGTCCAACTCGACCTGGTGCAGCGGTTTGGCCGGCACCTGCGGCTCCACCAGCTTCGGCACCCTCTTGACGCTCACAGGCTCGGGCTTGTCTGCGAGGGTCCTGTTCACCTGGTCCAGCAGAGGCTCGGCCGACTTTTGCAGTCGGTACAGTTGGTCCCGCCCACTCTGGCCAACCGTGACAGGCTCCTTGCCAAGCACATTTGCGTCTTCTCCCTGAATTCAGAATTTTATAATTTCCTGCAAATTCGGAAAACTTGAAAACACTCACGGTCAGTTTGGCCAGTCCCTCCTTGTTCACAACCTGCAACCAAAATTTCTGTCTTAATCGTTCGACAAATTTCTGAAGACAAACCTTCTTGGCCCGTGCTGTGAGATCGGCAAGGGTGACTTTGCCAGACCTGTACTTTTTGTACAGCGACTTGGGAACCGTGATGACCATCTTGTTGTTTTTCGGATCGTCCGTCGCTTTGGGCTCCTCAGGTGCAGGTTGAGGCGGCTCGCCGGCGTTGATGGAGGCAGGGTTTCTGACCACCAGGGAGCTCGTGGGGGTGGCGGGGATGCCGAGTTGCTGCTGGAGCTGCGCGGCCGAGACAAGCAGCGGCCCAGCCCCTGCGGCGTTCGGCCCGGACGGGGTGAGAAGGAAAAACTGAGGCGCCCCTGGCACCGGAGGGATGGCGGGGGCGTGCACCAGGGTCGAGGGCGCCTCCTTCGGGGCCAAACTCTTCGTCTCGATGATCATAATGTCGTCGTCCTCCTGTGACTTCTCCTGAGACTTTCCTTGGCCATCCTTCAAAATAGTCTAAAACAAAATTAATATTTTTGGATTTTATAAAAATTGAAACAGCACCTTTAAAATTTGAGGAGTTTCCTGTGCTGGGGTTTTGCTTGAAGCTTTGTACGTCTTTGCAGGCGTGGAGGTGCTGGGCTGGAAAACAACTCTTTATAGTTTTGAAGCAAAAATGATATAAAACTTTTGTACCACGTCATCTTTGAAGACCGAGGGAACGGCATATTGTCTGACTTTGTTTCTGTTCGTATTCGTAAACTCGTTGGGCTTGAAGTGCTCGTTGCAAACAAAGTATTTGCTGTACTCTTTGGTGTCCAACAGGTCTTTGCGGTCGCACTTGGTGAGCCAAGCTTGTCGCCTGTAAATAAATGATCTATCGAATCTTTGAATTATAATTGCACGTTTTGGTACCGCTCTGTGATGTCCGGAAGTTTGATCTGTTTCGTCTTGGGATCGGTCGACGACGACGTGCAGTTTTTGACCAGACACTTGGTCGGATCGACGTCTGGCGCTTTTTTAGCTTTGCCCTTTGGAGAGTAATTCACGATCTTCACAATTCTGGTCCTCTTCGCGGGCGGTGGAGAAGACATCTTTCGTCACAACAAATTGATTCTCTTTTTCTTTTTCGGAGGAGAGCACGAATTTCCCAATAAACATGTAATCGACGCGACTTGATTAAAGATCGAGTTTGACCGTTTAAGCTGCCTTAAATCCACGAAAAAACCAGACACGCGATGGTTTCAACACTAAACATAGTAAACTTTCGACTGCAGCAGCCTCGATGGTCTTTGTCTTGTTTACATTTGACGATTTCAAATCTGGCGCCATATCTCGCGCTAATGTGCGCAGAGCGTAAAATTGCGCTCTGCGCTTGTATGTAAATTTGAAAAAAGAAAAAGTACAAGAAGACTTCTTGAAATAGTAATTTGATAATTCAAAAACAAGATATTACAAATATATATAATATATCATTCACAACAAAAATAAACCAATAATGCATGCAACGTTTAAATCTATTAGTTTTTCTATTGTTGATAGCCGTGCAGAAAATTGGCTAAAACAATTGGAAACAAAATTGCATTGTTGCATCAAGCAAAAATGTGCAAATTTTCAAACTGTAGTGGAGCAATTGTCTAACAAATCACAAAAAGTGATCGCAAGTTGTGAAATATTATTATGATAAATTTTTAAAGAAAATAAAAAGCTGAGACACACTTAAAGAAAAATTGAATCTGATTTCCGGCAAGTGAAAACAGTATTAATATTTGAAATATTTATTATTATACTTTGATTTTGTTTACATAACAACTAGTTTAAGATCAAGGCAGTCATGGTGCTCATGTTGGGACGGACAAAGCGAGACTTGACTTATTATAAGCATTTTTGCAAGAGGCTGTAATTTTTCAAATTTTAATAGGAATACAAGAAATTTTCATTTTGAATCACAGCAGGCTTTCTGACTATTTGATTTAATCTAAATGCAAACAATCTGCAAATAAGAAATAGTTTTGGCACCTTGGTTTTCTCATAAAAGCTTCAAAATGTTAAATTCGTCGTGTTAATTCATTTCTATAAAATACAATTTAAAATTCAATCACAATGATTACGAAGGGAAATTGAGATCTTTAGTTTAACATGGATCTCTTACCAAGCAGACAAAATAATAATTCGCCGAGTTCTTTCATTGAATTCACTACACGACGACATCATCATCACTCTCTTCGTCTGAGCTGCTAACATCACTTTTTTCCATGAATTCAGAGCTGTAGTGCCTCTCATAAAAACTTGATTCCAGGAGATGATGGGAGTTTGGCACAAAAAAGCAAGCGACACCAACTTTGGTGACGAGTTGTTTGAACCAACTGTGGTCTTTTTCAATGGCGCTGAGGGTGGACGTGGTTGTTTTGTTCTTAAGGCAGAGAAAAACTTTTACTAGATTTGGTGAGCAGAAGATGAGGCGCTGGACCATCTAAAATTATGGTGCAAAAAGTCTGTTAAAAGGTTATTTGGCATAAAGAAAATAGCAGTACCTTGAGGACAGACTCCAACATTGGATCTTTGTACAAAAGCACACTGACTTTTTCTACAAGCTTCAGACAATTGGGCCGTTCAGCTGCAGCCTCCAAAATGGCCAGAACGTGACTATGGCTCACAACCTGCAGGTATTTACAGTCATGGCATTCAGAGCCAAGCAGGAACTGTTTGTAAAATCCATTTGCTTTCGAGTCTTCTTCAAGATCTTTGTTAACAATATAAATGGACTCAAAACTGAAGAGAGAAAATGATTGAATAATCTCCACATGGAAACACAAACATTTGTAGTGCTTACGATTTCAAGTTCCTGAACTTTTCTGGCGAATTCCTGATGATTTCCGGTGAGCAGAACCCGTCAGGGCCGTAGTCCAAATGCTCTAAATTTGGGCAGTGCTCGAGGACGACCAAAAGGTCAAGTGGCAACTTCTGCTCGATGTCATCTGATCTGATGCTGATGGTTTTGGTTTTCTGGCCCAACATATTGACTAGTTTGTAGATATCGCTGGGGTCGGCAGCAATACTAAGTTGTGCAGGTGAGCAAGGCACAGTAGACAGTCTCTTGAAATGCTCCTCCTTGGAGCTCTGGTCAAAGTAAATTACAAGGCACTCGACAGACACATTGGGCGGCCAGTTGCCATCAATTGGAAGTACAATACTAAAAATTAAAGAATATCTTAATATCGATCATCCTTACGACATCAAATTTAATTTTTACTACACGTCTGTGATGGTGATTTTTTTGTACCAATACATTTTCCAGAACATCGAGACTAAATCAAACGGGGCACATTCAAATGGTTCGTCGTAAAGGCTAAACTTTTGCAGATTTGGTGTTCGACCGGCGCAGTGTGTTAGAAGTTGATAATCAATCTCCGCATTTCTCAAGCCTGGAGTGATGCTGAGGTGTTTGAGATTCTGCATCTTTGAAAAGGCGACGGCTGCTTTTTCGGTGTTCTCCGCCATGCCAATGTGGAGGTACCTGAAATCGATATTTTATTTACTAAATGTACTCGAAAATAAGAAATGGTGTTGGTACTTGAGTTGAGGCAAGTGCTGTTGAATGAGATCTAAGTGCTCGTCAGTGCAGACGTAGCGATTGATGCTGGCGTGCTCCAACTTAGTCCACCGGAGAAAATCATCCATGGGAAAAGCCGCATCAACGCCCCAATAAAAGTCGTAAATTTGGACAAATTTGGACATTTTTGGACACTTTTTCAATAGGTGGCCAAAAATATCTTCCCAAGTAAAAAGATTCGTTCCGTCCGGAGAAAATTTGCATCCATCAAATTCGGTCGTGTTCGAGTTGAGCAGTTTCTTGAGCAACAACCTTTGAAAAATTGGAAACATCGGTAATAATTTCTTGTTTTTGCCTCCCATCAACTCCAGGAACTCTTGGATGAGAGAATTGGCTGTAAAATTAATTCAGATTTTAACATATCCAGCTAAAAATAATTGCCAAGTTTTATTTATATTTACGCAAATGTCTCAGTGAACTGGGTTTCTGTGCGATGAAATGCATGTAGTTCTGGACAATTGTTTTCATCGACAGCGTCTTCAGTCTTTCAATTTTGGAAGTAGCTTGTGAGCCGTAATTTCTTCTCCTGCTTTCAACCACTTTGACGAAATTGCGGCGTTCGGCTGGGCTGCCAAATTGAAAGGATGCTATTAATGCTATTTGCTATTTTATTAAGCAACTAACTTTTACTTTGGTTTAACGTGTCACTAATTTTTGCTTAAATCTTATAATATAACTTCAAAATTTTTATAAATTGTTTTTAATAAATTAACAAATTAAAATCTCACCTCATGTCTTTATAGTCTTTGTGTTCCATCTTCTATATTTTGGACTATACGAACGAAATTAAATAATAAATAATGTCCAAAATTAAATCACAATCGCTCCTATCAGTCTCCGATTGACAAGAACGGCAAGCGCGATGCACGCTGGTTTGTTCGCAAGAAAAAAACCAACAAAAACAAAAAAAAACCTTCTGGCCACAGTGGCCACGCCCCCCCCAAACAAAACACGGCGAACACACGGGAGTGTTGTGTTTTTCAGTCCGTAGATTCGCGTTCCTCAGCGAATCAAGATAATCAAGTGGCAAAAGCTACAATATTAGCTGAATAAATCAACTGAATCACCTTTTCTCTGGTGAAATGGGGTAATAACATTGATTTTGGTCAACGTTGGTCGGATCGCCGCAACTCCTTTGCACAACACTTGTCGCCGGTGCTGCCCTGAGTGCCCTGAGCAAGCCCTGAGTTGCCCTGATGTCCTCTCTGCATCTGCACTTCTGCAGCCTCTGGACTCTGGACCTGCAAAATCTGCAAAGAGGAACAAGTTTGCGGAACGATAATAACAATATTGCTAAATTCGGCCGATTCGGTGCCGATTCGCCCGCCGTCATAGTCGTCATACAAAATTGCGCAAAATTGACTCTGCGTATATGTAATAATTTATCTCAAACACCTTTTCTTTTTGTTTCAGCCGCCAAGTTTGTAGCAATTTTGCAATTTTGCTCAGTCGATTCTGTTGGCGAAAACGAATCTCTCTTCAGAGCCACCTGCACCGCCAACCTCCTGAAATCAGGCAGGGGCTGCGTCCGACTTTGTTGGTGAATCTGGCTGAGCGACGAATATGCCTCCTCATGTCAGCTGCGCCACTACATTCGGTGGCTAGAGACTCATGAAAGATTTGAGAATCTAAGAACAGGTGAGGATTTCTATGAATTTTTTTTTTAGAAAGAAGTATATTAATTGGAAAGATAATCAAGTCCAGCCATGAAGGGTAGAATGAGTATGAAATTGTAAAAAATTGCGGGTATTGTAAAGTATTGGTAATTATTTTTCCCAAGTTCAATTGTGGCATGGGAAATTTTTCAGTTTTACTAATCAAAGAGTTCAATTTTTCTGAATTATTATATGGGCTGAAACAAGAAACATTAAATAATATCTTAAGTTCAAACCAAGTGCTTTTTTTTAAACATGTTATGTTTTTAACTGTTGAATTAATAATTCTCACTTGGTTTCAGCTCAGAACTTTGTCGCTGCTTCCAAGCCCACAAGGAGTCGCAAGAAACGCGATCCCAAGCCTCCCACGGTGCAGCTGAGGAGATCTCCTTGTTTCAAGCAGGATCCTCCTGAGGAAGGTATTGAAAATGCTTTTATTTTCCACTGTTGACTTCCAAAAATTGCCTCATCTCATCCCACCAGCCTCAAAAGTAACTCGGCTTAATTTTTGTTGCAGCCTCAACCAGCGGAGCGGTCGCGCTTCTGGTGGCTAATCTGACCAGCACACCTGTAACCTCGCCTGTCACCAGCGAAGCCTCTGATGAAGGCAGTGACGTCGATCGACTCTGACTTTGAACCAGAAGGTTTGTTATATTCGTTATATTCGATTCACTTTGACATCACTATTTATTTAACCCATTTTGTTTTAGCTGTGGAGCAAACCATTTGATGGATAGACAGGCGCCTCTCAGGTCTGGTGATTTACCCGCTGCAAAATTTGGACCAGTCAAAAGAAGGGAAAAGAAGGCACTGAGATGACTGCGGCTCCTTGCCTTGGTCCAGTGAAAAATTTTGTTTGAAGCTCTCCAAAACCCTGAATTTATTTACTCACAGACTGATCTTTGCAAATTCTGGACCTTTTGAACTGCGCCGACCATACTTATGGTCGACACATGAATTGGGTTTGGCGCCTGATATGGATGGGCGGTACTCGGCTAAGAGATTAATTGATTCATGGTCCCAGAGAGGGAGCAGGCAAATATGAATGGAGGAAAATTACTAATTTAGAATTATCTTTGGTTCTGCTTTTCCACGCAGGGAGGAAGGTAAAGGAGAAATTGGATAAAGGATCAGGCAATTGAACAAGGACCAGCAATTTGTAAATAATTAACTACTCTCTTTATTATGTTTTAAATTATGTCTACAAGGTAGACGTTTGTATTACTTTGCTGTAAACAAAATCATGTTTGTTTTCGAAATAAAAAGCTTCTTCTATTTCACAACCATACTCTTGTAAGTTTTATTTGCTTTACCTTTTGTAAACCAATTGGCCCGCCAGGTGGCGGAGGAAAAGGAAAAGTACAGGAGGGTGGTGGCCTTCCCATAGAGGAGCCCCTAGTGCACAAGTCGGACAGTATTTGGCTTTCGAGTCGGACAGCTTGGAGGGGGAGTTGGTCTATGGCTGCCCTACCGGTGGGACCATCTTGACCGCTCCGGAGTACCTGAAAGGTGTAATAGATTTGATGAGTCAACCAGCTCGTGGATAGTTGTGGTAATAAAACTTTGGAACGGCAGATTAACCTAGAGACGGAACCAAGTCATTGTTTAGGAGCGAGAATTATATTGCGGGTAGTTCAGGCGCGAAGGGGGCGCTTTGCATTGAGGATTTCATCCCTGCTCTGGGCAGGAGGTGTGCGCCCGTCTCTGATCCTCGAGTACGAGGGCCAGGGCGGCCACAGAACCTCAAAATAATTAGCTAAAAATCTTTCGTCTTTTGAACAATTTTTTTCCCGAATTTTTTGATATTACTTATTTATTTATGTGCATTTATAAAAGACAGCAGGGCAACTTTTTAAAAATGACACCACTTTTCCCTTGATGTGTCCACATTATTTTGAGTGTGATTTTGATATTGTATGGCCTTGACTATGCTAATTTATTAAAATATGAATAAAATGATTTACGTTTCTCAATCTAAAACATTTTATCTCACATTTTCACGTCTACTCTTTTCATATAAATTTTAAAATAACAATCTACGCAATGTTATTCTATTTTTGTTCCTTTAAATTACCATATTATATTAAATATAATTTGTTAACGCAGAAGTTGCAATTCACTACCTCGCACTGCTCCCGCCGAGATTCAAAGTGGTTTGTCGCTGAAAGGTGCAGATTTGCTTCTTTGGTCGAATCACACGACGGTCGAGAAACAGTGGATCACTTTTCTTGCCTCCTTAAAAAAAGCAGTTTGCCTTTCTGTTCTCTGCCTCTACATTATTTTCAGGTTGTTTTTCCAGAAATAATCAAGTTGATTGTAATGTAAAATTTGTTGCTTATTGCCATTTAAATTTTAATTATGATTTGTGATTTTTTCCATAATAATGTTTGAATAAAGATGGAGTAGTAGTAATAAGAAGTAAAAAAGAAGTCAAAACAAGATATTTAAAAAGAGTTTTAGGACTGTCCAAGTATATTAGATCTAGATTTGTGTATGAATTAGTTGACACTGATCTCTTTGTATCGGACTTACAGGTAAAATATTCTCTAACTGAAACTGAAGCATTCCAGAAATTTTGTGTGTCTAAATATTTAAACAAACTTGAGATATGTGATGAGTTCTACGAGACAGAAACTATGAAGAATAAAAATTGGCAATGTGCAATGTTCAGTGATCGCCAAGTGTTTACGAGATTTGCCTGTCACGGGTACCACTATTTATTTTGTAAGAATAAAAATTTTCATTCTCAAGCGACAATAGATTGTGAATGCAAGCACTGCGGTAAGAAATGTTCACAATATCATATTCTTGAATGTAATGAACGAAAACTAAGCCTAAGAGAGGCTGCAAAAATCAAAATTAACTAATTTTGTACTTTGTAATAATTATCGAAACAAGCTTAATTGTAAAATTAATTTTAGGAAGACAAATTAGCTTTAGACACCCGTTGTACACCTAGTTGTGTTCAATAAATACTCTATCTCTAAAAAATATTTGATAGTAATTTGCGAGTGCACCCAATATTCAAATGTAGGATACTTTGATATAATTTTATAAATATTTTCCACATGAAACCTGCAACGGGATTTTTAAGTTACATTAATCTGCAATTCAAAGTAATGTTGCCTATGGCAAAACCAGTATATCAGGAAAACGATTAAATCTTACTTTATTTCCAGAATTTTGTTAAAACCAAAGCTTATTGCGACTGTTTTGTCTTTAATATCTTTAGAAAAGGAATTACCATAAAAAAAAATGTAAACTGAAGAGGTTGTGGCACAAAACAGACAAACCAAAGGTTTATAATAAAAGAATCACTTTTATTTCTCAATCTAAAGTTTTGATTTTGACAGAAATGAACCAAACTAAAAGTTCAGTGAACTTGACAATATTATTATGGCACCTAAAAGGATAAAAAGATTTGTTATTCATAACATGACTATGTTTTTTCGTTAGCTAAAATACAAAAATGAAACGGCACCTCCAGGATGAAAATCGAAACATGCGAATCATTTCTTCCTGCACTACCGAGGAAAAATGTAAGCGTTTTTAGAGCTAGGTGTTAGAATAGTCCATTCAAAAGAGGTCACCAAAATTCATAAAACGCACATCTCGCTGTTAGAAAATTGTCTCCCGTCTCTTTTCATAAATAACTTTCATTTTTGAATTTACAAAAATATTGCACAAAGATATTTTCGGCTCCCGCACAAAAACGGAGCAAATACGATTCGTAAATTAATATCATCAAAAGTACATACAAGAGTGTGTGTCTGGTAGGGGAAAAAACACTCCTGCCTTTAAGTAGCTCTGAATACGATTTAGTTGTGTTGGCTAAATGAGAATCAATCGTAAAATTAAGTGGCCGAAGGAAAAAAGTCGAGGGCCGGTAACCACATCACTCTTTACTTAAGAAGCACGACTCGAGGCCTCAGGTGGACGAGCCGTTCACCTGTTGGCTCTTCTGCCGCACCAGTTTGACCAGGTGCGGATCCTGCCCATTCACTGCAAAAAAAAAGAGTCATTTCGAGGTTCGAGAAGGAAAATTTTGGTACCTGGCATGTAGTTGCAGTACTTTTTGCTGTTCTTCCAGTCCTCCTTGAGCGACAGGTTGAACATGGAGTAGTCTGGTTTGCCGGTGACCTCGTCGACGACGTTCAAGAACTTGGGCAGGCACTTCTTGATGCCCTCGTCGTCCAGGGACGTGTACGTCTCCAGCAACATCAGCCCCTTGCACCGCTCGTGGCACGGCTCTTGGTAAATGTCCAGCTGGAAGTACTGGCTGCGGACGAGCAAAGGTTACCAATAAAGAAGGACGGACACACCCACTCGTTCTTACCTTTGCTGGCACACCTCGGGGTCCTCCTGCGCCTCGCCGCCCTTGCGCACAAAGTTGACCGTGACGATGAAGCAGCGCCTCGTCTTGTACACGGTGAAGTGCGACTCGTCCACCTGGGCCTGCAGGTTTTGGTAGTCGCGCTGCGACAACTGCGTCTTCACCTCCACCACCTGGTTCTCCACGGCCGGCCGCCTGATCGTGTGGATGTAGCTCCAGTGACCTGAAAAAACAAAATTCAAATTAGTTTTTTTCCAATCTGCTCAAAATTTCAACTTCAAATGCGCCAATCCAATGAAAAGTTTCCCTTTTTTAAAAGAAGCAATTATTGAGTTTTTTCCGATGTTAGCAATTTTTTTATATTTTATATCTGTTTCCAGATAAAGTGTCAATTTCCTACTTGCAAAGACAATTTTTTTTAATTAAATTCTTTAAATCTTAAGCAGCGACACTCAATTTTCTGGTGACAATTTAAAAAAGGTGCAAAGGAATCAATTGGTGCATCACACATCCTCCATAAAAGCAGATTTACTTAGGAAACATTATAGAAATTTTAATTCAAAGTTAAATTTGAGGTGAACCAAAACGATTTGTATGAACAGTTCCAGCGTACTTGCATTATGTTTGATCTTTAACCAAAAAACTTGACACCAGAGTTCAAGTCTTCACAACCCCCAAACTTTTGAATTTCATAAATATTAAGCTGCCTTAATGATTTTGGATTTGGACTGAACATTGGCTTTGGCCAATTTGCTGCTTTTATGTTGACGCACCGTTTTGGCCTCTCTTCCTCAGCCTGGCCTGCATGTGAGGCGTGCTGGTCTGCAGGTAGTGGTGCACCACGTCAAAGTCCTGGAACTTGGGAAACGCGTCGACCGGCGGCAGCGGACCCTGCACCAGGAACTTGCGCTTCCTCGCGTTCACCTTGAGCCTGTCGCCGGTGTCGACGCCCAGCTTGTGACACACGCACTGCCACAAGGATTACTCGAAAGGACTCGAAAGTTAAAGTAACAAATTACCTCGATCATGCGGCGCATTTTCTGCTCAAAGTTGGTCGTGTTGTCGATGACGTCAAAGTACGGGTGGCCGACCCAGGCGGCCGCCGCGTTCTCGTCCAGCTCCTGCGCCAGACTCACGCCCTCGCTCCGGCACGAGTGGTCCTGCGGCCGTTTCAAATTAGTCCTTTTTGCCCATGTAACCCGGAAAAAATTTGGGAGTCGGAAACCACCATTCTTAATCACTCATAACTTTTGCCCCTTTGGATTTAGAAGAAAATGTTGAGTACAAAAAATGTGCACAATTAAATTTCCTACAAGTTTTGTTTGAAACATTTTTCTCTGAAATGTTTTCCAAAAGAGCTAGAGCCAAAAAACCAATAAAAAAATTACAAATTTTGGACCTTTGTTCAAACAATCAAAATTTTTGGCGCCAAAAATAGCCACATTTAAAAAAACCTTGGTAATATTTTGAACGCCAATGAAATCTCCTACCGAGTGGCGTCGGTCCCATGTCTGTACAAGGAATAGAAAACTTATTACGAAAATTAAAAAATACGCCACCTTTCAAAGGTAATTTTTTAACAACAAAGGGTAGAAATCTCAGAAAATGTATCTGAATCCCCAATAGACTGGCATGAATTTTTTACAGATTAAAACTTCTCTTTCCTGGACTATATTTTGTACTTGAGTTGAACAAAAAGAAAAGTTACCTCCAAGGTGTAAAAGGCCTGGGCACCGTTCGCGGCAGACACCATGTGGATGATGTGGTTGTAGCGCGTGTCGCGCAACTCGATCTCGTTCCAGTTGTTCTTGGACATGAGGAACTCCCACTTGTCCTTGGCGATGAAGGCGGACGCGTCCATGGCGCCGCGGTCGCAGATCACGAGGCAGTTGCGCGGACAACTCGAGGCCAACTCGAAGAACGTGTTCTCGATCTGCACCATCGTCTTCAGCAGGTTCTCCTGGAACTTGATGGCTGCCCCCCCACCCGCAAATCAACACCCTGACTCTGAAAAGGGCGAACCTGGCCTACCTTCGTCGTCCGACAGTTCGCTGAACCGGATTCCGCCACTGAAACACAAATCGCTCGGTCAGAACGCTTGACATGCGTGAGTTTGAATATTTTTTTTTTCAAAAATCAGACAAACTGATCAGGAATTTAGAAAAATCCTCATCTCGATTGAATCATTTTGAAATTAGAGGTCAAATATTGTAAAATTAATTGCAGCGTCAGGACTCAAGTTTGAAAAGCAAGATAAGCAAATTTAGACTGTGATAACCTTCGGAAAATCAGAAGCCTTGAACTTTAACGATTTTCTTATCAATCACAAATTTCGAATTACCTGAGCAAAACGGTCGCCGTCTCCGGCACTCGAAACACCTGCAACAAAGGATTGACCCGTGAAGAGGGGTGCGAGAGGGGTGGGGGGAGGGGGCACGCACCTTCCAGCCGAGGTTCTCGAAAAAGGTGCACAGCCTGGACTGGCCGGTGGTTTTGCCGCCGCACGGACCTGCAAACCGAGCAAGGATTACAATCTCGATTCGAAAATTAATGGAGGCGGCGCCGAAAACTGATTGAAAGGCAGACGATGTTATTTCGCTTGTCTCTTTATTGATTTAAAAACAGTGTTTGATTTTTTCAGCTTCATTAATTAATCCTATCGCGCTAATTAAATTAGTTTAAAGGACAATTTTGATAACTGAGAAATGCCACAGTCGCAAAACGAACTTCCTCTATTTTTTAACAACGATTTTTTTTCTCCACGCCTTTTTGCTGACAGCACGTCGCAATTGTCTCGAAATAGAAACCTGTTCAGAACGTTATCTTGATAAGGACGAAGCGACTTGAAAGCATAAACGCACCTTCGAGTGCAACGTGAACAGAAATAAATAAATACATCACATTATTTGTTGGTATGTCGAAAGGCAGCAAGCGTCGCGTGTCTTCTTCTAATCTCCTCTTCGCGTGCGTGTCATTTTAATTTGCGTCATTTTCCGACTCAAATAATGATTTCCCACTTGGCAGCAAAAATTTCGTCAAGGAAAAAGCAAGAGACAAAATCGATTTGGTCAGATTTTGAATCCGAATTTTTTATATCTCAATTCGAAAGTTTAGTTTCTAATTTATATTGTTGGAGTTTAATAAAAATTGATTCGCGTACGTCTTAAAGCCTTATTTAGCGAATTTACAGATTCTTTTTGCGTCGTAGTTTTTGCAGAACCGGTCTCACACGTGACCTGCACCTGCGGAAGGTGGCACGTGGGCGGCCGCCAGGGGCGATTAGCGACAGCCAAAATAACGCGACAAGAAGACCGGCAAGTGTGTGTGCCATTGAGAATTACAACGTGCGGCTTCCGACGACCTTGGGCAGTTTTCACACCAACTTGTCCTCGTGGGCGAGAAGAAAAACGCACTCTCGTCCTGCATCGAATTCGGAAAATAAATCGGAAGCGCCTCCGCCCTGCGGAGAGGGAGGCGCGCAAAGGTTGGCCCTCCAGGGTGCGGGACTCGAAGGTCGCCGGATCTCACCTCCGGTCAGCACGACCTTGTAGACCTTGCGATTCTGCTCCATGTTATTGTTTGTTCGGTCGGTCGAGCTATGTAGGGCGATCAACACCGACTCGACATCTCCACGACAATCGGCTGCGCGCTTCGATTGTTGCAGACTCCGCTCAAAGGGTGCTTCCGGCCACTGTTGGCGGGCGGGCGGACGAGCACCGCGGTCCTCACGACTACACCAGCTCGAGGGCTGCGGGCGAACGTGCTCCTATTTCAGGGTCCCCCATATTGTCCGAGTCCCATTGCGCACGCGCACCTCCGAAGTCCTCACAAACAACCGGTTTTTGCATCGAAAACCGGTTAATTTCGCACAATTTCCACCCAAATTTCCCCTTTTTACAACAATATGCCAAAAATTTTCACTCTTGGCAAATTTATATTGTTGATAATTTCAAAACTTTCAAATTTTACTCTAAATAGGGCCGAAATGTGCAGCGGTTGCTGAAGAATTTTTCAAAAAGAACCGGTTTCATCCGCGGTTTTAATCGTCCGAGCCACTCCTCCTCCTCCTCCTCTTGCGATTATTTGCGATGCATATGATTCGTTTGATTGCAGATTAGATTTTGGCAATTACTGCCGTTGGACGCAGCGATCCGGATGTGGTTCCGGTTGCGGGACACCTGTCCGGTGTGATCGCGCAGCAGACGACGCGTCCCGACCGCAGCGACACGACACCCTAGTCTTGGGACTGCGGTGGCCTCCTTTTCCGCCGCGTCTCTCCCGTACGTACGATTTTCGTCGCCACCCTTTCGCTTAATGTGTCGTCTGAGATTTCATTTTCGCCTCTTATCGAAAGCCTTCGACTGCTCTCGAATTTATATAATCGCAGTAATTGTCTTTCTCAAAATTCTTGTGCGAATTTGAATTGTCTCGAGCAGATCGAGCAAAAAGTCTTTGCTTAATCAAGGTGCGAATGCGAATAATTACTGGTTGTTTTGACACTTGTTGTGTTGCAGGCGACCTTGAGCTGAAAAATGGCCTCCGCGTCTTCCAACAGCGAGCCCGGCCCGTCCAGGGAGGGCGAGGAAAACAAAGAGAGGGACGAGAGGATGTTCGAGTGCAACATTTGCCTGGACACTGCGAGGGACGCGGTTGTCAGCATGTGTGGACACTTGTTCTGGTGACAAATTGATATAATTTAAAAAAAAAATCGCTTGTTTTATGCAAAAAGAATCTTTTTTGTGCAGCTGGCCGTGTCTGCACCAGTGGCTGGACACGCGGCCCAACAGACAAGTGTGTCCGGTGTGCAAGGCGGTGATCAGCAAGGACAAGGTCATACCCCTGTACGGCCGAGGCAGTGGCAAGCAGGAAGACCCCAGGTAGGAGCAGCTCGACCTTGACATGCTAATTGCGAGTTTTGCTAACTCACGGCCGATTGTGTTTCAGAAACAAGGTGCCGCCCAGACCCCCCGGACACAGGACTGAACCTGAAAATACAAATGTAGGCCTCGTTCTCACCTATAACCCTCTCACCTCTCCTCCCACTTAATTTTCTATAAAAAAATTCAGAACAGCATAATTTATGCAGAAAAAAATGTTATATATGTGGCATAGTTTTTAAAATAGAAAAAATGCAACAAATTATTCTTGAAAGTTCCGAATGCCTAATCTGAATGGAAGAGGATTTCTCTCTGTAAAGAGTACTTTAAAAAGTCAGACTAATATTATTTAAATTGAAACTGGACTTTAAAATTAGCACGGTTTAATGCGATTTTCATTTTTAGGAATGAGACAAAAGAAAAATTAATTATGTTGAAATTTAAAGTAAACTTTTAAGTTTTTTTAAATGTTTCAGAACATTTATAATTTTACTTAAGTTCCAAAAAATGAAACAATGGTGTATATTAATTTAAATCTGTTAATTGGAGTTAAATTCGATGAAATTGAGTTAAAAACATCTGATTGAATGCTTGTTGTAGGGCTTCACAGGCTTTGGATTTGGCGACGGTGGTTTCCAGATGTCGTTTGGCATCGGTGCTTTTCCCTTCAGCTTCTTCACGTCTTCTTTCAACTTTGGAGAGCCGAGACCAAACCCTGGTTTGTCCTGCAAAAGCAAATGAATGCAAATTCTAAAAGATCCTTTGCCGCAGCTCCGGTGGGAACGCCGCAGTACGAGGAGGAGCAGTTTCTGTCGCGAGTCTTCTTGTACATCGCGTGCGTGTTCATCGTGTGGCTGCTGCTGGCCTGAGCCTTTTTGTGATTCAACAAAATCATTCCTGGACTCCGATCGACCCTCCCAGTACGCGCGAGACAGAGAGAGTTTTACACACTAAATTACCAACCTTGCGTGTAATTTAATTGTCTCAACATGTTATTGAGCCTTTTATTTCGTTTAGAATTTTGTCAGTGTACATTTTGTAAATACGAGATAGTCCGAGAGATGTTATTCACACTACGCTTGTTGTATCATAATTGAGAATATAATAAAAAGCAGTATCTATTAGGATGCAATTTTTGATATTTTCCTTTTTCATTTATGCAAAATGTAATTCAAAGCAGATCTTATATGAGACTAGATTGTGTATTCTTCACTCTATTTCATTTTTTTTTTTTTTAATTAATTCAGCCCTTAAATTTTAGCAGAAGGAACAGAACTGCTGCCCTACTCTGGTGCCTCTGGTCTGGTTGTGACTGCAAGAGTAGCCAACGTAACGAGGAAGGTAATGTGAATTGAATTTCCAAGTTTTTTTACTTGAAAGTTATTTGTTCTCAACTAAAAGGATTTTTATTGCTGGATAGCTTGGTTATGACCAGATATCTCTGGTTATGACTCATGACTTCATCAGCACAATAAAAAAATCAAGTATGCTGTACGGTTGGTACTGTCTTTGTTATTGTTTTAGGGGGCGTGGCGCATTCAGGTCCATCAAGAAAAGATGAAAATATCTGGAAATTGGGAAATTTAAAGTTCAAAAGACCTAATTGTGTGCTGATTTTGAAGTTCAGTTCGCAATTGAAAGTTTTTCCATCAATTTGTGAGACAAAATCTCTTTTCGGTGACGTCTCAGGCCTTTCAACTTGCCTCCTGATCATTTTCGGTAACATATATACTTTAGACGTGACCGCGCATTAGGAATTTGTGTTAGCAAATTGTTGCTTTAACAATAATAAATTTTGATTGTGAGCAGGGGCGCGATGGCCGAGGAGGACGAGTTGACCCTGCCGCGCGCGTCCATCAACAAAATCATCAAGGAAATCATTCCGAACATCAGGGTGGCGCAGGACTCGCGCGAACTCATCCTCAACTGCTGCACCGAGTTCATCCACCTGATTTCGTCCGAGGCCAACGAAATCTGCAACCAGAACCAGAAGAAGACCATCAACGCCGAGCACGTCTTGCAGGGTATGAGGTAGGTCAAAAAAGGAGGTCGAGTAATTTTATTTTGTTCGTCAGCCCTGGACAAGCTGGGGTTCGGCGACTACCGGCTGCCCGCGGAGACGGTCCTGAAGGAGTGCAAGTCGGTGGCGGCCAAGCGGCGCCGCCAGAGCACCCGCCTCGAGAACCTCGGCATTCCCGAGGAGGAGCTTCTGCGCCAGCAGCAGGCCCTCTTCGCCAAAGTACCTTCTCGTTTTTTTAAAATTTTTTTCTGTTTGACAAAATAAACTTGCAGGCGCGCGAGGAGCAGGCGGCCGTGGACGTGGCCCAGTGGCAGGAGGTGCAGGCGGCCGCGGCCCACCAGAGCTCCTCCTTCACCACCGACGTGCTGGTCAAAAAGGAGGAACAAGACGACGACGAGGACTACTGCTGACCTCCGCAATTCTTTTCTCGCCAAATTTGTCCAGTTTCGTCTTCAAAACAGACTGCTGTGGTTTTGTCATTGAAATAAATTGTTCATTTCTGCAAACATTTTATAATTCAGTTTTGTATTTGAACTATGCTTTTATGTTTTAGCACCAAATCTTATGAAAATTTCGAAAATTTTATGTGAATTTTTGGTTCCTGGAAATTAATTTTTTTTAAACATGCCCAAATAATCTATTTCAACAGATAAATTAATTTAAATTGGCCTAGGCCAACTTAAAAGTTGGATAATTAAGTTGTGTTCAGGTTAAGCATTATGTTATTAATCATTCAGATTGGTTCTGGTTGCAGATTTCGTTGGCCTCGGACGAAATGTAAACTTATAATATTACAATTATCATTGTTTTTTTTCTACATTGTTTATTTTAAACTGATAAGGAAAACAGTTATTTTTAAAGAAGGGGGAAATAACGCGTAATAATTAATCTATAAAGTCAAATTACCGCCACACAAATCACTTGTGGGGTGATGACTGTTGTGGTGGTACTTTGGGAAATCACCAAGTTTGCCAACTGCCCTGAGCTGCCATAACAAAACAAAGATTCAACATTATGGTGCTCGAAGAATTATTTCTGGTTCTGTTTAATTTCCAACAAACTGTTGCACACAAAAGGTGAAGCAGTTTGTGCAAGAAATTGGCAGTAAATTTGCGACAAAACTTAAAATCGAGGTAAATATTTTATATTAGTGTCTTGGAATTTTTTTAACAGAAAATTTTTGATGCAGCGATGGCAATGCAAAGACCGACGGCTGCGATCGTGGTGATCGGCGACGAGATCCTCAAAGGTCACACCCAGGACTCGAACTCGTCGTTCGCCGCCAAAATCCTGTACCGGCTGGGCGTGCGGGTGTGCAGAATCACGGCGGTCAGCGACACCAAGGAGGACATCGTCGAGGAACTGCGCCTGCTGTCCGCCAGGTACACGTTCGTGCTGACCTCGGGGGGCGTGGGGCCGACCCACGACGACATCACCTTTGAGGCGGTCGCCGCCACCTTCGACCTGCCGCTGGTCTTGGACGAGCAACTCGTGCAGATCGTCCAGTCCTTCTACGGCGTTCGCGACCTCCGCAACAACCCTGCCCTGAAGATGGCCCGCGTTCCTCAGGAGCACGAGTTGTTCTACGCAGACCCCAGTGCGGCGACCAAGAAGGCCGCCTGGGCCACCACCTTCCCCTTGGTCAAGGTCAGGAACGTGTACGTGCTGCCCGGACTGCCTGAGTGCTTCGAAGCTTGTCTGCAAGTACGGAAATCGAACCTTTTATTTTCGAATTTTTGGAACGATTTCTTTTCTCAGGGTCTGCAGCACTGCTTTCCGTCCAGCCTGGGCTCTCGTTTCATGGAGTACCTGTTCCTGCGTTCAGAAGAGAGTCTGGTGGCGCACGTCCTCGAGGACACACTCAAAAGCTGTGCAGACGTGAGAATTTTATTGTTGAAAGTTTTTCGATTTTACAATTTGGCTTGTTTTTGACAGGTGGTGATCGGATGCTACCCTGTTTTGAAAAACCCCGAGTACGAAACTAAACTGACGGTGGAGGCAGGAAGCCGCTCTGCTTTGAACCGCGCCCTTGACCTCTTGACCTCGACCCTGCCTGCCGAGTCGATCGTCCAAGTGGACGCCGTGAAATTGGCCCTGGACAAACTGCTGCACCTCAACTCGCACGAAAAGGCCAGCGCTGCCTTCGAGGTTTTCGCCGAGTGCCACCAAAGGTTCCCGGACGCGGAAATCGCCATCAGCTTCAACGGTGGCAAAGACTGCACCCTTCTGCTGCACCTGTATCACCTCTTCCTCAGGTTCGTGTTCATTTTATTTATTTAAAAAATTTCATTTATTTTAAAACTTTCAACAGGTCAAAAGGCAAGGCCGACCAAAAGACCAAGGTTCTGTACATCAGGAACCAAGAGCCTTTCAGGGAGGTGGAGCAGTTCCTGCAGGCGGCGGTCGAAAGGTACAACCTGCACCTGATCGAGTACAACGAGCAGATCAAGCCAGGGGTGGACAGACTGCTCCGAGACCATCCAAAGGTTGGACTCTTTAAATTGCTCGAAGGAAACAAATGAAATGTAAATGTTGAAGGTGGAGGCGGTCCTGATGGGCAACAGAAGCACCGACCCGTACTCGTCCACCCTGAGCACCTTCAAGATGACGGACGAAGGGTGGCCGCAGGTGATGCGCGTGTTCCCCCTGCTCGAGTGGAGCTACGCCGAGGTGTGGCAGGCGATCCTGCTGCTGAGCGTCGAGTACTGCAGCCTCTACGACCAGGGCTACTCGTCCTTGGGCAACCCGCGCAACACCGCACCCAACCCGGCCCTCAGGTACGAAGACGAGCACGGCGTCGTCAGGTACAGACCGGCGCACGCTCTCGTCAACGGCGCCGAAGAAAGGGCTGGCAGGAACATCAAGGCGACGCCCTAATCAACTTTGGCACAAATTTTTACCTCTGTGAATTTCGTCGGTGTCTAATTTGGGCACAAACAAGTCAAATAATTAAAAAAAAATCAAGTGATATTTATGAAAATGAAAAAGGGTATTTTTCAATTTATTCATTTGGAGCTAAAAACCAACTGTTTTAAATAAATTATGTTTGATATTATTGTTAAAAGGTTGCTACTTTGTTAATGCTGTGCTAAAATAAAATGACATTCAAACATTGACGTGTTTCATTCCTTTCTCTTCAATTTAGCGAGCAGCTGTTCTTGTCTGGATTTAATGTTGGAATTCCCCTCATAATCAAGCGGCGATGGTGGTGTAATGGTGAGCATAGTTGCCTTCCAAGCAGTTGATCCGGGTTCGATTCCCGGCCATCGCACTTTTTGCTTCCTGATTATCTTCACGATAATTGATTAATTTCAATAATTATCTTGTTATTTATTTCTTTTCCATTAAACTTTCACATGTATTTAGTATTTCTTTAAAAACAATTAGCTCCTTCCGTTAAAATTTATTTAATCAGCCATTAAAATGTGTTTGTTTTATTACTGTGAATGTATTTTATTTTAGTGACTTGCCTTGAAAACATTACTTTATTTACCCAGCATTGTGGTTGAAAGGGTTGCAAAAATAGTGAAGACGATGCCATTTTTCATGGATTATCGAAGAAAAAAAAAAATCATTTCGTAGAATTTTCAGTTTATTTTGTATAAATAAGTAGCAAATATGGCAATTACATATATATATATTAATTAAATTTATTCCACATCATTGTTATTGCACATGTTATTGAACTTCTGAGAACAGTTTGTGCATAAAAATTTCCAGTGCTGGACGGTTAACTTACAAATAAGCAGGACTAGCTCAAAGCACAAAGAATCGAAGAAGAAAAAAATGAGCAATTTTCCTAATAGAAAGATAAAAACTTAGAAGGAAGAGATACGCATTGGAAATAGAAGGCGTTTTATTCTGGTGGTCTCTTGTGAGCACCCCAGCCGTGGAAGCACTTGGTGAATCGCTTTGACTCCTTGTTCTTGAGGGTGAGGAACAGTTTCCTCGGGATTTCCGGCTGCTTCACTCGCATGTGTTGAATGTACACCTGAATTAATCAATTAATTAAAGATTTACACAATTGAAATTTGGAAACGTACCTGGGCCGACTTGTAGGCCAACTTGATTTCCACTTCACTGCACTTTGCACCCAGCCAGAGGAAAACTTGGTCGCCGTTGTCCAGAATCATGATGTCGTCGTCGGCCAAGTCCTCCTATTTTTTTGCATTCAATTTCTTTGGTCACAAAACATGAGATTTTGACGAACCTGGCAGAAATCGGAACACTTTTCAGAGACCACGAAGTAGCCTTTTTCGTTGGAGCATCGGAAGAGCCTCGTGTACTTGAGGAAGTCGGCGTTGTCTTCGTACGGCTTTTTGCCTCCGAGGCCGACCCAGAAGAAGTTGTCCGGCTCCTCACCTTCATTCAGAATTTGCAGGCTGTACTTTTCCTGAACGAAAAAGAGATTATAGAAAAAAGCTGCTCACTCATATTCTCATTACTTACGATGTCGTACATGCCCCTGGCGATTTCCTCGACCAATCTGGCCTCGTCCGGATCGGATTTTGCCCCGATCCACACGTAAATGATCCCGTTGGCGTCCTCTTGGTCAAAAGGCACTTTCAAAATGTAGCTGCGGAAGAAAAAAATTGAATTTAGGGCGAAGAAAATAGTCCCAGGAAAAAAAGGTTTTAACCCGGCAAAAAATTCTAGGTTTGATTTTCACCCATAAGATTAACACTGCGCAGAAAACCTCATTTTTCAACTTTTCCGCATTCATAAGTTTTGCTGATTTGGATTTAGAAGAAAATGTTAAATACAAAAAATATGCAAAATTAAATTTCCCACAAGTTTTGTTTTAAACATTTCTCTAAAAAATGTTTTCCTCAAGAGCTAGAGCTAAAGAACTAATAAAAAAATGAGAAATATTTGAACAATCAAAAATTTTGGCACCAAAAATAGCCGCATTTTAATAAACTTGGTAAGTTTTTGAAAGCCAATGAAATTTCCTACCGAATGACGTTGGTCACATGTCTGTACAAGGAATAGAAAAATTACTACAAAAATTAAAAATTACGCCACCTTTCAAAGGTACTTTTTAACCTAGAAAGGGTAGCGGCAGGGAAATCTAAGAAAATGCACCCCCAATAGATGTTAAAAATTTACTTTGGCATGAATTTTTTCCGGGTTAAATGCTTTTGATTCCTGGACTAAAAGCAGAAACGGATCTCTCACCAGAAGGCCGAGTTCAGGGTGGCTGCGTCAGGTCTGACCTGGATGCACCTTGTGCAGAGAACGCTGCCGTTGGAGCGCAACTGGAAGAATTCGACGGCGGCCGCCTGCTGCTGGGCCTCGTGCTCGGTCGAGGTGTCCCCGTCGGACGCGACCGCCTTCACCTTCCTCCGCTTCCCCGAGTGGATCACGAACTTGCGGCGGAAGTGCGACAAAAACTTGGGGTTTTCTTGCTGCTGATGTGTGCGCACCACCTCCAGCTTTTCCCCGAACAGGGCTTTGAATTTTTTCTGCAAGCTGTGCGCAGCGTTACGAGTTTGAAATAGGAAAATTCGGTTCCGACACATACTCCAGTCAAGTTTTTACCAGGAACAAATTCAATGAGCTCAATTTTTTACCAGTTCTTGCAATGAAAAGCTGAAAAATCATTGCTCCCAAACACAGAATCTCAATTTAAATTAGTTTTATATCTTTATTTGTCAATTAGCTTTCGTCTTAACTGACTTTAAGTAGTTTTATTTGTGATTCTGGAAAGGCTAAAAGGTAGAAACCGTTCAGATCTTGTTATGGCACAAAATAAATTTATTTCAGCAAAAACTTATATTTATTTAAATATTAGAGTAACCAAAGTTCTCAAAATTTTTGAATATTCAAACTTTTCCGATTGGATTTAGAAGTAAATACATAAAATGTGCAAAATTAAATCTCCTAAAACCCTTGTCCGAAACATTTTCGGAGTGGAAAATCCATTTTAATAGAATTTAAAAACAAATGTATTGTAATTATTCCAAATTATTTAAATATTTTGTTCCAAAACAGGGTCTGTGCGATTTATGACTGAATTTCTTATTTCTAGGCCACATTTTTGTCTTTCCAGAACTTTCTCGTTAAAAATTGAGCTTCAATTGAGCTTCGGGATCAAACTCGTTTTTTATTAAACCACCTGAAAGTGAAAGTGAGCCAGCCCATGTTGCCGGCGTCCCTTCCTTGCCAGAAGTAGACGATGCACTGGAAATCGTCTTCGACCGGCTCGTTGGGATTTTCCTCCTCTCCCTCGGGCACGTCCAGGGGCACCCAGTATCGACACAGGAACACGTAACAGTCCTGACTGTAAAAGTGTCCTGAAAACGGCCCCAGAATTAATTCTCATTCGACTCCAACCGAGTTCTGCAAACCAAGTTCCTCGTCGGGCAGCCGGACGAACTTCCTGCCTTCGAGGACAAACGGCTCCATGGCCTCGAGGTCCTCGTTCCACTCCTCGATCAGCTGCTGCGCCTCCTCCACGTTCATGGGCGTCTGCCTGGGCATGAAGAGGGCAGCAAGGTCGGCCTTGGTCTCCTGTTGCCTGGCCCACTTGGTCAGGTCCGCGCCCGTCCTCTGCACGGACTCGGCCGTCCTAGTGAAGTCGACCGCGATCACCTCGTCCCACCCGCTGAACTTCAGCTTGAAAATCTGCACAAATTTCCGTTTCAGACCAAAACTTCTGCGAGAATTTCCAAACCTGAGACTCGGTGCCCTCCTGCACTCTGGAAATCATCGCGTACTCGGGTCGGTCGATCATGGTGAAAAGCTCCGAGGACAGTTTCACGGCGGCCGCCCTCACCAGTCTCGTCGACTTCTTGCCAAACCTGAAAAATCTTTCCTTCAGCACTCGCAATTTAATCGAACTCGAAATTTACCAAACAAAGACGTCGAGGAAGCAGTCGAGGATGTAAACGTTCTTGCTGCTCAGAAGAGAACTGACCAGTTTCTGGTGGGGGATCTCGACCTGGGGCAACTCCAGGTAGCCCATGCCCAGGCACACTTGGTACAACCTGGGCGTCGGCACCGTGAAGTCCTCCGGCACGTGTTCCTGCACTCGAAATTATTAAGAAAAAATCAGGGGTAAAAAAGGAAATGTCACTTCTGGAGGGTCTTCCGGCGCAAATCCAACCTCGTCCCCGAGAACTCGCCAAAACTCGCTGCTCTCGTCGCCGGGAGTTTCGTTGATGATTTCAGACTTGTTTTTCCTCTCGTTCTTGTTGATTTTTTCAGTCAGCAGTCTGAAGTTGCAGGATTAATTAAAGAGACAAACCTCTCCTCACACCCACTCACCTCGATTTGGATTTCAGTGTGTTTTTGGACTTGCGTCCCTGCCAGAGGTAAATTTTAGACCCACTGTCGACCACAAACACAAATCTCGGGTCCAGCGACTCCACTTCGCAAGCCACAGGCTCCAGGTGGATGGACGCTCCGGACGGATGGACTCTGTACATGCGGTTGGCGAACACCTGAGTGGAAGCAAAAGTTTTAAAAACAACGATCGGGACAAATAATTTCAGCACATTTTCTTCAACGGTGTAAAAGCCACTGGCGGTGCGGCCGCCTTCGATGTAAGCAATGTCGCAAGTGAACAGATACATGAACTCGTCCGACTCCTCGGCCTGCTCCTCTCGGATTGTGCGACACTGCGCCCCCAGGAAGTTCCTCAGGTGCACTGCGTGGATTGCCGCGCACGCCCTCTTGTCCAGCTGCGCAAAATTAAATAAAATTCTTAAAAATTCTAAACAAAAAATGTAAGCTTTCGAATTACAGTGGCTTTCGAGCCAATCCAGAAGTAAATGTTCCAGTCGAGAGAACCCTGGGGGTCCAAAAAGGTCTGCAGAACAATGTAGCAGTCTCCCTCGTAGAACTTTCCGTGCGCAACTTCCTCGATTTGATTGGGCAGGAAATTTTCAATTTCCCACACGGACAGTCCTGGGTATTGGCCGGTGTCTTCGTCGAAGAACTCGGACAAGTCCAACGGCGGTTTTTCCAAAGTTTCGTCCCAGCGCTTTGGCCTAGTGGAGGAGAAAGTCAAGAAACCCGGCGAGAATTAACTTAAACTCACTTTAAATGTTCCACTTTTATTTCCTCGGGCGATTTCTGCCTGTTCTTCTCCTTGGCAATGTCTTTCATTCCCTGCAAATTTCAAAAGGTTTATAAAACGTGAAAAAGTAAACTCGAATTTGGAAACCTTGAGAATTTTGGCTTGGTCTTGGTCGGCCTCTTCCTGCTGGTCTCTTCGCCCTCTGCGCAGTCTCATTTTCCTGGCAATGGGATCTTTGACCGGAGCTGCACAAATTCCAATCAGGTAATTACTGAATTAAAACAGCTAATGATAATTTTACTTGAGCCGGAATTTGATGCCGGAGAGGGTGGCGCCGCCCCCGCCAGTCTCAACTGGTGCTGCAGACTGAAGTCGATGTTGTAAAACTCGATGCCCGCCCCTCTCTGGCCGACCGCATTCATTTCTCCCGGCTTGGGCGGCATCACCAAGTCAGGGTTGTTCCTCAGGTCCAGTTCCTCCAACTCGGTCAGGTGCACGGCCTCGGGCAGCGTGACCAGACGGTTGTTGGCCAGGATGAGTTTTTTCAACGAACCGCACCTGAAGAGACCTTCAGGAACCATTTCCAGCTTGTTGTTTGCGGCCGAGAAAACTTCCAGGGCGCCCAGCTTGCCCATGCCGGACGGAATGCCCTCGAAGTCGAGCTGGTTGTTGTTGACGTAGAGACGTCGGAGTGCGTTCAGTTTGCACAGGGCGGCCGGCAACGCGGTCAGCTCGTTTCTGCACAGGTTCAGGTTCTCCAGATTCTGCCAAACCTCTGAAAGAAATAATAATAAAAAAAGATGAAAGGTTTGAACGGTTTGAAAAAAGTACCCATGTTCTGGGGCATGTCGGTGAGTTTGTTGTTGGCCAAGTTGAGTCTTTTCAGATTGGGCAGAGTGAACAAGGCGTCGGGCACTCTCGGAAGGTCGTTTTGGGCAAGATCCAGTTCCACCAAACTTGTCAGGGCTTCGAGGCTGGCCGGAATGTTGTTCAGGGTCCTCTGCGTCGCCCGCATGTGCAAAACCGCCAGCGACTGCAGCGAGGGCAGTTGCCTGAAAAAAACCAAACTTTTCATTCAAACGAAGAAAGCGAAAGCGCAAAACAAAACCTGAGCTGGAAGTGGCCAAGGGGGTTGTGGCTCAGGATCAACGTCTGCAGGTTGGCCAGTCTTCTGGTTTGCGGGGGCAGCGTTTCCAGCTGGTTGTGGCTCAGGTCCAGGAAGAGCAGGTCGGTCAGGTGCATGAAGAGGGCGCTCGGCACGCCAGCAATGCTGAAATTTGTCAAAAATTTGTGAAAATCAGGTCGCTTTTGGCCTTTGCTCGCACCTGTTGTGGCTCAGGTTGAGCACCAGCAGCGACCTGGCCGTTTCCATGCCGGCAGGAACCTCCCTCAGGTTGTTGTGGCTCAGGTCCAGGGTGGTCAGTTCCTCCAGCTTGAAGAGCTCCGCAGGCACGCCCGAGGTCTTCACCTTGTTCCGTCGCAAATTCAAACTCCGCAGGCAGTTCAGGTCTGTCAACTCGCCGTACAGACGGTCCAGGTTGTTTCCTTTCATCGACAGATTTTCCTGAACAAAAGCATTGAAATTTAATAATAAAAATATCAAATCATAATGTCTTACAAGTTTCACAAGTTTCCCCATTTCTTCAGGAACAGTTGACAGATTTGTTTTGTCCAATTTAAGCCACTGGACGCCAGTCATGAGCTTCACGGTGGTTGGAAATTTTCCATCCTAAAATTTACCAAGAGAAAACAATGTTTTTATAGAAATATTTTTTTGTTATGATTGTTGATAAAATCTCGGGCAAGTGAAAAGGGGCGTTGTCGCAGGTGTTTTTTGTTCGCCTGTTTCTACTTGTTGGAGGGAAATTTGGAGGCGGAAAATCAACAAATCGGGTCAAGAAAATCTCTAATAATGAAGAGACGTTGAATTAAATCGAAATAAACTCACGCTGAAGTCATTATTCGTGAAATCGACTCCTCTGACGAACGGCAACACTCCCGTGTTCGCCATCTTTCTTCTCGCCGATGGCGTTTTGTTTAGGGGGCGGGGCCAGAGGATTCAAACTTTGAGATCTTTTTTTTGGATTGGAATAAGAAATAAAAGACATTCTTATCCTATTAAATCTATATTGTTCTAAAACCTACGAATAATAAAATTTTCTTTCGGGTTTAGGAAACTAATTTTGGAGAAAATAAAGACCCAGAACAGTTTTGTATTCGACAAGCTTTGATATTTATTATATTAAAAGCATTAAAGGATTAACAAAAATTTATGGTTTTCATATACTTCTCTCTCGGCAAAGTTTACACTCTATTATTTTGCTATAATTTCTAAATTAATCTTTCGATAAGCTTCAGATACATAAAATATAAGCAGTAAGCACAGTCGACATTAAAACACAACATGATGCTGTCACTATTACTTGCAAACCAACTGCTCGTTATTACTTTAATCTCGAAAATTGGAACAAAATTCACATAACAATAATAAAATGTTACAGTAAGAAGCAATTTGATTATTTTTATATGTACAGAATATTTCAAATTCAAACAATAATCAGAGCATGAGGATTGAAAGGGGCAGGATTAAACAACAAAATCAAAATTATCTTATGATTTAAGGAGAGGCTTTGGCAGAAAAATGGCCTGATCAATTTTAATGGTAATTTTTCTCTACATTAGCATTGGGCTTTGGATGTCAGTTCCAAGAAGATATAGCAAGAAAAATTTAATTCATTGGGAGAAATGAATTTTTGAAATTTAACACGGGTTCATCTTATGGGAATTTTCTCAAATAATTTTTTTTCTCAAAATTGGCCCGATCAAAATTGATAAAAATTACAGAAAATCATGTTCATATCACCCCAATTTAGATAGAAAAATAAAATCATAAGGTCAGTCGACATAAAAAATTTACATTGATCTTATGGGAAAAGGTTGAGAAGTTTTTTTTACAGTGTAGATGTCATAAGCTCCTCGTTAAAAAAAAATGTTCTTGACATGCGAGACAATTATAAAAATAGCACATAAAAATCGATTAGAACACTCATTAAGGAAAAGTGGACCTGGATGCATTCGTTATTGCGCTACATACACAGCCGCACTGACGGTGGCGCCAAAGACGGTGAAGCTCGGTCCTTGCCTGCCATGGATGGTGTCGATCTTCTTCCAGGAGTTGTTGGTGGTGTCGTGGGTGAAGAGGGACGCGAGGCGAGTTTGACCGTTGCCAACGGTGACAAGGAGACAGGCCCGATTGAAGACGAGCTGGCCTACTCTTACAGTCGGTGGGAAATCTTGGTCAACTGTTCCTTCGTGGGCGCAGCGTCCCAGTCGAACAGGGCATCCCACCACAAACCCTGTGGGGTTGACAACTTCGATGCGGGTGAGCTGCCCGGCACACTGTAAATTGTACCAAAATTAAGATTTTTTTAAATTCAATTTGTAAACTAAATAACAACCTCAGTGCACGCCTCGCTCGAGTGAATGCTGCGGCATCCTGAGGCCACGTGGTCCTGCAGATGCTCGAACGGGAGGGTTGTTTTTCTGCCGATGCGCGTTGAGAGATTTGAGCATGATTGACAAACGTGGTAGATCATGATGCTGGTGATCCCTGAGCCCCAGACAAAGTCCAACGGCAACAACTTCCTCTCACCAACGCCCTGCAAGCATCCAGGGTGTCTCTGCATCCTGTTGAAATTTTTTCAATTAGTTACAAATCAATTGTAAAGGGGAAAATACTCGCATTTCAACCGCAATGGACGATCGAAGTTGCTCCATTTGCGTCGAAATTTGTCCTCGCGTCCTGATGGCCTGCTCACAAAAGTCTCGGACAAAATCTCCAGCAAAGGTTGTGACGGAGCGAAGGAATCCAATCGAACCCTGTAACACACGAATCATCAATTTCAATTCTCAAATAATAAATGGAAGGTTCGCAGTAAAAATGAAACACAAAATTTAAGCTGCCATCCAAAATATGGTTGATACTGAAGTTAGCTTTGATAACAACAAAGAAACAACGCACATTTTCTCGGCGCCTCCCAGGAACGTTTCTTTTCTTTTAAATTCCTCTTCTATTCTTAATTCTTTACTTTTAACTCTAAATTCAATGGAAGCTCAACAGGATTCCAATTTTACAAAGCAATTTGAAAATAACAAAAAAAGAAAATAAAAGTGAAAATACTCACCATGACCACAATTTGCACCAGCATATGCAGGAAGGTATCTAAAGCAGCGAGATCTTCAACTGCAACACTGTGATTGGGGATTCCTGCCCCTGTCAAGCTCGCTCTCAGGCTGGCCGGCTGGACTGCAGGGACTGCAAAAGAAATTGTCATTTAAAGATTCTATTTGTGTGTGTAAATAGTCACTGACCGGCCGCGTCTTCAAAGTTCCTGTTCTCAGGCAGACGGATTCTGGTGTCGGCCAGCACTAAAAATATAAGGAAAATCACAAATAAGGATGACTCTGGACTTTTCTTACTAAAATATGGTCTTAAATTTTCAAAAATTTGTATTCTGATAAACAAATTGGGGTCAAATTAAAGAGTCGAGTCACCAGACAGATTATTATTGGCTCTTACGGGAAAAAGTGTTGAGCCTACTTGAATTCGTGGATTTGGAGCCAAAAATGGCAAACAATAGTATTTTCAAATAGATTACCTAGTTGCAGTATGTGCTGAGGAATTTGATTGGACGTGTTTTGCTGTTGGCCTTCCATGTTGTCGGACGAGTTCAACCTTTTTCAACCCCGCCTCAAGTGCCTTTTGTAGGGAGACAAAAGTTGTGGATATGCGATGGGCCTCGATTACTTTCACACCGGGGGAACTAGACAGAAAAATTAATTAATTAGTTTTAAACCATATTATTTCACATTAAAAAACAGTGTTCCCAAAAAATCTACTAAAGTTGCCATGTAAAATTGAGTGGCAAAAGCAAATAATAAAAGTGACTTGGTTCCTTCTTTCGCTCAAACGTCCCATCAGGAAAAGTAAAACATCTTTGCCTGAATTACTGTGGCAGCAGTTTTGGTAAATATTTCTGTCGGCCTCATTGGACTTTAACAAATGTGAAAATTTTTAATTATTTGAAGAAAATAATTGTTTGCAGCAATTTATAAATTCACAGAGGGCTCAAAAATCAGCTTTAAGAATTAATTTTTGTCTCTAGCGCCAATGGAAGCCGAAGATGCTGATCAAAATGGGCAGATTTCTGCTCTATCATGTTTATGTAGCTTAAGTTTGATCAAATTTGTTGCTTTTCGAAACCAATTCGTAACTTTTTATTTCCGAAAGTTGTATTTTCAATATGTCAACTTCCAGCAGCAATGACCGCCAAATACTAAACCAATGATTATTACGGTCTGTTGATGAATAAAAATAGTGATTAATATAACAAATGGTAATGATTTAATCTAAATTATCAATCTTTGATTTAAATTGATTTCAATTGATATATAATATAAATATATGGCCTCTCATTAAAACTATGATACACGACCATTAAAAAATTATTAATCAATAAAAATAAGATTTAATCAATTGCGATTCATTAATTTGATACATCCAAAAGTACTTCAAAACGAGTTTTTTTTATTCGGAGAGCATCAACTTTTCAGTTCTGTTAGTGAAAGTATGAATCAAACTTTATTTTTTGTCTTAAATTTCAAACAGATCTACCATCAAAGTCCACTGCCAAATCGCAGACATTGCTGGAAAAATTCCTGACAGTTGGACTTTGGCCACATCAAAAATTCCAGTATTGACACTTGAAAAATGCGCGAAATGTAGAGCGCGCTGGACGCCGCCGCAAATTCCGTTCGCTCTTGCAAGGAGTTGAAATTCAGCTGCCAAAGACGATGCCTTCTAGAAAGTGCTTTTTCACAAAATTTAATCCTAATTTTAAAGAATTCGCTATTAACACCATGATAAATAAAAATGCTTTAGTATTTATTTCAAATTTGCTTTTAAAGTTGCGTTTAAATTTTTGAGGATTTATCAAAGTTGATTTAATTACGAAATTCAAAAATAAATAATTAAAGAGCGCGCATCGATTTTAAAAAATATTGAACAAAAACACTTCTTTTTTTTTTATTTTCTCATCTCTTGATATCAATTCAAGTTTTCGATCATTTTTATAATTGCACGATCAAATTGATAAATCGAGCATTTTACAAAGCGTCATTAAATTAATGACGGTCCTTGTGATTTAATTCAATTTCTCTTCTAATAAATCTTCGATCAATTTGCTGAAAAAAACTTTTGATTCTTCAATTTTCCTATTAATTGTAGCTGCGTGTTTTTGCAGATCGTCATGAAACGTACAAAATTTAATCAACTTCCTCGGCGAATAATTTATTTGAATAAGTCGACCTACGAATTTGCAATAGTGGCCGAGGTCGTAGGGCACAGTTCAAGGCCACCTTTTACAAATTAGACTGGCAAATTTTTTCGCAAATACAAAAATTAAAGAAATGAAGAGATCGGGCTTTTCCTCGTTGCAGAAAAATTGTTTTTATTCAAAAACAAATGGCTCTACCAGTTTCGGTCACGGTCTGCGACCCTATTTCAAATAGCTCAACACGCGACTGAATTTGGCCATTCTTTTGCCTGGTCAGATGCAACGGTTATTAAATTCGAACAAAATCAATCAAAAAGAAAAGTGCTGGAAGCAATGGCAATGGCATGCGGTAATAATGTAATAAGCCAACCGAGCCACCAATTCGATCAAAGGTGGATGTCCTTTTTGAGAGAGGAAGCAAACAGCTTTTTCTCGAAAACGCATAATGTGCCCGACGTCATTCGGCGCCCCCGTGGTCGGCCGCGCCGCGCGCTAATCACCCAATAAAGATCACCTCCCCCAATCAATCTGTCTTTAGCTAGCTCATTCTTGTATTAGCCAGCGAGCAGCGCGTTTGCTCATGAAATAGGTTGGTACCTGAATTTGTTAGTTTTTAAGAATTTAATTTTTTATTTAAAATGTGGTGTTTTTTCAATTTGCTGATTTTTTGTATTTTTCTTGCTCATGAAATAGGGTCGCAGACCGTGACCGAAACTGGTAGAGCCATTTGTTTTTGAATAAAAACAATTTTTCTGCAACGAGGAAAAGCCCGATCTCTTCATTTCCATGATCATCTCCTCGAGTGTCAACTTCTTCAAACAAACAAAAATTAAATATTAATTGAGGGGTTCTGTTTCAAAATGTGTGGTCTGGACCTTCAAATTGAAAAAGTTGCCAGCGTCCCAATTTAAATACAAAATAAAGAAGAAGAAAAATTGTTTGGAAAATTTTCCAACTTCTATAAAAATAACGGAATTTTGTTGCTGCACTTTTCGCACATCCATCTCTTCATTCTTGTAATAATTCTAACAAGTTGATATAAATTTTCTCTACAGACATTTATATGGAAACGTCATGCAAACTAACAAGAGCTCGAATTGTTCAAATATCTTGTTGGATCAAGTTCGATTTATTTTCTTCCACAGGGCACGCCAAATGTTGGAATTCGGTGCTGCGAATGCCGAGAATTTGTGTAAATCACGAAGCAAAAAATTCAAACGGTGATCAAGGTCGAAATTGCAAGCGAGCTGAACATGCAATTCGAGGAATGCACCTTGATGACGACGAAATTTAAAAAATAGGAGTTCTTATACAATTAATTATACCTTAAGCGAAGCGTCTGCAGACTTGGCGAGCCTTCGAGGACGAAGTTGTTCAACGCGCTGCTTTTGTGGCGAAGACGGATTTGGATCTTGTCGGGCGGACGGTGCGGCGGAAAATCTGGAATCTGAACCTGTCAGGAGAGACGTCGACGCCACTCCTCACTCTGCTGCTCTGAGGCCTCTGAGCCCTGAGGTCTGCGCCGCGCCAGCCGCCAAGTGAAATGGAGCTCCAGCGCCCTCACCTCTGCAGTCACACCTGCGAACCACATTTTCTGTTAGTTCAATTCTCGCCCTGTGGGTGGCGCAAGCAGGTGAGATGTGAGGACAACACTACAACGGAGGGAGGAGCCTAAGAGCGCCTAGCACGGTGGAGATAGGGAGTCTCCTCCCTTGTTCACATTCCCTATTTAGCAATACTTCAGCCTAGCAAACATGCAAATTTTTAAGAACGGGGTTAAAAACACCGGGACCCGGTGTGAAAATGACGTCAATATGTTATAAACACCGGGATCCGGTGTGGAAAAAATTTGTCAATATGTTATTTACACCGGGAAAAAGTAGAGGCGGTTTTTAACCAAAATGCAATACCGATAACCGTTCAACATTGAGAACCGCAAACGTTTCAAGGGCTTTAATTTGAAAATATTAATTCTTCAATAAATTTTTCCCTTTAATTTCGTGTGCGCGCATTTCACCGATCGTAGACCACACCTTTTGTAGGCAACTCCGTTGTGGGTTTGCGAGCTTCGGGCTGGAGGCGCGCTCGCCCGAGAACGTGGTGAAGGCCGGCTCCGGGCGGGATAAAAGGGCGGGGATCGTGGGGGGGCTCCTGAGCCCCCCCACGAACACAGCCGCCCTTTTGTCCTCGCCCTGCGCACGGCCTTCCCCACGTCCTCGACCTCGCTGCGCCTCCACCCCTCGCTCGCGGCTTCTGCAAAAATTAATCTTGGGGGTTGCCCAACTCCGAGTTGCCGGATCGTGGGGTGCCTACAACTTCGTCTGCATGCTCGTTGGTGAAATTAAAAAAAAAGGAATATGTATGCATAATTTGAAATAAAATATGGAATTTTCATGAATATAAATTTTCGGTATAGTTCGAAATCTTGAAAAAAATTAATAAAGTATTTCTAGACGTGGATTTGAACCCGCCAACCTGTGCTTTGGAAGCGGGTGCGTTATCGCGACACTGCTACCGCTTGCAATGATGGTGAAATTTATTGGTATTTATCGTTCCGTGTTTCAGTACCGGTTGCGATTCTCAACCGGTAGTGGAGAGTCGGTTTTTTGGCATTGCAATAATTGGTCGTTTTTTCCCGGTGAAAATAACATACTGGCGCCAGCATCACACCGGGTCCCGGTGTTTTTAACCCAAATTTTTTTTAATTGTACATTTGACATTTGCTGGACTTTTGAATAAACTTTTGCTGATCCAATTTGCTTTTTCAATTTTGGATTTGCAATTAAAGTGAGCAACGCATTTAACATTCCATATTAAATTGAGTAGCTCGGACAGTCAGAAGAAAAGAAAACTCACCCTTTTGCCGGTGTGTTTCGCGTTGGTTTCGCCAGGACTATCACGGGTGACCTCAGGTGGAGGTTGTTGAGGGGAAAGGCGGGGGACTCGCTTAGAGACCCTGGTTTTTCCTCCAAGGCACGGCGGCGGGTCGGGCGCCGTGATCCAGCGCGCCCCTCTGCGGGGGTGGCGCAGGTGAGGACGGCTTACCCTGGCAACGCCGCAACCCGGCCGAGCCAGGGCGGCGCGGCCGTACCGCGGGTCACGCGCCCCCACCACACCCCGAGGGCCTCAACAGGGGCTTCGACGAGCAGCTCCAGAATGTCGACGGCCAACTGCGTCTGAATAAATAAATAAATATTTTGCAACTTATTCTTCAGCACAAGATCAAACTCCAACATTCAAAGGTTTTGATGTTATTCTTTTTAATATATTTTAAAAGCCTACATCAGGAGAAGAATGATATTTCAAAGCCAAATTTCATCCTTTTTTCAAAATTTTTTGTTCAGAAAGTTTCCCATTCTGAATCAATCAAGTTTTTGTAAAATAAATTGTGTTTGTTCAAATGAAGCACTACAAGCTTCAGTTTCAAAACCACTCCTAAAAGATTGAATTTAATTTTTTACTTTTAGCATAATATTTCCTATAATTTCTTAAGAACCAAGGCGAGATTCAAAAAGCACCTTTAATTTTCCGTCAGTCTAATTTTTTGCAACTTGCACAATTTATTACTTGAAAATGAAATAACAGGGCAACATGCTTGCTGCTTTATGCGAGGTTCAACTTAACAACAGCAAAAAATGTTTTACAACAATTTTTATACGATATATTTGTTTTAATTCAAATTGATTCAGAAAAAAATGACAATATTTCAAATCATTGTAATTCTCTCCGAGAATTTCAAGTTTCAAGGAACTTATGCCAATTTAAAAGTAGAATGGAAATAATAAAAATTTTACACTTAACCCTTTATAATTGTTAAATTTTCTGAGGCTTTCGAAAGCTCATTAAATTTCTCATCAATCGGTGTTTCCGTCATTTTGAAGACATAGAAAATTTTACTGGTAAAATACAAAACCTTTTAAAGTTTAAAAAAACCAAAGGAATTAAAGCATGGCAAGTCTCAAAGCACAAGTTGCGGACTTACCAGTAATCTTGGTGGCCGATTTCTTGCCGAAGGAGGCCTTGGAGGCGGCAGTGCCAAAGAGCGTGGCCACGGGCCTGGTCTTGCCCATTTGCTGTTGGGGCCGTTGCTGCCGAAATGTTTTCCAAACTGCTCGGCTGCTTCCGAAGGCTGGTGAAGCCGCAGTTTCCTGAGGCGACTCGCAATTTGCATTTTGATGAACTGAAAAACAAACGGTTCTGAAGCGGAATTTTGTTTCGCCCCAGGACGAGTTGCCAAAGGGGACACGGCCCAAACAGGGACAACTGCTGCAGGCTGAAACAAAAAGCAATAATTTTTTAAACATCATTCAATTACATAAAATCGAAGGTCTCTTTTAAATTTGAAAGCTGCTTTTGACCTGGAGACAACACTGATAAGTCTCGGAATTTAAATTACGTTCTGCACTAGGTACTTTGGCGGCAAAAGATCACCTTCAACTTTGACTTTTTAGCCTTTGAACAATGCATCGAATCAAAACCTAAGCCAAGATAACTTCTATTTTCAAAAATCTCCCAATGAACCCAAAATTTGGGAGAAGATTGAGGTTTTCGTACCTCACCCTGCTGGGTTCCCTCGCGTCCGTGCCCACAAGCGAGATTGATGGTTCCCGAAGAGGCCCAAGAGGGCCCTGAGGGTCGGTTTCGCTGGGCAAACCTGGAGCTGGCCAAAGGGACGAGCCCACGCTAAACCTGATTTCAAAACAGGCAGCGTGACCAGACGGTTTTTGGCCAGGATGAGTTGTTTCAACGAACCGCACCGGAAGAGACCTTCAGGAACCATTTCCAGCTTGTTGTTTGCGGCCGAGAAAACTTCCAGGGCGCCCAGCTTGCCCATGCCGGACGGAATGCCCTCAAAGTCAAGCTGGTTGTCGTTGACGTAGAGGCGTCGGAGTGCGTTCAGTTTGCACAGGGCGGCCGGCAACGCGGTCAGCTCGTTTCTGCACAGGTTCAGGTTCTCCAGATTCTGCCAAACCTCTGAATGAAATAATAATAATAAAAGATGAAAGGTTTGATCGCGATTTGAAAAAATACCCATGTTCTGGGGCATGTCGGTGAGTTTGTTGTCGGCCAAGTTGGGTCTTTTCAGATTGGGCAGCGTGAACAAGGCGTCGGGCACTCTCGGAAGGTCGTTTTGGGCAAGGTCCAGTTCCACCAAACTGGTCAGCGCCTCGAGACTGGCTGGAATGTTGTTCAAGGTCCTCTGCGTCGCCCGCATGTGCAAAACCGCCAGCGACTGCAGCGAGGGCAGTTGCCTGGAAAGTAAAAACAAACTTTATAATTTCAAACAAAAAAAGCCCAAAACAATACCTGAACTGGAAGTGGCCGAGGGGGTTGTGGCTCAGGATCAACGTCTGCAGGTTAGCCAGTCTTCTGGTCTGCGGGGGCAGCGTTTCCAGCTGGTTGTGGCTCAGGTCCAGGAAGAGCAGGTCGGTCAGGTGCATGAAGAGGGCGCTCGGCACGCCAGCAATGCTGAAATTTGTCAAAAATTTGTGAAAATCAGGTCGCTTTTGGCCTTTGCTCGCACCTGTTGTGGCTCAGGTTGAGCACCAGCAGCGACCTGGCCGTTTCCATGCCGGCAGGAACCTCCCTCAGGTTGTTGTGGCTCAGGTCCAGGGTGGTCAGTTCCTCCAGCTTGAAGAGCTCCGCAGGCACGCTCGAGGTCTTCACCTTCTTCCGTCGCAAATTCAAACTCCGCAGGCAGTTCAGGTCTGTCAACTCGCCGTACAGACGGTCCAGGTTGTTTCCTTTCATCGACAGGTTTTCCTGAACAAAAGCATTGAAATTTAATAAAAAAAAGAAAAATACTGTCTTACAAGTTTCACGAGTTTCCCCATTTCTTCAGGAACAGTTGACAGATTCGTTTTGTCCAATTTAAGCCACTGGACGCCAGTCATGAGCTTCACGGTGGTTGGAAATTTTCCACCCTAAAATGTAGCAATAATTTTAATTTTTTGTTATGATTGTTGATAAAATCTCGGGCAAGTGAAAAGGGGCGTTGTCGCAGGTGTTTTTTGTTCGCCTGTTTCTACTTGTTGGAGGGAAATTTGGAGGCGGAAAATCAACAAATCGGGTCAAGAAAATCTCCAAAAATGAAGGGACGTGGAATTAAGTCGAAATTTACTCACGCTGAAGTCATTATTCGAGACTGACGAACGACGAACGGCAACACTCCCGTGTTCGCCATCTTTCTTCGCCGCCGATGCTGTTTTGTTTAGGGGGCGGGGCCAGAAATTTTAAACTTCTTGATCTTCAATATGCATTCAGAAAATTTTTTTACACCTTTTATAGTGATCTTTTAGAATGAGATATAAAAATAAATAAAAGTGATTTTTTTTTAATATTTTGGAAAATCTTTTGCTCGACAGCATAAATGAATTATATTTCTCTTTTGGGAACTAATTTTCTGAAAATAAAGACGCAGAATTTTGTATTGAAGAACCATTATAATGACTGATTTTATTACATGCTTTAGGCGCGACACCGGCGACAAATAAATATTTTTGTTGTTTTATTTCTCTTGATATTCTGTTTTAATTTACTTCAAACATCATAGAAATTAGCGGACATAAAAGTATCAAATGATAATAAGACATTTATACAACATAAATTGAAATTCATACTTTCATGCTCGTTACGCTAGATGGGCAAATAGTCTGGTCTTTTTTATCACATTAGTTTCACTTAAGTCACATATTCATAAAAGTTTACAAAAAAAAATGTAAATTATTTTTGCCCATCCATCACTTAATTTAATACAGGATTTGTACTGGACGAAAATTTAAAAATACTCCAAAAATAAAATTAATAATTCACAAAAAGAATATTGTTAATTAGTAAATATCATTTTAAATATTATAAAACGCGAGAGAGCAAGAACAATTCACCATGTTGGAGAAGACAAACTACTTATTAAGATTAAAAGAATTCATACAAACTGTGAGCAGGAGCAGAGTGAGAGTGCGGAGCCAAATTTTGTAGACTTCAAAGAGCGTAACAATGGGAATGGCAAAGATCAGTAATGGAATAGGGAAGGCAAAGCGTGCGTCACATCTGACATCTGCTAGACCAAAGTCGAGTTGGCGTCGTAGTAGACCGAGGTATTTGAATCTAAAAAAAGAGGGGTTTAATTGTGATTTCAAACTAGTAAATCGAATGCAACAAACCTTCAGCAGGTTCAGGATTGATGCCAGAATTGAGAGCAGAGGATTGCGTGGGAGGAAACAAGGAGGCAGAGGCAGCCGGTCTCACTTTAGGGGCAGGCTGAGCAACGCTGGCCGGGGCAGTGACTGGAACAAAAATTGGAGCGAGTTACTTTCGAGGCTGGTGGGATGAGGCAGAAGGAGATTCTCTGGCATTTTTTTTGTTGCAAGTCAACAGTGGAAAATAAAAGTATTAAAAATGTCAATACCTTGGCCAGGCTCCTGCTTGTTGAGGCGCGGGGACCGCCTCAGCGGCTTCGTGGGGGTGACTTTTTCCTGGCACCGATCTGGTTCAGTCACAGCTTGCTGGACAGGTCGAGGTACAAAATTCTGCTCTGCAACCGGCAGGTATGGCATAATTAATTATAGATCCATCAACAGCCTCCACAATTATAAATTATCAAAGGTTTCAATGATAAAATATTTTAAAATTTATATTAAACTTATTAATGAACCAATTTGATTATCAAGAGGAGACTTTTCCATTCTCAATACAAGAAAAAACAAAAAATTTACAAATATAAACTTTTTGCATTAAAATGTAGAATTATATTAGATAAATCCTCACCATGTCGAAGAGTAGCAAATCGGGCGTCTTGTTCAATCCAAATGACGTAAGTCTTGACCAGGGTTTTGGCAGGAATATCCCCATGTTTGACTCTCTTGGATCCCAGAGCCTTGAGAAACAAGTCACTCTGGTCGACGTTAGGTCCGGAGGCCTGCTCAACAAGGTGGACTAATGTCTTCTCCTTTCCAAGCTTCTCTAGTGCTTTGAACTCGAGTCCTGTCATATGGTCAATCCTAGACACAAAATTATTTCATCAGTTTAACAAACACAACAAATTAAACGTTCATTTAAAGGAATGCTGCTAAAATTTGGAAAAATGGCCTCCTCTGCTTGCCGCTCTATGGTTGCTTCAAGTGCACAGCGACCGCCGAAATTGAGAGAAAAAGCTTTTCCTGCACCAAAAGTTCATTTCAATCTCAAATTTGCCATAGTAAATTATCATTTCAAAGGCTAACAGTGTGCTTTTCTGGAGGAAAAACAAAGTCTTGTCATTTTTTTTGTGCATTTTACTTTTATAAAAAACATTTAACTTTTCACTTCGACAGAAAACATTTAATTAAAGTTGGTTTTTTCCAGAGTTCATAACAAGAATGTCACAAGACAAAAAAGCAGTGTTGCAAAAATTTCCTCATAATTATCCCATTTCGAAGAAAATGAGACAATTGTGTGCAAGAACAATTTCAAATTGTTTCTATTTATTTTTTTGTTTCGTGACCTACGAACCCAAAGTACATATCATAGGGGGTCAATTTGGAAAAAAACACTGGCCGCAATGTTTGGTTTGCCACAAACAAGGGTAAGTAAACCGCGGCCAATCCACACTTGGCTGGGATTGCAAATAATTTGAAGTCTCTTATGAGACTCGTGGACCGAGGTGGCCGAATCATTATAATTAAATTTTAATTTCAAGGGCTCAAGCCGACCCAGAGCCTCAAAACAAAATAAAGGCTTCAGCGTTTGATTTCTTTTACAAGTCGGCTGCCAGCTCTGAACGCAGCACCCGCTGATTCTGCTTTTTTCTCTTTCAAATGTGAGACGAATTCTCGCTCATCAGTCATCATAATAAGCTTTCACTAATTACCGTGGACTCCTCGGTGACGCCATTCCGGGTGGTTTTTGGACTCGGTTGAAGACAAACGGCGGCCGTCTGGAAGAAAACAGAAAATTTCACTTTTATAACATTTATTTCAAAATTTCATTTGTAAAGTAAATATATTTGCCCTTAAATGTTGATATTATTAACTTATCGAGTGGCAAAAGACAATTGTAAGTCAGATTTCAATCGAGCTCGCTCGACAACTGCAGCAACACGGCCCGATAATTTTATCCGAGACTTGCGAGTTCCGACTTTTGGAATCAAACATTTCTCACATAAAAAATTTTATCGGAAATAATGACAAGTTTTAGGTTAAAATTGTGAAAATGTCGCTGGAATTTGGGCATGTAAGAGGAATTTTGAAAAGCTTGCTTAAAAATTAAAACAGAAAGAAAGCATTTTCACGTGCTTTCGTAACTTTTCACTGCAAACAACTTTCCTGTTGACCTCGAGGTCGTGAGTCGATGTTCAAGGTTACTAATGACCCCGATGAACAATCGGGATGGCACGTTTTTCCTAATTTTTGAGATATTTTCACCCATGAAAAATTGGCTGCTTTTAAATTACTGAAATTTCAGATTTTTAATGAATTTGTGATAAAATGAAGTGAATTTTGCGGTATTTTAAAATTATCACATTTCCATTATTAAAAAATGTAATATTTTCATTCGGATACAAAATTGAATAAAAGCACAGACGGAAGAATAAGCAATTTAGTCGGAAACATGATAAATCATGATGGGAAATATATCTTTACATGTGAAGAAGTTCCAGTGAAATTATCAATAAATTAGTTCCAGAAATCAAATTCCTATAGAAGCAGCTGTATCGTAATAATTATCGCAAGGGATTATTTTAGATTTATTTAAATCATTTTTTTTATGCGAAAGGTTTTGATTTCAAATAAATTCTCTTGACAATTTATTTCGCGTTGCAGGAAATAATTTTTTTTAATCTTTTATTATTTCAAGAAAAAAAAATCATTGTAAAAATTAAATTTTCCCAAATAAAATGAGCTGCTGCGACGACGAGCGGTGAGAGCAGCCGCAGCACTATAATCAGAGTAGGCGAATTGTTCCACGCAGAGTTATTTGATGCATCTCGTGACACGCCACGTGTTACGCGGCCACTTGTTCCACGCAAGTAAAAATTTACGGAGCAACTTCGATAAAAGATATCAACTTATTTAAATATTCTTATTCCGTAATTTCAAACAAATTTCTCTAACCAATCCAAATTTTCTCCTTTGATTTCAAATCAATAATTACTGCTTCAGTTTAAATTTTTGTTTCGTTAATGCGATCAAAAGAATTGCGTTTGTTAAATTTTGAAGTTAATCGTTAACCAATGAAGAATGGTTGCAATTTTTTCCCGCTAAATTTGGATATTATTAGCTGAATCGAATAGGAAATTTTAAAAAGTCTACTTTCAGCAGCAATGACCGCACCAAATAAGCAAAATTGTATATTATTTTTACCATCACTTTATAAAAGAAATTTACATACAAGCTGGAAATGATTATTGAAATTTTTAATCGATTCAGAAATGAAAAATTCAATTGTGTTATTAAAATAATAATTAATAACCATTAAAAAATGTAAAAAAGATCGTATATTTTTTAATAAAAAAAAATAAATTCTATTCATATCAATGAACTTTTTTATTTTTAATTCTTGTACAACCAAAATAATTTGAAACATATTTATAGTCGGAAAGTAAAAACTTTCCACCAGCGCCAAGTTTAATTCTAAATCAAACCTAATTTATTGCGTCCCGTCAAATTTAAAAAAAGGTCGTTTGCGCAATTTCTATCAAGACGGTGTTCGGTGAATACATCGGACGCATGAAAGTTTACCAAAAAATTGCAGACATTTCTGAGGAACATTGATTCTGGCAAATGCTGGCACCTGAGAAATGCGAGTGACGAATTTGAGACAAACAAAAGCTTGCTTGGAACGCAACCGCCGCCGCCGCAAATTTTGTTCGCAAGCACAAGACATTTTTTCCACTAGTTCAGCTTCCAAATGACAATTCCTTCTAGAAAGTGCTCAGCAATTCAATTCTTATTTTAATGCATTTAATATTTTGCAAGTTAAATAATAAAAATGTTCTGAATGACTTAATATTTTTTCAAAATTAATTTAAAGTTGATTTAATTACGAAAGAAATGAAAACCATCGAAATGAAATGTTTGAAGAGCGAAATTCAATGTTAAGTTCAGTATTTTTGGTGTTTTGTAAAACGTTTCTTGTCGTTTCAATGTCTCAAGCCGCGGTCTTTTTTCACAGCGGCTGGCGAAGCTGAGGAATCAAAATTTGATTTGCCCTCCCAAAATAAAAATACCCTCGACAATTCTTCCCATTTCGAACGTCTCTTGTAATAATTAAAGAACTTATTAATTACAAAACTTTAGAGTCACTTCACGAACGATTTTTACATTCGATAAATATAAAGGGCAGAATTAAAAATGCATTTTGGAAAATATCTGACACGCTCGGAAATTGATGCGTTCAGTGAGCAAATGCGAGATGGTCGCGCAAAAAAATTATTCAATCCATTGATGCGATTTTTTAGTAATTCAATGCGTCGCAATTCAATTTGAACAAATTAATCTTCTTTAATTAATTTATAAAAGCAAATGTGGAGTGCCAAGAATTAAAAGAGATGAAAAACGAAATGATGAAAATTTATCATTTAAGCAACCGTGAAACGTAACTTTAATTAATTTTTAATTAACTTGAGCCAGAGAGTTTTGTCTTGGCCACGCACAAAGCGGCCGCCGCGAAAAAACACACATTTGATATTTACAATTTTGCAAATCGTTCAATTAAAATTCAAAATATCAATACAAAAAGTAATTTTTTTTAAATTATTATCCTAACAATTTCATCTCATTTATATATTTCCGTAATTTTCAATAGAATTTCAAGGAATGTAGACTCACAACTTGGTTTTTCTCTTTAATTAATTATTTACTTAAATTTCAGAATCATTTTACCATCCAATAATAGTTTTTTGCTGAACTAAAATTTCCTTTATTTAGAAATCATAATTTTTTTACGTGTATAATCGCGGCAATGTGCAAAAGCCAAATTAAATAAACGCGGTATAACGAGAAATTTGTCACACTCTGTCAATCGTGGACGCTTCAAGCGCACGAAAATCCAAGAAATTCGCCTCAACCGGGGACGAAAGCCGTAATTTACTTTCGGCGTTGTCAAGCATGTTCGCAGAAATCTGACAAAAAATCCAAAAAGTGCGAAAGGTTGGAATTTGGTCTATGCGGGCAGCAAGAACAAATAATACAAAGGGAATGCACCGAAAAGTTAAATTCCAAATGAAAAGCAATCTGCTTATAAAAAAATGAAAACGCGGTAACAATTACGGTAATTATCGTTGTTTAATTAACAAAATAATTATGATTTGCCATACCTTCAAAAGGGTTCCGCGGAGGCTGAGTCGCGCTTGTTGCGTTGACCTTGCTGGTCTTTGGTGTTGGAACGCTGGATCGAAGTAGAGAACAAAGGGCTCGACTTGATTGCGGGCGAGTGTGGTGTGGAATGGCAGAGACTCGGACAAATTCGAGAACGATCTGTAGCCGCACACACTCTCTGAGTCTCTGAGAGCCGCGCCGGTCGGTGTCGCGCCAAGGGTGGTGGTGCGCCAGCGCCCTCACCTCTCCACGGCACACCTGCGAACCAAATTTTCTGTTAGTTTAATTCTGGTGTGGAATAATTATTTTATTCCTCTCTTAATTTGTTTTTTTTTACTGTGGCTGTGTCATCGGAGAACTTCATTGTTTTTTTTTATTATTATTATTCAATTAATTTTCGGCTTACAATTAAATTCATTTTTTAAGGGCTTTCTTTTTAGTTATTCTTTTTTGATTTCTGGCAATTGTTTTAAGTTGAATTCTTACAAATAAATCTTGCATTTATTTTAAATTTAAAGTAGCTTTAAATTTACAAATAATTATTATAAATTCAATTGGAATTAGCTTGTACAATTCATGGGATTCCAATTCACTTTAAGGGAATTTATAAAGGCATTTTAGAATTCAACTGCAGATTCACAGAACTTTCTAGATGCATCTAGGAAGTTCTCAATGTAAATCAAATGGGTGGGTGGGTTTTGCGCGACCCTCCCAGGGCTGCTACCCGCGCTATAAAAGGCGCTCCGTCCGCTGGCTCGATGCAGAAGGCTGACAGACCTCAGAGAAATCAGAGGTAAAGCTTCGACACTCGAGCCAGCTGACGGAGAGCATTAACCCTTTGCTCTCTGTTCGCAGGACACCTGGACACCCAGTGCAGTTTCGGACGCCCGTCCGATCCCTTCGCACCCGTCCGAGCTGTCCCACGGCGCCGACCGCTGTCCTGTCCCGGCGCTGTCTCGTCCGAGAACAGCCGGAAGGCCGACCGCGTCCCGAGCCCCTCGAGAGACACACCTGTGTCCCTCGTACTGTCCCGGATGCGGCTGAGCCGTCCGAAGCCGAACGGAGCAATTTTGCCAGGTAAGAGAGATTTCAATTAGTCTCTCCCTGAGGCCTTCTTTTGGCCGAAAGGTCAAACCACTACGTGAGACGGAAGTACAGCCGAGTGACCAATTGTTTATGTCCCCAGCTCCTTCCTGTCCGAGGAATCGGGCGCCGACGTGGCACGCCGCCAGCGAGCGCTCGGACGAAGGCGTCCGAACGTCCGCCGCCAGAGACCCGCACGCCGTGGGCCCCGGCCGCGCCGAGAGCCGCCGCCGACCTGCAGGGAGCCGTCCGGGTTCCCAGCAAGGACGTTTCCAGGGCAGCCAGCCGGCCTACCCAGGGAACACCGCTCCCCTTTGTTTATTTTCCAAGAGACATTAAACTAACAATTTCGAGTCAGTGAAATTTACCATTCTGCCAGAATTGTTGTGTTAAATAAAGCCCGTTTGTAAGCTGACCCAATTTGTTTTAACAGAATACCCCAACCAATATAATTATTAAACAATTATCAATAGTATTAATTTAAACAATAGATATTATTGAACAATTACCCATTAATAATTTAAATAAAATAGGATTTATTAAACAATTAAATAATCAGTCAGTATAATAATATGCAAACCCCTTACTTGCAACTTATTATTTTTTTGGTTTGCAATAAACTAAATTTGTAATACCAATTCTCGCCATGAATTTATTAATAAATTTTCTTAAATTTCTTAACAAATCCATGATTCTTGCCTTGTCGGTGGCGCCAGCAGGTGGACAAATTTAATTAATCAGAAAGTGAGTTCATTGATTTATTATAGGATCAAACAGGACATAGAACTCCTAACAAATTTATGAGCGAGCTGCATTTTGCCTTGTTTTTAAAAACGTTGTAGCCAGTTGTAGCTTTAATCGCAAGTTGAAAAAGGAAGACCTTTTTTATAAACTAAAAATTAAAATGAAACGTTATCAAAAGTAATGTCTTATAATTTAAAATTTCTGCTGATGCTCATTAATTTTGTTCAAAAGCACTCTAGTTTTGCATTTATTTAATAATTAAAAAAAAAATGATCAATGCTTTTTGCCCACAAGTTGTTGTTTTGCATCGTTAAAAAGCAACTACTTTGAACAGTTCCAAGGGAAATCCTGTTTCAATGTGAAGGGGTTGCTCGGAAAATCTCTAAAAAACTCACCCTCTTTGAAGGTGAGTGTTGCCAGGACTGTCACAAGTGGAGGTTGGAGAGGGGAAAGGCCCGGGGGTAGCCGGGGGGACGCGCTCGAAGACCCTGGTTTTTCCTCCGAGGCGGGGCGGCGGGTCGGGCGCCGTGATCCAGCGCGCCCCTCTGCGGGGGTGGCGCAGGTGAGGGCGGCTTACCCTGGCGACGCCGCAACCCGGCCGAGCCAGGGAGGCGCGGCCGAACCGCGGGTCACGCGCCCCCCACCACACCCCGAGGGCCGCAGGGCGAGGGAGGACGATGGTGTGCATCCAGGGGGTGGTTCTCCTGGAGGAGTTTGACCAATTCAGGGCACAGTCCCTGGCCTGACAGGGGCCTTCACGGAGCCGCTCGTGCACGTCGTCGGCCACCCGCAGGTCCGTCAGCGCCAACACAACGTCCAACGCGTCTGGATTAAAAACAAAAACAATTTAATTATTTTACATAAAAATTTTCAAACAAATTCTTCAGCACAAGATGAAGCTCCAACTCTAAAAGGTTTTAGTTTGCAGTGATTTTTTTAATAAATTTTATTTCTACTGTTTAAAAACCACGCCCAACAGGTTTAATTTAATAATGAAAACTTTGAGCATAAAATTTCCTAATGCTACGAACCACACACCTTAAAATTTCCATCAGTCTCGTTTTCTGAAAATTACACAATTTTTTACTTGAAAATGAAACAACAGGGCAACATGCTTGCTGGTATTCTCGAGGTTCATCTTAACAAATGCAAAAAATGTTTTGCAACAATTTTTATACGATATTATTGTTTGATTCAAACTGATTCAGAAGAAAAAAAAATGAAAATATTTCACATATCATTGTCATTTTCTCCAAGGATTTCAAGCTCCTCGTGCCAATTTTAAAAGTTAAATAGTAATTATTAAAAATATGTCACTTCACCCTCTATTATTGCAAAAGTGTCTGGGGCTTTCGAAAGCTCAATTAAATTTCTTGTCAATCCGTGTTTGAAGACATAGAAAACTTTACTGTGAAAATAAAAACCATTCAAAGTTTAAAATTAAGAGACTTTGAATGATTCAAAAGAAACCAGCACAAGTTGTGGACTTACCAGTGCTCTTGGTGGCCGTTTTCTTGCCGAAGCCATGGGAGGTCTTGGAAGCGGCTGTGCCAAAGGGCGTGGCCGCTGGCCTGGTTTTGCCTTTTTGCTGCCGGAAGCCAGTGTTTTCCAAACTGCTCGGCTGCCTCTGAAGGCACGTGAAGCCGCAGTTTCCAGAAGCAACTTACAATTTCTATTTTATAACTTTAAAACAAATGGGATCTTTTTATGGATGTTGTCGGCAGTGGCTCCGAAGAGGAATTTGTTTTGCCCCAGGACGAGTTGCCAAAAGGACACACCTTGGACAGGGACGACTTAGCACCCAGGCTGAAACAGAAATCAGTGATTTTTAAAGTAAATTTAATCCAAAATTAGTTCAAACTCAAAACTCCCCACTTAAATAAAAAACAAGCTCAGTGGGATGGGGAAAATTGGTGACCATCTTGTAATGAACTAATGAAGCCCAAAATGAGCTAATTTCTTTCAAACTATAAGTTAATATCAACTCAATTTTAATTTTTTGTACCAACAGATCAAGTCAAGGTAAACTTAATATTTGTTGTGCTATCACAAGACAAATTTCTGGTTGTTAAAAAAGTTCCTTTTCGCATGGAGAAATTAAAAACCAAAAGTTCTGAATTTAGGCAGCTAAAAGGTGACCTCCGCCTTCGACCTTTTAGTCTTTAAACTTTGCATCAAAAGCAAAGCCAAAATAACTTCACCTTTCAAAAAGACAATTATTAATTTATAAACATTGGTACATGATTCCAATACACCCAAAATGCAAGCGAATCAAATTGGGGTGAGAAAATAAGAAGCAATAAGAAGGTTTCTGTACCCCTCTGCTGGGGTCCCTTGCAGGCTGACTTGTTCTCGCACTCGTTCGTGCAGGTGCGCTGCTATAGTAGAGATCGATTTGCAAGATGGGCTGGACCGCATTCGTGTCAATCGTGTCCATCCCCACTAGGAGGTTCATGTTGGCCCCGAAGAGGCCCACGACTGGGTTGGTTCGGTGCCCCACAGACTCCGAAGGTCAGATTGGGCAAAGCTGGCGGTGCAACGGGGGACGAATAAAACCTGAGTCAAACACAATTATATTAAGTCACTTCATTGCGAAGAAAATCAAGCAATTTCGAACCTGAGAAGGCAGACTGTTGCTGGGACTGGTCGAAGGCGGGGGTGCCCGACTTGCCCGAGGCCCCGAAAAGGGCTGGTGGCGATTGAGGCCCCTTTCGCCCACCGATTCGGTCGTTGCAGTGGTCGCCGCACAAAAATCACCTCCTCGGCGTCGGCAGACTCGCATTTCGGCGGCCGAACGCCTCATCACCATTTCGGCCGACGATCTGGAGTCAATTATGAGTTCGCAAACGGGCGAATCTGCACAAAATTCGCCGATTTTAGTCCTAACCGAACTTTCAGACGACAAGCAAAAATATTCTTGACTGGCCCCGCGCCCCGCCCCCTAACCCTAAACAAAACACCATCGGCGGCGAAGAAAGATGGCGGACACGGGAGTGTCGCCGTTTGCCAAAAAAGACGCGACGATTTCACGGATTTTGACAGCAGCGTGAGTTTATTTTGATTTAATTTTTCGTCACTTCATATTCAGTGATTTCCTTGACCCAATTGTTTGATTTTCCGCCTCCAAATTTCCCTCCAACAAGTAGAAACAGGCGAACAAAAAACACCTGCGACAACGCCCCTTTTCACTTGCCCGAGATTTTATCAACAATCATAACAAAAAATTAAAATTATTGCTACATTTTAGGGTGGAAAATTTCCAACCACCGTGAAGCTCATGACTGGCGTCCAGTGGCTTAAATTGGACAAAACGAATCTGTCAACTGTTCCTGAAGAAATGGGGAAACTTGTGAAACTTGTAAGACAGTATTTTTCTTTTTTTTATTAAATTTTAATGCTTTTGTTCAGGAAAATCTGTCGATGAAAGGAAACAACCTGGACCGTCTGTACGGCGAGTTGACAGACCTGAACTGCCTGCGGAGTTTGAATTTGCGACGGAACAAGGTGAAGACCTCGGGCGTGCCTGCGGAGCTCTTCAAGCTGGAGGAACTGCCCACCCTGGACCTGAGCCACAACAACCTGAGGGAGGTTCCTGCTGGCATGGAAACGGTCAGGTCGCTGCTGGTGCTCAACTGTGCTCAACCTGAGCCACAATCTCCATAAATCCAAGGGCTGAACCAGGTCAAATTTCCCATTTCTGCTTCAACATCGAAACCGAACGGAAACTGAGTCTGGAGACGACCGTGCTCGTCGAGCCCTACACCGTAATTCGGCCTCACTTTTGATTTGCAAATTTCTTACTGAAGTTTCGCAGCTGCCGGACGGCCGAGTCATCAAAGTGGGTGGGGAGCGATTCGAAGCGCCCGAGGCTCTCTTCCAGCCTCACCTCATCAAGGACAAGGTGGGCAATTTTTAACTTGATTAAAGCAAAAGTTAACCATTTGGACAAAAATCAACAGGTATCGCCGAACTGGTGTTCAACACCATCCAGACGGCGGACATTGACATGCGCTCCGAGCTGTACAAACACATTGTCCTGTCAGGAGGCTCAACCATGTACCCCGGTCTTCCAAGTCGACTCGAACGAGAAATCAAACAACTCTATCTGGAGCGGGTCCTAAAAAATGACATAGATAAACTATCTGTGAGTCTTTTCTATTTTCCGTGATATCAAAATTTGATTTGCAAAATTTTGCAGAAATTCAAAATCAGGATCGAGGACCCGCCGAGGAGAAAGGACATGGTGTTCATCGGAGGAGCCGTTCTGGCCGAAGTCATGAAGGACAGGGAGACGTTTTGGATGACGAGCGAGGAGTACCAGGAAAAGGGCGTCCACGTCCTCAGCAAACTCGGGGCGCGCTCAAATTAATTAATTCGAGGCCATTTCTACTCTGCATTTACCTTTCCTGTGTTAATCATTTGTTTTTTTTGTCACTAAGCAATACTCTTTTGTAGGTTTTTTTTTTTAAATTTAAAAAAAATGTTTGAACAAAGATAATTTTTATGTTTCTTTTTCAGCTGCACCTTTTTTGTAAAGCAAAACTAGTACCAAATGCTAATTTGCATAATAACATTTTCCTTTAAAATAAAATCGCAATTGATTTGTATGTTTTGATCTTTCTGCTATTTTCATCCTTGATGTGATGTTTCATTTCTTTTTGTATTAGCGAAAAAAAAATAATAAGAAATCTTTTGATCCTGTTGGGTGCCATAATATTGTCAAGTTCACTGAACTCTTCGTTTGGTTCATTTCTGTCAAAATCAGAACTTCATGATTTTGTAGATCAAAAAAATTAAAGTGATTATTTTACTATAAACCCTATAAACCTTTGGTTATCTTTTGTTCCACAACATAAGAATTTTAAATTAGTATAAGTAACATATTTTTTGCTGGAAACAAATTTTACAATAAAACTTTAGCATACGATAACACCGAACCATCTGCACCAAACATAAAACAAAGGATGGACTGGGATGGACCTAATTTATTTTGGAAGATTTGACACGCAGCTTTCCAAGGGTAGCAAAAAGTGGCGCTGCAGTCGGCGGGTCATCCTATATCGTTGAGTCGCGACAGCCAATCAGAGGGCGGTCGAAGATGTTTCGGCCGTAGCCACATTCTATCTTTGTTGGACAGCAAAATGCAAAATCCACAGTTTCACGACCGTCGTGTGATTCGACCAACGGCGCAAATCGGCACCAATCAGCGACGTACCAGTTTGAATTTCAGCGGGAGCAGCGCGAGGCTGCGTTAATAAGACACAATGGTAATTTACGCTATTAGAAACAAATAGAAGTTTGTGTTTGGTAAAAAGAAAAGAAATTATGAAAATTATATTTCTCAATTATTAAAATTCCAAATTAATTACATACTTTTTATTGCAAAAATTATCTAAATTAATATTTTAAATGACGTAAAATGATAGTATTAAATTAAATAAATAATAGACAAAATATTTAATACACAATGCTTTATTACAATTAAGTTTCTGTATTTTATCATTTAAGAAATTTAATAAAAATACAAAATTTTAGTGAGAGTAATAGACATCGTTGTAATAATCAAAAATTAAAGTTTCAATCGTAATTAAATTTACATAATAAAACACTTCTGACACATAAAGAGGAGAATAATAAATCAAATATGCACCGGTCTTGGAATCAATTGGTTAGTATCGATTTTTGGTCACAAAGTCTGTTTTGAAACACGTTAAAATAAATATGCTATTTCTACACAAATAGTTACAACATTTGTAATATACAAAATTGCAGTGAAAATTTGAGAAAAAAAGTATTCATTTTCAGGTTAGTAATTCACATTTCTTTTAATAGATTTTTATACGCGTTGTTTTTCAAATTTGACATGATACTTTAATCTTACAATTAAATGGGAAAAATGAAATACAGATTTGGACATGCCACTGAGACCTAAATCAGCTAGCCGTTGTAAGCCACTGCAAAGACGATGACATCAAATCCGCAGCCATCGGACCTAAATCTGGCCACGACTTCGGCCATCTTGCGGGAGGGAACCGAGTTGAGGAGGTTGACGCCGTCATCGAGTGTATCGACAAAGAGCAGTGCCGACCTGTAGAAGTGCCTTTGGCCCAATGTCAGGTGTAGGGGGAAGTCTGTGTCCACCGTGTCCTCGTTTGCTGGACGTCCCGAGGCCCCGCACGCTACGATGAAACCGTTCGGGTTGATGACATCCAAGCTTACGAGTTTTCCAGCACACTGTGAGTTGGACAGCATTTTAAGAATTCATCTTTAATTTGAAAATGAACTACCGACCTTGGCGCACTCCTCCTCCAAGTGTTTCTCTACGAAGCCATTAGCCATGTACTGAGCCAGGCGATCGAAGAAAATTAATCCTATTTTCGTAGGCTGTGGCACCGTGGCGCAGGCTGGGCAAACGATGTAATTCAGCGCACTGCTTAAGCCCGCCTTGAACAAGCAGTGCAAGGGATGAAGTCTTGCGGCGCTACCCTTGATCAGCGTCTCCGACACTTCGATCTCGTCAGGTAGAACAGACTGCAAGCTTTTGAAATGTTTTTTTTTTTTGTGAAACTTTCCAAAAGGGTGAAATACTTACAGCCGGACAGCCATCGTGCCTCGTAGTGTGTCCAAGTACTTGGAAATCTTGCCGTTGCAGCCGATGCACTCTTCAATAAAGGCGCGGACCAATTTGCTGCTCCAACGAGTAAGGGAGCGAAGAACATTTTGCGAGTCGTGTGCCTGCGATACGGGAAATGACAATTTAGATTAATGTGGACAAAGTTTAAAGCTGCCAAACAATTTATCTCTTGTCTTAAATACAAAATGGAAATTGAGAAACTCACCAAAACAGAAATAATCATGAGGAAGTACAAACAGCCGTTCACACAATACACCTTCTCAATTTCCACGGGAAGAAGGTTGACGTCGGTCCCGATGAAATCGTCGGCAAACTCGAATTGCTCCGACCCGTCGTCTTTGCGTACTGAAAACAAATAATTAATTTATTGGTTTGATTGCATGCAAATATACTCACAAAGAATTCTCTGAAAGATTCCTTGGCGGGCGTATTCACCGAGCAGTCGAGTGGTGCTTTTTGGTTGCAGGCGAGCTTCGCAAGCTTGCAAAACTAAAAATTAAAGAAAAACGTAAATATATAAAGGACTCTTTTTAGTAAAATTTGGTCTTAAATTAGTTCAAAAATGTGTATTCTGATTAACTTGGGGTCACATTGAAGTCTCCAAGCATATCAATTAACTCAAGAAAGCCGCCTTTAATTGGAGGACTCGTAAGCCAATAAATTGAAAATAAATTGCAAAATTTTGGCAATATGCTTACCTTTGTCTACAAGTTCTTTGGACAGGCTTGGTTTTGCCATTTTTCCTCCAGGGTCGGTACGAGTTTTTCAGCCTCCTCCTGTTACTGCAACCTCTAACGGTGATCCTCGATTTCTTCCAAAGCGGAACTAGACAGAAAAATAATTAATTAGTTCACCGGAGAGATAAACAAAAACAATAATAATATTGCTGCACTATGTTAAAATTGCAATAAATAACCATTTAAAACAATTATGTATACTAATGTTCCTTTTTGTTAATTTCGCACATAATTGTTTTGTTAAATCACATTTTTATTTCAAAAAATTTGCTTCTGTTACAAAACTTTATTCAATTTTGAATCAAACCTAATTTATTGTGTCCTGTTAAATTTAAAAAAAGGTCGTAAGCACAGTTTCTACCAAAATGGCCTGTGAATATGTCAGATGCATCAAAATTTACCACAAAATTACTGACATTTCTGAGGTGCATTGATTCTGACGAATGTTGGCACCTGAGAAATGCGAACGACGAATGTTGGACAAACGCTAGGAACGCAATCGACGACGCCGCAAATTTTGTTCGCCAGCACAAGAAATTTTTATGATATCAATAAATTCTAGTTCAATCAGAACTTTCACAATAAACGCGCAGTGATCGAATTTATTGTGACTTTTATTTTTAGCATTGAAAGTTGTAATCAATTGGATATTTCAATAAATTGAGACCATTATATAAATGTACAATAAACCAAGGCCACCTTTTAAAGCCTGAGATAATTCATATGCATGTACATTTTGATTCTTAATAACTGAGCCAATTTTTCCCATACAACTCGGCAAAATTGAAGTTGTAGCACCATCACACTGAAAAAGTTGCCCGTCGTCGCAAAATTGGTCACAAAGGTAGCCAGAACATTGAATTCTTATCTTGTTTTAATCTTCTACGGAAAAAAATACTCATTTTTTTAACATTATTGTACCTATAATTATTTTAACATTATTGCGCGCTTTTCTTCACTTGTTGCGCATCCACGTGCGAAATCTTGTTGCATTCTTTTAATATTTATAAGTTATAACAAGTTGATATGAAAAACTTGAAGCCTTCCAAATTAATAAAATACGTTTTTTTTTTATTATTTCTTTAAAAAAAAAAGAAAGAAATTGAATGAAAACAATCAAGCACATATAATTGGAGCTTTTTTTTCACTCTGAAAACTCCAATCTCTCGTCGCTAAGCACAACAAGCACGTTCTGCCTTGCCAGGGCAGGCCAAAGGTCGGAATGCAGCTCAGGAGAGCAGACCAACATATTCTGCAAGGCGAATGATCAAGGTCGCTCGTAGTTGAGAATTCTTAAAATGCGACTCGCTGGAATGAATTGCACCGAAAAGAACACACCTGGATCGCATTCAAGAACACCAAAATTGGAAATAAATTCAAAGCGGGAAATGCAGAGATTACGTACTAAGAACACGAGGGTGCTGCTTGACGTGCGACCTCGCTGGCCAAAAGCTCTCGACTCTCCTTGAATCAGCTCCAGGGGACAGACAGACGCCTCGAGAGAGTAAAATTTGCGGGCAGAGTGGGCTGGCGATGAAGTCAGGACAGAGGTCGGCCTGCCTCACTCTGGAGCACAGCGGTGTAGCGCCAAGTGAAATGGTATCCAGCGCCCTCACCTGTCCACGGAACACCTGTAAACCAAATATTCTTTTAATTCAATTCTCGCCTTCTAGGTGGCGCTATCATGCGGAAAAATTAATTAATTAAAAAGTGAGTGTTTTTAAAGTTTGCTAATTAAAACACAGGGTTTACTTAAAAGTTGAATGACCTTTTTATAAGGCATTAAATATAAAATAAGATGTAATCAAAGCAGTGTCTTAAAATTTCTACTGATACACATTTGCTCAAAACAACTAGAATTGCATTTATTTAAAAAAAAAAAAAGTAAAAATATTTTTAGGGACAGTAAAAATTTTCAGTTTTTTCTCTCTCTTGCAAAAAACAACCTTTTTCTGAATAGTTGTTAAAGTGTGAAGGGGTTGCTTGGTCCATCAGAAAAAAACTCACCCTTCTGGATGCTGAGTCTTGCCAGGACTGTCGAAGGTGTCCTCAGGTGGAGGTTGTTGAGGGGGGAAGGCCCAAGGGTAGATGGGGGGACGCGCTCGAAGACCCTGGTTTTTCCTCCAAGACGGGGCGGCGGGTCGGACGCCGTGATCCAGCGCGCCCCTCTGCGGGGGTGGCGCAGGTGAGGGCGGCTTACCCTGGCGACGCTGCAACCCGGCCGAGCCAGGAAGGCGCGGCCGAACCGCGGGTCACGCGCCCCCCACCACTCCCCGAGGACCTCAGGGGGCGAAGAAGGACAATGGTGAGCACAATCAGGGTGCGTCAGGAGGTGGCTCAGTTTGAAGGACTCCTTGGCCAGCCACTTCTGACCCGACAGCATGTCCTTAGAATGTTGACGGCCACTTGCGCGTCTAATGTTATAAAAAGTCTGCAAAACACAAATTATGTTTTTTAAAAATATTTTAAATCTATTTCTTCAGTTCGAGATCAAACTGCGACTTAGAAAGGTTTTCGTTTGCAGTGATTTTTTTATTAATAAATTTGAATAGACAACAAAAGCACCATCGATAGGAATCTCTCAAAGCCAATGTCAATCCTTTTTTAAATATTTTTTAGTGGGATTTATTTACTTATTATTTCTCATTTTGAAACAATCAAGTTTGTGGAAAATTAAATTGTTTATGATCAGATTCACACAAAAATGCTTTACCAAATTTCTTTAGTTTGAAAACCAAGCTTACAATATTTAATTTCATGAATACAAGTTTTAGCATCTAAACTAAAAACAATTTTCTTTGCTGGAAATTAGCAGAAATGAATTTCCGACAAGTTTTTTCAACGATTTTCCTATAAAATTTGATTCCTTAAAAATTGAAAAATGAATTTCATTTTCGTAGATCTTCATAAAAATTAAATCAAATTCAAAATTTGACTTTAAATATTATTAAAGAAGGTTAGAGGTGTTCAAGAGCTCAAAAAATTTCCTATTTATCCGTATTTCTTTCATTTCAATCCAATCCACAGAAAAATTACTTTAAATTATACAAAACCTTTGACATTTGAAATTTTGATAGAAAGTGAGAATTTGAATAATTAAAAAGCATGAGAGGCTTGAAGCACAAGTCGCAGACTCACCGGTATTTGCCAAAGCCAAAGTTCTGCGAGGCGGCCAAGCCAAAGTTTGTGGCCGCTGGTCTGGTCGTTGGCCGATTTTCGGCAAAGGCAGGTGTTAAATTGCCAAATTTTATACCTGAACAGACACGAATTTATATTTTTTTTTTCTTCAAAACTAACAGGAAATTTGAAATTTACTATGGTCGTAGTGTGCACTGGATCCGAAGACGACTTTTGGTTTTTCCACTCATCAATTAGAAATAAATCAATTTAATACTGGCCAACGGGGACGACAGTATGCGGCTGGCTTTGTTAAGAAGGCTGAAACAAAAGTAGGTAATTTAAAAAAAATTAATTAAAAATTAAACCGAAAACTTTTCATACAATTTAATTTGTTTTACATAACCTTGGAAATTATCTAAAATGGCCTCCAATAAATTGCACAAATTAAGCCGATTTCTCTCAAAATTTAGGTTCTTGAATCGCCTAATAGTTAAATATAGCAACTTATTTTGAGATTTGAGATTTGTTACCATCGGAGAAATAGATGGGAATCAATTTATGGTCTATAAAATATAAAATTGTGTCAAACCTGAGAATGCGGACAGGCATGGAGCTGCTGCAGGTAGAAGGACCGGAGAAAGGGCAAAGCCACAAAGAAGCCGGTGCTGGAGGCGGCCTTTGCCCCAAAAAGACTCCAGAGGAAGCCGCCGCCAGTTTGTTTTGGACTTGGTCCTTGGTCGCCGTCCAAAACCACAAATTCGGCCTAGGCAGACAAGCTTTTCTGCGGCCGAACTCTTCAGACGCATTTCAGCCGACGATCCAAAGTTCGCTTATGTCCGACGGCGGGCGAATCGGCACCAATGGGCCGAATTTCTTGTTTTTCGGTAAGACAAGAATTAATTTGCCATTGAACTTTCAAAACAAAAGCAAATCTACCGTCAACCGTCAGAGGGCAGCACCGGCGCCAAGCATCGCGCAAAGGAGTTAAGGCGATCCGATCAACTTTGACCAAAATCAATGCTTTTATCCAATTTTTCCTAGAAAAAAGGGATTAAGGTTATTTATTCAGTTAATTTACAAGATTTTTTACTGGATTACCTTAATTTACTGTTAGACGCGAGTCGACGGTCTCAAAAACGGCAACACTCCCGTGCTCGCCATCTTTCTTCCTAGGGGGCGAGGCCAGAGCCCAGAATTTTTACGCTTAAACAAAAAACAAACCAACGTGCTTGTCGGGTGTCGTTCACCAACCACCAACTTCAACCAAAAGAACCTTTCGGGTTCTTTTGGATTTGCAGCCTGCAAGAAGTGCTCCTTTTCCAGGTACGTACCACGCACCTTGAACCCTTTGAGCCCTCAGGGACCTTGTGTCTACGAATGTCCTGTTTCAAGCACTGAATTCGTCTCAACCCTTAATTTTAGCCTTTTGAAATAATTTTCTAATGTTTTCAGAAGTGTAATTAATCATGGAAACCAGATTCTTCGCCAACGGTTCCTGTAGGAGAGCGGACAGTGTTTGTCCGAGGAGGAGGAGGCCGAGGAGCAAAAATACGCACAGTCATCCTCAGAGGCAAGGTCTTCTTTGGCCAGCTCAGGGCGGCCGAGTTTGAGGTTTGATTCCCTCAGGTTGGGATAAAACTAACGAGGAATCTTCACGGACGACTTCAAGTTGTGTCCTCAACTTGCTTGCCGAGGACAGAGTTTCTTTTTAATGGCTGAAGCTCAGGGTTCTTTCAGCCCTGAAGTTGAATGTTGTACCAGTCGACGAAGGAGGCGTCGGTGCAGCTGGTGTTCGGCTTTGACCCTGCTCTCATGTGCACCGTCGGCAGAGCATCAACCCTTGCAAAACAAAGCCATCTTCCTGTTCCTGCTCTGAGTCGCCATCATGGTGCTCAACTTCGTTCGCCTTCAGACCCACGAGCTACGCCATGAGGTCTGTCTAAATTTTTCAAAAAGTTTATTTTTAAATATTAGTTGTTCGTTTAAAAAAAAAAAAAAACGTATTTAGATAGTTTGAACAAAAAAAAAAACGTATTTAGATTTTTTCCACAAAAAAATTGAGTTTGATGAAAGAAAAGAAATTTTAAACTTTAAATTTATCGTTTTTTTATTTATTAAACTATACAAGCATATCAGAAGATCACATAATTGGCTGACTATTAAAGTTGCCGAATCGATTTGTTTGGTCATGAAATCACTGGTTAGATAGTTTGATTTTAATTGTCTTGAATTTTGACGCAAAACTGATGCATTGAAAATTTCAGCGTCCGAAGAGCTGCTGTGCAACCATTTGCACTCGTCCTGTCTGTCCAGCAGTGGCTAAGTTGTCCAACATGCTGCCTCTAACCTCACCAGCTGCTGAGACAAGTGTGCGACAAACTGACCCTGGTCACAGAGGTCAAGATCAGTGGCCCTGACCATATGTGCATTGAGCCATGCAAGGAGAATTACCTCAAAAAGGCCCTCGAGGCTCTTCTCCTTGGCTTCATCTGCCACAACACAGGTTCAAATCAATCTTTGTTTCAAATTTGCTGTTGAAAGTTCCATTAAATTATAAATTTTGTAATTGTGTTCATACATGTTGATAACTTTGTCTCCAAATAAGCCACGTCTGGAGCGCTCTTGTTCTGCTTTGTGCGTCATTGTCATCTCGCTGCTTTCTTTGTAAGCAACAAACAAGCCTTAGGAAGGTTTTTCTCACATTTTGTTTAAATTTTTATTTTATTTTTGGTGGAAATGAAACATAATAACTACATTTTATTTTAAATCGATAGATATTACTGTTTTTTATTGAGCCACACCAGACCCACACGAAAATCTTATGTTAGTTAATTTACATAAAGCTAGCAATTTTCATCAAAAATATAATGCAGGGTTTCGGAGCGGGCGCGTTTTGGCGCTCCAAATCGCTCCAAAGCGCGTTTTGGAGCGAGGAGCGGTTGTATGAAGGCGCGAGGCGCCCTTTTTGTGCAAGGAGCGGTTGCCAAAATAACGCGCCGCGCCTGGCGCCAAAGGAGCGCTCTATGTGGGCACTGCGGCGCGCCAGGCGCCGAGGCGCGATCTCACTCGGGAAAAGGCGCGCCTTTTGCAAAGGAGCGCTCTGATGAGACGCGCCTTGCTCGGCGCCGCTCCTTCCGCGCCGCTCCAGGGTTGCAATTGGATTTTATTATTCTCTTTGGATCGGACCTGGCCTATATTTACTAGTGTTCCTCCCCGTGTTGTTCTTTTATGTACACAAAGTGTATATCCACTAAACTGCCCCTCTTTTTAAATTTATTCCTAATTGTGAGAAGAAATTGGCACTTGATGAGATGTTGGTAGAAGTGAGAAAAAAATCTGGTTTTGTCATTGATGAATTTATGAATATTTTGTTAATAAGAAAATCAATATTTCAACAAGGACATCAAGGACACAACTAGCAGCCTGTTTTTTAATTTGTAGTTTCTTGTGTGTTTAATAATAATCTGATGGTATAGTTGTGTCAATTAATATAATTTTCAAGATTCAGTGCTGAAATTTAATTTTGATGAAATATTAATTTAAAAGATTAAATTATTTTCAAAGAATGATAAAAAGAGGTGCTCAAAATAATTTGTTGATCCAATTTAATTAATTACAAAAATTATTATAATTTAATTCCTTGTTTTAATAATTATATATAATATATGTATAAATATAACGCAATTTGATGCATTATTACGAAATGCATCTCTAAAAGCACACCGCATTCTGGAGCGGCGCCAGTAAAAAGCGCGTCGCGCCTTGGAGCGGCGCCGGTATAAAGCGCTCCGCTCCGCGCCTTGGAGCGAAGGAGCGTTCCTTCCGAAAAGGCGCCGCGCCTTGGCGCCAAGGCGCGCTTCGATCATGGAGCGCTCCGCGCCTTGGCGCGATGGAGCGGTCTTAAGAAAAGGCGCGGCGCGATCGGCGCCAAGGAGCGTTTCAAAAAACACCGCTCCGAAACCCTGATATAATGCTTAATCAGTCCATGACATTTCTGGCACATTTAAAAGAATTAAATAAGTTTTGCATGATATTTCAGATTGGTTTTTTATTGTATTGTGGCCGCCCCGTCCCTGAGGGGTCGCAGAGACGGAGGAGGTCGCACAACTTCTGCCCGATGGCAGGGTAATCCGCTAGTGATGCCGGAGATGTCCGAACCCGATGTCGACACACCTCCGTAACAAAATATAATAATCCCTTATAGCTCAATATAATAACCCTGTTCCGTCTTCAGCTCTCACTGCTCCCCCGCACCCTCGGTAAGACGATTTCCTGCGGGACAGCAACCTCCCCAGGTCAATCCTTCCGTCCGAGTTCCAGGCCTCCCAGGGGAAAGTCCCACCAGTGGGCAGCTTTTCCTGGAGGCCCTCGGCCAGAAGTTTCCCTCGAGTTGTGCTGAATGCTGGCTAGCGCCGATGGTCAAGATTCCCTCTGAAGGGCAGACCCTATGGTCTGTGCCTTCTTTTGGTCCAGCCCAATGGCTGATACCAAAGTGTACAAAATGGGTAACAATAAAATAAGTAATGAAACAATTATTTACCAAGAAACAGATGAAAGAGAAAGATTCATTTTATTTCTCAAGAACCTATTCCAAATACAAAATTATAAAGTATCAAGTGTACAAGATTTATTCAGATAATATTAAGTAAATTCTTTATTTACATTTCAGGAAATCAAAACTAACTTGGTGGTCTTGGTATGCTTTATCCAACTATTTACTCCTTGGTCTGAAATATAAACATGGCTTCAATTAATTAAACAATTCATAACTCTTTTCCTTTCTTTATTTCGTACTCCCTCTATGGAGCCCAAGACTCACCGAGGTGCTCCGCCTCCCACCCACCTGGTGTACCAACATGTGTCGGACACACCTGTGTGGTCGGCGCAGTATCACAAATGAACCTGAGAAAAGAACAGTCACTTGAAAAGCATCAGGTCATTTTGCAGGCTTTGAGGAAGTTGTGAGGTCTCGACCAACTCGGCGATGCAGTCACCAAGGCCCTGGCCCTCTTTTCGACACTTGAACAGCCTTTTCCTGACGGCCCACAAACTAAGAGCTTCAAGTGCTTGTACTTTGCCTCGGACTAGAAACAAATTCAACATTCTCAGCATGTGAATTATCTTTCAAGGTGATTTTACTGACCGTTTTCTCCCTCTCCTTCCAGTATTTCCTCGGCTTTGCTCAAAATTTTCTCGTCCAAGTCATTGTGCAGAATCTTGTCAGGTCGAAGAGTGCAGTCGGGGCCAAGAATGATTTCCATCATGTAACGCACTGAGACAGGAATCAACGGTTTTGAAGTTGTTTGATCTTAAAGTCATACTTACATGGCCAATCGCAGAAATTCTCCAAGTAACGTTGCATCTGCTCAGAACGGGAAATCAACAGGCGCATGTTGACCAAGATCTGATTCAGCACGTCCAGCGGGTTCTCGGGGATTTGAAAGATCAAATCCTCAACAAATTTGGAAATATCTTGTGAAGACATGTTGGACAAAACTGGACCCAGCCAAACGACCACTTCGAGCCACGAGCCGCTCAGGCGAAAAGTCTCGTCTGTTGAAAACATAATGCAACTTTTGGTATTTAACTCAAGCTGAATAATCTCACCTTCGATGCAGAAGTCTTTTAAGAAATAATGGGTGCATCGGAACTGCTCACGATGTTCATCGTACGCTCTCATTGGATCAAGACCATGCCCATTAGCGACCAGCAGTCCAGGTGGCAATGGAATATCTAGAGGGTCAGACTCCAACTCGTGTGACAATTGATGTATCGGTGGTGGTCCGAAACCAGAGAGCTGAATCAAGTTGTACAAAAGGGCCAGAGCTGGAGGTAAAACTTCTGTGTTGTTGACAGCAACATAGCCCTGGATAGAATCGAGCAGTCCCTTCAAATTACTGGTGCCGTCACCTCGAATTTTGTCCAGTTTTAGGTTGAGGAGGAGAAAGCTCTGTGGATCCAGCAAGACCTTTTCCGGAACGCTGGTGGCTTCTTTCAGCAGCGTCCACTCGGGCGTCTCTTGCGACACTAAACTGGTCTTCCTTGTTGTCAGCATGGGGCCGAACGGAGAGAAATCCGTGTCCCTCAGCAATTCGCCCAACTCGAGCATTCTGTAGCTGTTTTGGTTCAGATGGCAGCAGAAATCCAGGCAATCAAAAATGGGATTTTCCTCAAATTGTGTCGAATCCAATTTGCTGAAAAACTCGGGCTGCATCAAATGTTTGAACGAGAGCACGGACGAGTCGTTCGAACAGTGTTTGCGTTTGGCGAGCATGAATGAGATGATGTTCGGGTACCTGTGCCCTGTGGGTACATTCGGGTTGGCGCCAAACTCGAGCAGCCTCAGGAATGCCTGCAAAATGGAAAATATTTATTTTGGGTTTCTGATCATGTGCATTTAATTTACTTGAGCATCCGCTTTGGAGTGCTTGTACGATCTCATCAGGACCGAATTATTTGCCTTGTCCACAGCGTCGACGTCTGCACCCAAATCCACAAGCAACTGGATCTTCTCTTGGCAGTTCGAAAAAATCATCAGCAGGGTTGAGCCGTCTATAAAAAACTTTGTGTTAAACAAAATTACAAGGATAATAATAATAAAATACCCTCATTTTTAGCTTGCAATCCAGATTGGGGGTCAGTGGACAACATTCTGTGGACGAGACTCCATCGAGACGACTCGCTTTGCCCAGACAAGGAGGCAGCCAGAATGAAGCAGTTTAGGCCCTCTTTGGTGCAGAAGGTTTCGCCTGTACCCAAAAGCAGCCGGATGGCGTCGAAATCCAATTTCTTGATGGCGCCGTGCATTTTGATGTGTCTTCTGTCTAAGAGTTTGCTTCTCGTAACTTCATCGCTGACACCTTTCTTCTGCTGTTTCTTCTTCCCCATTGCAGCGTGTGAGGTGCCAAAACTTGTACAAAAGTGCTGCTGGACAGGCTGAGAATCGAAAAAATTAACATTGTTTATTTATTTATTAATTTTTTTTTTTTTAAATGAGATAAGCTTTTAGGAAATTCAATGTGTATTATCATTCCGAGATTTTGCAAATTTCTTAGCATAATATAAATATTATTATGGAAAACTATCGTCACATATTATCTTGCAGCAATAATTTCGTTCCTCATTTTTTATTCCGGCTTTCTAAATAAGTATGGGAAGTAATTAATTATGCCAGTCCTCCGCCATGCAATTCTTGGTAATGCCCAGCTCTAATCTTTTAACTTGTTTTTCACGTTTTAATCGCTTTGTATTTTACACAGCTATAAATTAAAACGTTCACGGCTATAAATACAATTGCGGAATAAAATTATTAAGAAAAACTGACATAATTGAGAAAAACACACACACCTGGGCTATGGTCGATGGGACCAGATGGGTGTTGGAGTTTTTGTCGGAAACAAAACAAAGAAGGTGTGATTGATTGGGAGATATATCATCGGGCGCGAAAATTGCACTCTGGGCATCTCCTGTTAAAAGAATGATGCACTAGCCTTTAGCATATTGACCCTCACTATCAAATTTAATTCGCCTCGCAACCTCAAAAGCTACATTTTTTTTTACTTTTAATATTGTCTCATAAATAACCTAAATGATATTAATTACAATTATTTATTTTTAGATCAGTCAAAATAATAAAATTATTGCAGATTAGACAGCGGAGGCTATATTTTATAACGTTGGCAAAATCATCTCAACGTTGTCGCGCCTTTTTAAAATGAAATCGTACGGTGCAGAAATAGAAACATAACCAAACAGATGTCTGGAATTAATTTTACAGGAAATCCAATGATTATTTTTAAATAAATTTAATATAATATATTTACTCATTTAAAAATTAATAACACGAATTTCCTTCCATTTCCGACTTAATGACCAAAGAATTTGCATCAGAATTGATTTTTGTCAAGTTGGCTAAAATAACAAGATGGCGTTTAAAGATCAAAGATTTTGTAAACAAAATAATCAACCGGCATGTTTCCCTGCATCAGCAACCTTCTAATTTACTCTCAGTGAGTGCTCTCGACCCTTCTCCTTCCGTCAGGTCGACCCTTGCGTCCTGCAAGGTCGATTCCGGTCCCCGCTGCCCCCCGAAGGCGAGTAGCGAGGGTTAATTTCGTCGACTCGTTCTTCACTCTTTCTCCCCTCGTCCCTGATTTCACGTCATTTTTTATTTATTCATATAAAAGAAAAGGTCTTGATAATTTCAGGGAATTCGGATCTGAGTTGAGAATCGAGATCGGAGAAGAGTTGCTTCTTCGCCACCGTTTGCGATTCGGAGATCGAGCTCGTCCGTTCGTTTCATGAAGAAGAAACGGATGATCCACTTTGCCTCACCTCAGTACATATGTACATAGTAAGATTCTTGTCATTCGAAGAAATTCAATTATATTAATCAAGAATACTTATTGCACATGGCAACTTATATCTTCAATTAATGTAAGAATGGTTTATTTCAGTGAGTCATGACCCTCTAGTTGTCTGCTGACACCCTCGATTGAGGAATTGCCCCTGGAGGCGGCGCGGTTGCCTGACCAAGGGCACGTCAACCCAAGTTTGACCTCGGCTCCATCAAGATTGACCACCTGGAGCGAGGTTAGCAAAACCTTCTGATTACATACACATTTTCACCAAAATTTGAATCTGCCAGGTTTGCAATTAGCGATTGCGGCAATTTTATTGTAATCCAAAGGGTTGCTGAATTCAGTGAAATTTGGCAGGTCTGAAGGTCTTGCAGCACTTTGCAAATTTCTCATATATTACCCTTTTGGAAAAAAATGCCAAGTTTCATTAAAATTCAAAATGATCAGAATTTTGTGTTTTGAATGAAATTTTATGTACTGTTGTTTTTTTTTTCAAGTGTCGGCATTCAAGATCTTACTTTTTCTGTCGGCTCGCCAAGGCAGCTTCGTCACTTCTGAAGCTTTTTAAGCTGCTGTTAATTTCCAACTATTTAAAGGTTGAAACTCCTGTAATTTTGATTGGGAGGAAGTTCGGACATACTGCTGACAATTTTCAACAATGAGTGCTTTTAATTATTAAGGAATGAAATTATAAATAGCATAATCATAAAATATATTACGATCAGATTATAAACAGCCTCTGACTGTCTGTTGATGTATTTTAGTTTGCATCAAGAGCCTATTCTGGTGAATCATTCTCTGCCAGAGCACCCACCACCTTGAAAGGCTTCCAGATGCAGAGTGCGAGCAGCAGAATTAACCTCAGGATCTGGTCACAAGACCAAGTATGAGAAAACTTGTGCCCACCTCATCAATGCACTCTCAGAGTTTGAGAATTGAAGAGAAATGTCTCGTAGAAGAGACCTCGCAGGTAATTAAAACTTGAACCCGACGAAAACCAGCCTTGGCAAACCTCTTGACTTGTAAATCGATGGCGCAATTTATAATTATTTATGTACAAGTGCTGAAATTTAAAATTTAAATATTCTCTCGCTTAAATAATCCGAAGCTTTTTGAGGCTTTTTTAATTAATACGAAAACTTAGTCGGAATTTTTACATAACCGGAAAGATTTTAAAATTTAGTGTTTTGTAAAATCAAGGTTCTGCTGGAAATTGTGCATGGAAAAAGCACTGAAGGATCTTTGCTCTATGGAGGGCTCATAAAAACCACACGGAGGAATTTGCAATCTGAATGGAAATGCTGCTGGAAAAAAACTCATTGGAGACTGGCTGCGCAGTCACTCTCCCAGGAAAAACCTTATGGAAATGGCAAAGTTTGGACCGATTAAAACAAATAACTCTAAGAAGCTTTGAAAGTAAAGTTATTTTTAAATGAGTTTAATTTCAATAAAGCAAAATTGGTTTGGCGCCAGTCATTTTGCTACTTAATTTAATAAGTTTTACCGCTGCTGACCATGTTCGAAGTCGCTTTTGTCTTTTTGCCGCTGCGACCACTGACAAAGTTAATTTTGTGTGAATGCAATTTTCGAATGATTAAATCAAATTTCTTTGATTCTTTGGTTATAAATAATTCTTGGCGCGGCAGCTATTTAAGCTGTATAGACAGCTCTATAATAACATTGGTTGATTCTTCCCCTCTGTAGACTTCCACCTCCAGTATCTCTCCCCTCTGCTAGTCAAAAAGAGACAAGAGGCAGAAGCCAGATTCAATCAGAGACAAACGAAAATTGAATGATGGAGCAGCAAACTCTGCGAATTCTCACGGAGACGGACGAATTGAAGTACGTTGCGGCCTCCAGCATTGTCAAACACTTCCAACACGAAACCCTGAACATCCAGAACATCAGGAAGGGCGATGATGTTCTGGTTTGGAACGGCGAATTCAAGAAAGGGTCAGCGGGCGATTTGATCAAAGATGAGTACAGGGCCATGGTGGTTCAGCCCCCTGCTGTTCTTGGTGAGTTTTTAAAAGTTTATTAAAAAATTTAAATTAATTTTTTTTTTATATTACAACTCTTTCTAAAGTTTTCAACTGAATTTATAAAAAAAAAACTTTTAAATTTGCATCACATATTTTTTTTTTCTCTGAGAGTTGAATGAAAAATTGAGCAGAGCGTTTGCTCAAAACTCCTCAAAGTAAACAACCTTTGACGCCATTAGGGTCAATTTAAATTTTAATTTGCCATAATAAATGATGAATAAGCTCAAAAGAAAGCAAGCGCGTGATCTGTTGCTGGCGTCGCGCGTTATTGGAATTGCTCACATTCCGATTATATGTGATGCGGCGCAGGCCGCGAATGCTTTGCTCGATCTCTCGGACGTCGCCTGCCCCGAACTCGTCTCACATCGGCTCGGTTGGTTTGGTCTGAGCTATTCTGCGTTGCTTCGTTAATGTTATAAATTACTGCTCTGCAGAAAATCGCTCGCTCTTGCTGGCGCTTGAACAGTCCGCGACGTGTTTTCTCTAATTGCCCATGGGAACAAAATATAGGCGACCTGTGAGGATGATTTAGACGAGTGAGGAAGAGTGCAAATAACCTTTGTAAATGTGGCAAAAAGAAAATCAAAGTTTTGCCAACAACGCATAATTATAACTGATTACAAATATAAAAAGTAATAAATTAAATTCCTTGTAAAAATGCGAATGCTAAAAGTTACGATTTTCCAATGGAAAATCCATTTTTTTTAAATTATTACATCGTTTGAGTTGAGTTCACTTCGCAAATTGAGCGATTTTAAATTTCGATTTGTCCCTTACGCTTGAAAACACCACCATTCAGAAATACATATTGCACAGTTAATTTAAGATAACAACAATCTACAATCTGCACAAATTTGCCAGCAGCAGGCGAATCGTCTGCTTCGACGGCCACGACTTCTGCCAACCCCCAAGTGTTTGCTGTAGGACGTGCTGGGGGTTCAGCTTCCACCTCGAACATGTTGCCCGAGACTGCTGCTGAGCCGTGCACATCGGGCTGCTCGGCTGACAACACAAAGGACGACCAGGACATGTTGTGCGGCTTCACTAGAGAATTTGCGTAAGAATTCAATTATGCATTTATGTGAACAAAATCTCAAATTGAACCTGATATTTTAGGAGAAATCAATTCAAAGCGGGCCTTTCCCTGACCATCCCGCATTTGGCCAGACGGTTGTCACCGGCGAATGCGCAGAATGAGACCGCTAAGACTGTAGTTGTAAGTTTATTCAAATATTTATTTAGATTTTGTTCTTGAATTGAAAAAAACTATTAATTTTGACGGATTCATGTCGTGACGAGGGTCCGCCTTTCCCTGCTTCTGCCGAAGAGGCTTCCTTGGAGGCTTCGTCCGACAGCTCGGACGAATCGGAGCCGTCCGACCTTTCTGACTCGGACGATCCCTCTGCTCCATTGCTGGGCAAGAGTATGTAGAAATTTTATATTAATTTTTAATGTTGGGCCTGCAGTGGCCGGTTGAGCAGTGTCGAGCCCCACGGTCGCTGCCTTTTCTGCACTCTAGGCTAATAATGTGATATTTTGGCTCCGTAATCCAGCCACATGATTATTTTAAAACAAAAATTGAAACTTATTTTCAAAACTTGCAGAGACTGATGTTGAGAAGCAACGGGAAGAGCCAAGCCACTCAAAAGCTGGAGAGTCCCCTGGCAAAGCCAAAATGGCGGCAAGGAAGCAAAAAAAGTAATCAGAATTTTTCTAAAAAAACAAATGTTTGATGAGCGAACAAAGATTTTATTCGAGACAAAAGCGCAATCAGCGGGTGCTGCCTTTTGAAATAGAAAGCATAGCCTCTCTTCATTTTTGCTAAGTTTGTGAGGCTCCGGGTGGTCCTTTTGAGAGCCCGACACATAAATAATTTGGCCATTTGGCCAGATTTAAAAATTTTTTGAAATCCCTGCCAAGTGAGGATAAATTGACCACAGGGAGGGTACAGAACGAAATCACTTTTGCTAGTGCCACTCTCCATTTACACACCATATTGGCTTCTTTTAAAGTGTCAAGTGCAGCTCTTTTTTTGTTTCATCTGATTTTTTGTTTTCTGCTGGTAAACTAAACTATTCTTTGTTCTCTCTAGATTGAGTTTAGGTAAGAGGATTCAACTGAAAGCCGTGAAGAGTCTCGTCCTTGACAACAACCTGAACCTGCAAAATGTGGTGGCGACGGCCACCAGCACAGACTCGGACGTCTACCACGATAGTGCCCTCTTCGACTTGGCGTTTGCTTCAAGAACAAATAAAAGTAAATCGACAGCTCGAACTCAGGAACTGATGCGTCGATTCTGCAAATGGATTTGCACTCACGCCGAATTTGAGGAGCTGAGGCAAGGTAAAGAGATCTGAGATGTATTGAAAAGCAAAACGATTCTCTAAATAATTCTCTGTGCGCTCTTATTGCAATTCACACACTGTCTGCTATCTTGATTTTCTTTCGGGGCAAAGAATCACTTTCATAACTATCCTCCTGGTTTCAGAACAGGGCTTCCAGGTTCCAGAGGAAGAAGTGGTTCACAAGAGGGAGCGCGTCAAGAAATTTGCTGGAGGGTCTTCTGACAACATCTCGACGCGAAGGTCACCTAGACTCAACCCTGACAGCGCCGAGCCAGGTATTAAATTCTCTTAACACTTTTTTAACACAATGCAAGGAAAAACTCCTTCCCCGCCTCATCCCACGAGCCTTGAATTTCACCCAGTCAAATTTATTTTTTTGTTTCAGCTCCAGCTCAAACCACTTCGGCCAACGAACTGTTGCTCACACCCACCAAGACCAAGAAGAAGCCCAAGGCCCTGGCTGCAACGGCCGCCTCTGGTTCTCGACTTGCGTAAACAAAGCGGTGTCCAACTCAAAACGACTACAGCTGCAGCGGATGGACGTCAAAATTCCGCAAGTCTGGAACACTTTGGTTGTATCGGTTGGGTCATCTTTCCCACCACTGGAGGGCAATCGACTCCATTTGTGGCCGCAATTCCAAAATTCTTCTATTGTTTAATATGATAACTTTTATGGAATGACGTGACCTAATCAACTGACTGATCAATGTGTTTTTTCTGCAAATCAGTTTACTATAATTAATTTGTGCGTTCGAATGTCAATTTAGTTAACTCAATTTCTCAGCTTAAGTTATTTCTCATTAAATCTCTGTACTGTTTAAAACTTAGTTAATTTTTTAATTCTGAATTGAATCGTTTTACTGAAAAATCATTTGTATTGTTGCACTTAAATCTTTAATGTTGGACCGCTATAATTATTTATAAAAAATGTATTTGAAATAATGAACTGATTTTTTACTTGCACTTGATTATTGAATAATCTTTAATTTGCTCAATAAAATATTTATGATATTTATAAATCAAAAATGAATTTCTAGAAAAATAAATTGATGTTTTTATTTCTAATTGCTTTAAAAGGAACTTTTCTAAATTTTTACCACTAAATATCAAAATTTTTTATTTTATTGCCTACCTTAAGTAAATAAAATATTTATTATTTTTTTTATTATTTTACAAATTTTATTCCTCAATAATTTGACGAAAATTGATTGTACCAGCAATTAAATGTGATTAAGCTCCTTAGGACACTGCAATGTCCAGGGTTCCCCTTGAAAAATCCCACCTTTAGTGGGAATCGAACCGCAACCTCTGTGACAACAGGCAAAGACACTTCACGCGCTTCTGGCGCCAAAAGTCAAATAAAAAAGAGGCGTGGTCGCTTACAATTTTGTAAACAAACACAATTCAAGCATAATCTTCTAAATTTTCACCGCAAATTACCGCATTTTCCGATATTCCAAACCTTTCATGAGTTTCTCGGTATGTTAATTTGCTGATTTATTCCTTTATTTGGATTATTTTCGATAATTCTTCCAGCTGAAATGAAAACTCCAGCCAACCAGCGACTCGACAACGACTGCCCCCGGAGGCGGCGGGCCGCAAGGAGGCGGCGTGGTTGCCTGTGACTAAGGACACGTCGACCCAAGTTTGACCTTGGACCTCGACCCCATCAAATTTGACCACCCGAAGCGAGGTTCGCACTTTTTCACCAAAATTTGAATCTGCAAGGTTAGCAAAAGTCTTGTATGTCAGAAATTGCGGCAATTCCATTTTAAACCAATTTCAGTGTAAAATCTCAGGCGAGGGCGCGCACCCCTTGTGGCCACCCCTGGTCGTCAGGAGGTTTGAATCGGGTCAAATGCAGAAAGAAGGAGAGCAACAAAAGGTTGAGGCGAGTGAGGCCGATTTGACGCCACCTTCGTCTCTTCCGCGTCGCCGCCTCCAAGAAGGACCCAAGTCAGGTGGATCCAGGGTAAATTTTGCATCAACTAAAAAGAATTTAAATGCTCCTAAACCTTTCTTAGCTTTGAAACACTTTTGTTGCCAAAAGTTAATTTAAATCTAAAATTTTCCCTCAGGTAGAGCTTCGGAGGCTTTTGTGTTGGCATCGGTCAGGATCACAGCAAAAGTAAGGGTCAAAGGTTCAAGGCTACCTGAGAAGTTGATTGAAATCGCCGATCTGAATTAAAATTTTGTGGTAAGTGTAATTAAATTGGTTAGTGAACAAGATTGATTTGTTATGTTTGGAGTTTTTTTCAAGAGCATTGAATTATGCACGTGTGAGGATTAAATAATGTTTAAGTTTGATTTATTTTCATATCTCAAAAGAATCAGAAAATTGTCTAATTGAAATCGTCAGCATCAAGTAAAATGTAATCGTGAAAATTATTTCCCAACGACAAATTGACCTAGTTTGTCGGTGAAGATTTTACTGGGGTCTTGTGAAGCTCCCCTGCAATGCCCAAGGACTAATTTATGGCCAAGAGAGCTACTCAGACCAAGTCAGCTGGAAAGCATGAAAAAGGTTGAATGTGACATTAGAAATTTGCATAAAAAGGGGCTGGCTTGGGCCTTGTCCTGGGGCGAGACCACACAAGAGACTCGAGCCTCCGTCACATCACAGTTGCAAAACAGACTTGTCAAAGTTCGGTTGCTGCAAGATTCGTCTTTAATTGTTGCAAAGTGGAGACTTTTTCCATGTCTGCTTGATTCAGCACCAGACCAGAACGAGGTCGGCTGACCCGACACATTCGGTCCTGCTGCCTCATTTCATTTTTCATTTCATTTATTCTCTCGCAACAAGTCAACAGAAATAGAAAAATCATTTTGTTTGTTTTTAAAAGTTTTGGAATAATATTTTTACATATTTGGACTTCTTTGCAAAAAAACTGATTCTAGGAAAGCTTGAATTTTAGCTCTACGAAAATTAGCCAAAAAGTCTTTTTTTTTTTTTTATTCATCATAAACAAATATCGAATTAAATTTTGTTCTTCTTGTAGCTTTTCTGGAATCGATTTTTGACGTAGGTTTCAAATATGAAAATATTTTTCAAAATCCAATGGAAAAGCACTTTTAGAAATGATGGAATTCGGCATTGTGACTCAGCCAACGTTAATTGACATTTTATTTCTTTAAAATCGGCAAATTCGAACTTATAAGAATGACAAACACTGTCTACCCTCATTTTATTCATTCATAAACGGATAAAGGTGAGCGATACAAAGAAGGAACTTAAGTAAAGGGAAGGGTTGAAGTTATATTTTTAATCATTTCCATTTGAGTTGTACTACTTCAAATTCTTAGGCCGGGTCCGAAATGTCAAATCCTGATCTGAATCCCGGAATGAAATCCCGGTTTTCAAATCCTGATCTTTTTTGTGGAATTAAGGTTTACAGATTTTTACCGTGGATCACTAAAAGATATTCGAGATCAACTTTTTCGAGTACCGTCACCAGAAATTTGCATTCCACCGCATTAGGCCGACTTTGTTTTGGTTGCGTTTTGCCACCCAACTCGCCTCACTTGCCGACGCGGTTGATGTGACGCACGACAGGTAGCTCTGTCAGCAGCCGGCTGAAATCACCAAATCACCCACCACAGGGTAGCGAGTTTCATCGTAAAATTTTGAAAATTTTATTTTCTTTTTTTTTTAAATCATAATTCAAAAATTCTTTCTCTTGCTAGAACTAGAAACCATGCATCAATTTTTGGATCCAGTTCAAACATTCTGGCCATCTGGCCAATACCCTAATGCCTCTTTTTCTTCCGCACCAAAAAAAATTTTCGTTTTTGTACTACTCCAGACCGTTAGAAAGATAAGAAAAAAAAATTAAAAAAAAATTTTTTGATATTTTTTATTTTTATGTATCACGCAATTTTTTTGTGGAAATATATTTTCGCAATACATGAAAATAAAAAAAAAAAATCAAAAATATTTTGTTTTTATTTAAATTTTTTTTCTTATTTTTCTAACGGTCTGGAGTAGTTCAAAAATGAAAATTTTTTTGGTGCGGAAGAAAAAGAAAATTAGGCATTAGGCAATATTGGCCAAAGCCGCCAAAGGGCCAGAATGTTTGAACTGGATCCAAAAATTGATGGTTTCTAGTTCTAGCAAGAGAAAGAATTTTTCAATTATGATTTTTAAAAAAAAGAAAATAAAATTTTCAAAATTTTACGATGAAACTCGCTACCCTGTGGTGGGTGATTTGGTGATTTCAGCCGGCTGCTGACAGAGCCACCTGTCGTGCGTCACATCAACCGCGTCGGCAAGTGAGGCGAGTTGGGTGGCAAAACGCAACCAAAACAAAGTCGGCCTAATGCGGTGGAATGCAAATTTCTGGTGATGGTACTCGAAAAAGTTGATCTCGAATATCTTTTAGTGATCCACGGTAAAAATCTGTAAACCTTAATTCCACAAAAAGATCAGGATTTGAAAACCGGGATTTCATTCCGGGATTCAGATCAGGATTTGACATTTCGGACCCAGCCTTAGAAAGAACGACACCGATTTGAAACATTTAATTTTGTGCGTCTGAATTTGATATCATGTAAAAATAATTGTAAATTTAATTAAAAAATTTAAATCTCACTGTAGTTTTTTACGGTTTTTTATTTAAATCAGGTTCTTCTCATTCTCATGCTAATTTTGTTTATTTCATTAAAACTTTTGAGGAGTGCTTTTGAAACTGTCAAAATGAACTTCATTAAAAATGATCACTGCAAACAAAAACCTTTTAAGATTGCTCTGTTCTGTATAATTAGTTGGAAAATATTTATTTAAAAGAAAACATTGTTTATTATGTTTTTATTCCAGAAGCGTTGGACGTTGAGTTGGCGCTGACGGACCTGCAGGTGGCCGACGACATGCACGAGCGGCTCCGTGAAGGCCCCTGTCAGGTCAGGGACTGTGCCCTGAATTGGTCAAACTCCTCCAGGAGAACCACCCCCTGGATGCACACCATCGTCCTCCCTCGCCCTGCGGCCCTCGGGGTGTGGTGGGGGGCGCGTGACCCGCGGTTCGGCCGCGCCTCCCTGGCTCGGCCGGGTTGCGGCGTCGCCAGGGTAAGCCGCCCTCACCTGCGCCACCCCCGCAGAGGGGCGCGCTGGATCACGGCGTCCGACCCGTCGCCCCGCCTTGGAGGAAAAACCAGGGTCTTCGAGCGCGTCCCCCCAGCTACCCTTGGGCCTTCCCCCCTCAACAACCTCCACTTGTGACAGTCCTGGCAACACTCACCTTCAAAGAGGGTGAGTTTTTTTCCTTTAGAGATTTTCCAAGCAACAACTATTTGGAAAAAGGTGTTTTTTTTGCGAGAAAAAAATGAACAATTTTTACTGAATTTGGCTTTTTTTTAAATAAATGCAATGCTACTTGTTTTTGAGCAAATTTAATGTGTGTCAGTAGAAATTTTAAGATTGGTTTTGATTAAAATTAATTAGTTTATAAAAGATCTTCCTGTTTAAAATTTAAGCTAAAATTTTAATGCATATATTTCAGAAATTACCCCAATTGTGAGAACAGGCCAAAAGGCCGCTCACCCTTTTTTGATACAAGTAATTTGTTCACCTGCTAGCGCCACCAACAAGGCGACAACTGAACTAACAGGAAATTTGGTGGTTTGCAGTCCGACCCACGGCGCGACACTGGAGCAAAAGCCTTGCACTGCACGACTGGACACCGGTGCGGCTCTCGCAGTGTTTCCGGCCGCAAATCCTTCGTCTCCACTTCAATTGTCCATTTCCCTGCCGGTCAACTTTTGTCCGCTGATTTGAGTAGTTCGCTGCGACATCGAGACCGGCTCGTTGAATTAATTCCGCGCGCGACACGTTTCGCTGCAGACGAAAAAATCTCCCTGGCACCTTTCGTTTAGGTATGTATTTTGTTAATTAAACAACGATCATTACGGCAAATGTTGCCGCGTTTTTTTCTTGTTTAATATGCAGATTGCTTTTCATTTGGAAATTCACTTTTTGGTGCATTCCCTTTGTATTATTTGTTCTTGCTGCCCGCATAGATCGAATTCCAACCTTTTGGCTCGTTCGGAATTTTTTTACATTTGGACATGCTTGACAACTCCGAAAGTAAATTACGGCTGAATTTCTTGAATTGTCGTTCGATTGGCCCGAAGTGTGACGAATTTCTTATTTTACCGCGTATATTTAATTTGGCTTTTGCACATTCGCACTTTTAAAATTACATAAACCATAAAGGTTTAAATTATAAATTTTTAACAGGCAAATAATTATTTTTGGAGGGTAAAATTATTCTTAAATTAAGGTACAAAGAGAAAAACCAATTGCGAGTCTACATTCCTAGATATTCTATTGAAAATTATAATTAATACCAAAGTTATTAGGATAATAATTTTAAAAATTACTTTCCGTATTTATATTTTGAATTTTAATTGAATGATTTGCAAAATTGTAAATATCGAACGAGTGTTTTTTCGCGGCGGCCGCTTTGTGCGTGGCCAAGACAAAATGCTCTGACTTAAGTTTATTAAAAATAATTAAATTTCAGTTTCACAGCTTAAATTATAAATTGTCATCATTTCGTTTTCTATCTATTTTAATTCTTTGGCTCTCCACAAACCCTATTGTTAACGAACTCAAGAAATGAGGGTTAATTTTGTTCAAATTGAAGAGCAAGGAATTGAATTGCAAAAAAATCGCGTCAATATATTGAATAATTTGTGCGTGACCATCTCAAATTTCCTCACTGAACGCATCAATTTCCAAGCGTGTTAAATGTTTTGCAATTTTAATTCTGCCCTTTTTGCTTAATGAAAGTAAAAATCACTCGTGAAGTGAGTCCTCTATGATTATTACGAGAGACGTTCAAAATGGGAATGCGTTCAAGAATAAGAGCAAATGCTTTCTCAGCCGCGCCAGCCGACGTGAAAAAATGCCTCTAAAACTTCAATTATTGTCACAAAAGTCATAAATTACTAAACTAAACTGAATAAATTAAAAAATCAAGCAACCTTGAAAAGATTATTTGGAGCCATTGCATGGGTTGCTGAATGGTCACGAAAAAAAACTGTCTTCTCATTAAACATGCAAAATATTAAATTCATTAGAATAAAAGTTGAATTGCTGAGCGCTTTAGTCATTTGGAAGCTGAACTAGTGGAAAAAATTTCTTGTGCTGGCGAACTGCAGAATTTGCGGCGGCGTCGATTGCGTTCCTAGCAATCTTTTTTTATGTCTCACTCAGTCTCACACTCGTCGCCTGCATTTCTCGGGCGCCAAAATTCGTCAGAAAGATTTTGGTATCACGTTCTGGCTGACACGCATTCTAAGAATAACTTGTTTCAAAATAAATTTGTAATAAAATACATAATTATTTAATTTCTTCTTTTGAAAATCAACGGCAAAAACAATATAATGCTGTCCCCGCCCGCCCAGTCCACAAATTTATTGCAAACGTGTTTTGGTGTTGATCGAAGATTCTACAACAATGAAAAATTTATTGACTTTTGCAAGCATCTTAACGGTGTTGTTCGGATAGAATTGATTTCATCGAGGTTTTTTTACGTATAAAATGCCGCAAAATGCACTTTAATAATTTTTGCCAGGCTTGTTCGACATTATCTTTCTTTGTTGTTTATTTCCCTACCTTTGAATTCTAGCTCTCTTGATATTTTAATATTTTTGCTATCACTATTTATTTAATTTACATTCCTAAATTAAGAATCATTTACAAATTGATAGTTTTATATATTAATTAATTGTAGTTGAATTCAAAAAGAAGGAAACTTGAGGAAAATAATAGGTGGCAAATAAAGTCCCGTAGGTGCCCAAGATAATGTTGCACCAGCTATTCTATTATTTTTTTCTACTTTGTATTATTTATTTATTAAATAAGTTCCTAATTTGAAATAATAACTCTTTTGGGAGTTTGTTTTGCGTTGCAACAAAGAATTGTTCGAAAATAATTAGTTTTTTTTTAATAATTATTTAAATTATAAGAAAATAATCAATGTAAAAATGACATTTTATAAATATATATCATAAAATTATTGAGCGATCGTCAAGCATGCTCGTGCGAAATCTGTTTGTCCGCCTTATTTTTTTTATATATTTTGCAAGTTGAGATCAATGAAATTTAATAATATCAACAGTTGAGTGGAAACACAGGAGTAAAATTGATATATTTTGTTTTACTTCGGGTCTTGAAGAATCACTTTAATAATCATCCGCCTCTTTTCAGCTCAGTATTTGAAGCTCGATCCCAGATCAGGCGAGGTGTCGCAGACGCAGAACAAGGAGGAGGAGTTCGAAGACATCCTCGAAGAACAGCGCAGAGATCATGGCGGAAATTGAGAATTGCGCCTTCTCTGCAAGGTCGTCCCAGTCCGACGGCATCTCGTCAAGAGTCAACCTTGGAAGTGTCGAGCAAGGTATTAAATTTCTTTTAACACTTTTAAACTTCTTTCTTTTCCACTTTTCGAATGCAAGAAAAACTCCTTCTGCCTCGAAATTTCGAACATCACCTAGTCAAATTTTTCGTTGCAGCCAAATCTCGACCCTCTTCGTTGGTGAGGAGTGGAATCCCCGTTCTCATCAAGGCCACAAACAAGCCTGAGGCCCTGGCCCATCCAAATGCTGTCTCGGCCGCATCTGGTTATGCTAAAAACCCATCTAGCTGTAGGAAAGCCGTACTAGGCCCCACTAAAGGCTTGTTGGGCAATGGCCAGGCCAAGGGTGGCCCGAGCAAAACCCAAACAGGCCCCAACACCGTCAAAGCCTCCTTAGGCACTGCAAAAGTTAAGTCGAGCTGCGACAAAGCCGGACTAGGCCCCATCAAAGGCTCGTCGGGAGATGGCCAGGCCAAGTGTGGCCAGAGCAAAACCCAAGCAGGCCCCAACCTTTCTGGTCCTGGAAAAGCATGTTTTAGTGGTGTTGAAGATGTTGACTTTCCAGAAGACTTCAGCGAATTCCATGACGCTGCTGGTTTGTCAAGTTCGATTTGTCTTAACATTACAGTTCAATTATTTTTTTATATTTTTGCTACAGAAGAGACTATTTTTCTTGATGTGGACAGTGACGCTGATGATATTGCTAAGCCAAATGAAACGCGACTGCCGGCTGCAGATGTGCTCAAGAAAGGTAAGCATTTTTTTTTTTAAATTTTGATTGGCTAATTTATTAATTTACTCCTATGTAAAATCTTCGAATTTTGAATTGCCACTACTCCCCGCCCCAATTCTTTTACAATAGTTGTGGCCAAGAATCGGTAAAAATTTTATGGCAGCAATAATTTCAGAACCTACAAAGAGTCTCAAATTGTTATTGTCTGTTTCAGTTACCGAATACTGCTCTTCAAAATTGTCGCCTAAGATAGATAAAAAGAAGGCAAAGAAAAGCACCAGGAATGTATATTGTGAGTAGCTTGAACCACGCAATCAAGTCAGTTTTATAATAAATATTTCTTTTCCAGTATCAGTCCCAAATGGAGATGACCGCAAGGCGTTCGACAACGACGTCAACTGTAAAGACGTTGTCGGCAACGATGTGAAGATAATCAAACTTTGCTCGTTGAATGCATTTCTGCACCTCATCCTTGAGTTGGCGCTCTTTGCTAAAAAAGTGAGTAATTTCTATTTACTTTTGTACCGACCCTGTACCTGGTAATCTTGATTTGAAAATGATTACTTGTGCGTTTCAGGGTGACAAAGCTGCGCTTGAATTCCTTTACTCCTCATCTTGTTTGGCAGAAACACTCACAAAATCTTTTATTGAAGAAGCTTTCAAATGTAATGGCAAAATCACTGCAAAACTCGACACTCTTCGTGCAACAATGGCTGTCAAGTGGTGAGTGAATTTGCCATTAAAAATTTCATTATTTCGTCTTGGTAGCGACCAGAGCGCGCAAGTACATCTTGGTTAACGCAATCAGGGCGCGTTAGTGCTAGGTGGTTAAAGCGACCAGGGCGCGTAAGTGCACTAAAATGAATTTTACAGGAGAGACAAAAAACTAATTTTCTTTTAAATAAATTGAAAAATTAGTTTTTTCCTTGTAAAATTAGATAACAAAAATATTTTTTTTTTTTTTTTTTTTGCTTATGGCACCCGTGAGCTTATTAGGCTATTGGGTCGGTCTCTTGCCGAAGTCGAGCACCCTTAGCACATTTGTGCTTCCCAACCAACCTGACCCTTGTTCGGGGGCTTTCTAGCAGATTTGGTGGTGCTCGCATGGGCCCCCCACCCCCCTTGAGACCTTGCCCTGGCCTTGCCACGAAGGACTTGTAATGAAACGCAGGCATTCGCCACACAAGCTGAGTTCTTCCAGCTTGTGGCTCGGAGGAAACGTGGCAAACCTCCGAGTGCGAGTCGGTACAGCTTGCGCCATACCTCCCAAATTCCCGACGTGTCAGCCGAAATGTCATCAATGATTCGCATACCAGAGACTATTTGTTTCCACAAAGAGCCTCAGGCTGAGCATTGATCCCATGACGGCCAAGGAACACACTGATTAGAATGCAAGCATTCTAACCACTGGGCCACCGGGCTTGGTTTATAACAAAAATATAGTTTTATTATATAAAAAAAAGATTCATAACAATAGCTTTTGTCATTCAAAAGATATTTTACTTTAAAAATTTATCAATACATATTATAATATGTTATTTAAGTAAATTTTAAACAAAATTTTTAATATTTTACTATTTATAGAGTTTTTAAAATATATATTAATGTTTAAAAAAAATTAAAATTAATTTATAAATGCTTTGGCACGTTGATAATATTCAACACGCCATGTATTCACCGCGACAGTTCAGCCTGTTTCTCTAAAATCAGGTCTTTTAGCCGACCTCTCTTATAATATTTGTCAATTATAGTTTTACGCGAGTAGAAAAAAATAATAATGCATGAAAGATTTAATGAAGTGGGCAATCAATTAAATTAATTAGTATAATACAATTTACAGATTTTATAAAAAATTTCATGTTCAGTAAAGGAAAATTTAGCATGGGATCACTGCGGCGGCCGAGTCTTTTCTGTTGCTGGGGGCGTTTCAATTGAAATTCTGCCTTTCTTCAATGCTTGCCTAGGTTTATTTGAGTCGATTATTGGTTTGAGAATTATGAATATATAGTGTTACATATCATCGGCTGCGGCCGCTTCGGAAAGGAATTAATTTATTAAATTAAAAGTGGAAATTTTTCATCAAGAAATTATAAAAATCGTTTTAGCCATTCAAGTCAGTCAAAAGCTTTGTACTGAGATTTGCAATAATCTTCCGCAAGTGCCGCACATTTTCTGTTTGTTGCATTTCCTCAACGAGAGGTTAAGACCAGTTGCCGGGTTTTGATTTTTCATCAACAGCTCAATAGTCAATACTCTCAATTTATATAAAATATTCATGATATTTAATTATTATTTACTACTATCATATACTTTACAAGTATTGTCATTTTGCTATGCATTTGGAGAGTAAAGATTATTAATTTTTGGAAAAAAAGCAGTAAGGGCCGTAAGGGGTCGGGTGATGAAGTCGAGTGTGGATATTGGTAGTTATTTGACTTTTCACAGATTTTGGCTTAAAATAATAATCTCATTGTATTTGCCAAAGATAAATAAATTTAATCTTTTTTCATGTTAAGTTCACACATTGCTTCAGTTCACGGCATAATGCGAACGGGTGAGTTCGGAGAGAAATATCCATTTTTATTAATAAGCAACTAAAACGAAGTGTTTACTTCTGTTCAAATTATTAATAAATCAATATTAAATATTGTATTATATTTTGATAATTTATATATTTTAAACATTTTTCACATTAAATTGCATTTTAAGTAGCTTGCCGAGACATTGGAGATAACACTCGACTTCGGCCCATACAGATTCGCCTATTTATGCTATATTAATATTGAAATAATTATGTTAATTTTTGATACCTAGATGGCTCCCACTAGTCAACTGTGAACTTTTTCCCATGTATTTTTGTATGCCAGATTCATATTTGAAAAAAAATGCGTTTGGTAAAATCTGTTAGTTACGCGCTCTGTAAGGACGCGCATTGTTGGCTACCACGCTGTGATTGCGTTGACCAAGATGTACTTACGCGCCCTGGTCGCTACCAAGACGATTTGTAATATCCTTTGCAACAGGTTGAACGCCCTAAACCCCGAGTGCCTTTCAGTCACCAACAAGTTGGTGCAAGGCGTGGCAGGAAACATAGGCCCTTTGATGTTTCTCAATCATTCTGGAACGACTAGCGCCCTGGAATATGGCATATGTGTATTTTGTGGTGCGTCTGATTCCTCGGACAGAATTGCTTTCATCTGGGCAGATGAGCTTGACCACTACACTGCAACTGGCTATTGGATTATGGACGTCGAGGGGATTTGTCAAAAGGTACCTATATTATTGTATATTGCAAAAAATCAAATCTAAATTTTGTCCCTTTTTCAGTGCCAACGCCAAACTACGAAAGTGCGAGTGCTGAATGAACATGGCTTTTTTCTCGGATGCAGAGCAATGGGAGAAGCCGTCAATGAGGGTCAACTCAACTGTAAGTTTCCTCTGGTCATGCAGATTGGACTTATCACTTACGAGAGGAAATCGCTGCTGGCCACGACTGCTAACTTTCATGACCGTCACGCGTGGGTGGTTTCGCCCACCGTGAATGAGGATGCCTGGAGGTCTGTCGACAGCATCGCTAATTGGAACAATATTATTTTACTGTGGTTGACACCTCTGTTATGGTGGTTGCATACGCCAAAGAAATATGTTAGTGTCTTAGGTGTTTGATATTGAATGAAAAATCACATCATTCTGACCCTGAACCCTGAAATCAGAAACTGAGCAATTGCTTTGCGCTCAGTATGCGGTTTTGTAATTGTGTCTGAAGTTTTGCTGATTTTTTGCTTTTATGATTTAACCATTTTTACTCAATGACTATTTGTATTCTGTGCTATTGGTAATGTGCGTGAATTTTTTACAATGAAAGTCCGAATGCCCGAATGTGGCCCGAATATAAACAAATAATTATAATAATTAATATCCAGAAAAATAAAAGTTTTTTATTTCAAATTGAAAATGTGATAGCTTCGAGAACTTACATTTGCGCTACTGAATATTAAGTATTTCCAATAATAACATACTTTAACTCTATTTTTTATTAATCAATTATTTATTTGCTATTCTAAAAACTTTTTTTGCTATAGCAGCAATTAAATTTGTGTGGTCTCTTTCCCTGTGACGCAGCAATATCCAGAGCAACCCTTGCAAAATCCCTCCTGCAGTGGGAATCGAACCACAATCTCTGTGGCAACAGGCAAAGAGACACTTCACCATTGCAAGCGCTGATGGCGCCAAAAGTCAAATCAAAAAGGGGCGTGGCCGCTTACAACTTTGAAAACAAACCAAAGACTTTATAAATAAGGGTTGTTTATGTTTCAGCCATGGATTTATTCTTAATAAATAAATATTCTTAATAAATCCATGTCCGATCTATTCGATATTATATCTGCAATCCAGTCCCCCACCTGCATTTTTTTTGTTCAATTTGGCGCCGATTTGCCCTCTGGTGACAGATGACAGATCTGTGAGTCGAAGGAGTGTACAAAGCGGAGTTAAGGATCGGCCGGTCCTTGAAACTCACTTCGAGGACGAAAAGTTCAGAAAAACTCAAAAAGTACTTTTCGCGGATTTAATAATTTATAATTACTCATTATTTTTAAATAAATTGTCATATAAAGCTTAATTATTCAGTCAAAAATTAAATGCAATGTTATCCTTTCTATACACGCCTTAAGGTTTGTTTGTTTGGTTTTGATCCGCGCGCGCTCGCTCTCATCTGCATCGCGCACGCCGCCACGCATTCGGGGGGCTCGGCGGACATTATTCCCACGATCCATCACGCTCACTCTCCAACTCCTCTCTCCAGGACACACTTGTCAGGATGGTCCGGAGACTCTGGCTGAACTCTAGGCGCGTTGGGCCGGCTCTATCCTTCGGCGGGACGGAGTTCTCCGGCCGCTGGATTCGCAAAAGCTGCACGCAGAATTTTCTAAGTCCCGCTGCGCTTTATTCGCTGCTCAAACTGCCAACAGCTCACTACTTTTGGGGCGCCGATCTCTTCCGCTGCTCTATCTGCCGCCGGAGAAGATCTGGAGGCTCTTTTGCACCTCCCAATGAGGCGGCTTTTCTTCTCGACGAGCAGGGAAGATCTGCGGTGCTCCAACGCTGGATGCTCTCGAAGTTCCCCGGTGACTCTATCTCTCTCTGCAAGGCTGAATCTGATCTGCGGCGATTTGGCTCCTCCCTCTGGCTGCAGGATCCGCTGCTTGGATAAAAACATTATCGCATCGGGATTTAACTAACGTAACGCGTGGCTCCATAAACCGTGCACAGGTTTACAGAGCCAGCGTTTGCTGCAGCCAGACTGAGCAGGGAAACCGGCATAGCCTCCGGCCGCCCTCCTCAGCCTGACCCGCAGGTCAGCCTGGTGGCAGCCCTTGCGGGCCGCCGGGGGTCTCCGCTCCCCGCTCCCGAAGGAGCCGGAGCAAAGAGTGCGCCGCTTACCGAGCGGCTCGGGTTTTTATATCATTTCTTCTCATTTGCATATATCGACGATCTTGGGAAATCGGAGACCCCAAACTCCACCTTTCTTCTAGAAGGTTCTCGAACTTTCCAATGCTTAAGGTATAGGAGACGATCACACTCCCCTCTCGCCGCACTCTGATTGGCCGCCCAAACTCCAGGGGGCTGGCCAAAGCCGCTGCGCCCGCGACACGTCGCCACTCGCCTGCATAAGAAAGGCCAGGGTAAAAATCAGCGGAACTAACTTTCTCTTCCCACTCCTTCTCTCTTGCTGCTGGCGCCGGCGCACAGAGCGCCCCTCTTCCGCCGCAGCCAATGCCGCAGCCAACACATCAGCTGGGCACGAAAACAAAGCTAAATCCTCGGCAAACAAATCGCGGCTCTGATGATAAATAAACAAAATGCTTAAGCGAAGGAACAACAATAAACAATAAAGATGGTGAATCAGTTTGTTTGAGTTTGTTTTCTTTCTCGGCAAGTAAACAAGTTGATGCAAATCAAATCAAAACTGCATATAAATTCATTTTCAAAATAATAAACTTAAATGAAACTCTGCAAGCTTGACCATTGACTGGGAGTGTATGTAATCATTGGGACTGGGACTCTGACTGACCAGCCACTGCAGCAGACAAACTGCCGAATAAGCGCCGAAAATGAATGCATCGGCGTCGCTAATTGGGAAGAGCGAGTTGAATGGTCAGTTTATTAATTATAAAAACGATTCTCAGATCTAAAATGGGTTTTTTGTTTGGGAATTTAGACTTGATCAAAGGTCGGGCAAGCATGCAGGAGCTGGTTGGAGACGTGAAAGTCCTGCAAACCAGACTGCAGAACCTGGTGCCCTTGCAGGAGTTGGCCATGCGCTCCGTCGTCTCCAACCTGTCCAAACTGGACCCTGACTCGATCGACTACCTTCGTAAGACAACACTTTGTGGCTATTTACAGAGCTGTAACCATAAACTTCATGTTTTTCAGCCAGCACAGTGAAAACTGCGATCCTCGAGGCTGTCACGAAGTCAATTCCCCATGTCCCTTGTCGGACGTGAAACCCATCGAGACCGTGCTCGAGACCGGTCGAGACCATTGGTATCGGTGGGTCTCCATCGGTCTCGACTGGCCTCGGAAATTTGTAACTTTATCATCGTAGGGCATTTGTTCCACATGGTCTCGGTGGGTTTCAGCTGGTGTCGGTGGGTCTCGGTGGGTTTCAGCCGGTGTCGGTGGGTCTCGGTGGGTTTCAGCCGGTGTCGGTGGGTCTCGGTGGGTTTCAGGTGGTGTCGGTGGGTCTCGGTTGGTTTCAGCTGGTCTCGGTGGGTTTCAGCTGGTGTCGGTGGGTCTCGGTGGGTTTCAGCCGGTCTCGGTGGGTTTCAGCCGGTGTCGGTGGGTCTCGGTGGGTTTCAGCTGGTGTCGGTGGGTCTCGGTGGGTTTCAGCCGGTGTCGGTGGGTCTCGGTGGGTTTCAGCCGGTGTCGGTGGGTCTCGGTGGGTTTCAGCTGGTCTCGGTGGGTCTCGGGTCTATATAAGCTTATTTTTTTAATTTTGTAATTAGTTCATTCAAAATATATTTCAGTTTTAATTTATCATCAAGTCAACTTTAACACACAACTATCTTAATAATGTTTATTTAATGTGAACTTTTTTCATTTTTTTACATTCATAAATTTTATTAAAATTTTTCTTTATTTTAAATTTCAAAAATTTCAACTGATTTAACATTTGATTAAAAAAATTATATATTAAGTTAAAATTTTATTTAATTCATATTATATATTTACTTATGCGTAGAGATGTAATTTTTTAATTTTGTTCATGAAATGTTGACACTTATTCAAAATTCATTTGCCCCCTTTGATTCAGTTCAAAATGAAATTGATTAATTCTGGCGACTCTTCTATATATTATTTATCAGTATTTAAAAAAAAAAAAAAAATGGAATAAAAAAATGTGTCTCTGAATTTTTAACTAAATTTTCAATTGCTATTAATCAATATCTTGTTATTATTACTCTTTATTGACTTATTAAGATATATCCTATAGGTTGCTCTAGGTATTGAAGTAAGATTTTTGTATAAACTTGTATAATATTAATATAGTAATTGAAAATCCAATTATTAAAAAATCAGCGAGCGAGACATTATTTTATTCTATGCTTTTTAAGTAAATACTGAGATAAATAATAAAAATAGAAGAGTCACCAAAATTTATCAATTTCATATTGAAACTGAATCAAAGAGGGCAAATGAATTTTTAATAAGTGTTAACGGTTCATTAACAAAATTAATTTTTATGTAACTGCATTAGTAAATATTGTATGAATTAAATAAAATTTTAACTAAACATCGTTTTTTTAATCAAATGTTAATTTAGTTGAAATTATTGAAAATTAAAATAAAGAAAAGTTTTGTTAAATTTATGAATGTAAACAAAATTAATTAAGTTCACATAAAATAAACATTAAACTGAAACTTTATTAAAATAGTTGTGTATTAAGTTGACTTGATGATAAATTAAAACTAAAATATATTTTGAACGAAATAATTACAAAAAAAAAAAAATTGCTTTTATATAGACCCGAGACCCACCGAAACCAGCTGAAACCCACCGAGACCCACCGACACCGGCTGAAACCCACCGAGACCGGCTGAAACCCACCGAGACCCACCGACACCAGCTGAAACCCACCGAGACCAGCTGAAACCAACCGAGACCCACCGACACCACCTGAAACCCACCGAGACCCACCGACACCGGCTGAAACCCACCGAGACCCACCGACACCAGCTGAAACCCACCGAGACCATGTGGAACAAATGCCCTACGATGATAAAGTTACAAATTTCCGAGGCCAGTCGAGACCGATGGAGACCCACCGATACCAATGGTCTCGACCGGTCTCGAGCATGGTCTCGATGGGTTTCACGTCCGACAAGGGGTTGAAAACATCCCTAGATTCAATCTTCTCACCCTTGGCCTTGACCTCGCCCCAGACGGCACATGCATCGTCAAGGTACAACTATGTATTTTCATTTCATCCACTTTGTAAAAAAAAGTATTCAAAATCACTCTTTTGCATTTTGTTCCTAAAATTTTGGAAAGTCATTGATGAGAATAATAATAATTTATCTTTTTTCTTTCCTAAGCATTTTTGTAAACAATCCCTTTTTTTGTAGAAAATTTCTAATGGTTTCTCATATGATGAGAGAGACTCGCTCCAGCTTGATCTGAGCACCCTGAAGCGACTGATCACAGCAGACCTTCAGGACTTTGACTTGAATGTGATCGAAAAAGTTCCGTCCGTCTTCAGCAAAGAATCCGAGGAGATCTGGAAGTGCTTGGCCTCTTCGGCTCCCAACCTGACGAGCATTCGAGACCAGAGGGAAGCGTTTTATGAGGCAAGACCTGGACACTTGATCATCGAGTACCTTGCGAAATTCCCTTACCTGAGCGACCTACAGCTGACCACCTTCCGATTCTCCGACGGTATGATAATGGAGATAATTTGAAAATTTACTTTATTCTTAACCTAAATAAACACACAGAGGACATGAGAGTTCTGGGGACGAGCTGCACCAACCTGAGGAGTATCAACTTGACAAAGAATCCTGATCTGACAGGATGGACTGCTCTTGCTTGGAAATTTGCCCCTGCTGGAGAAAATTTCCTTTGGGGTTCGTTGGGGGAACATTTGAGCCGCTCACAGCAGATCTGCCAGGAAACGCTGCCGACCCTCAAAAAGCATTCGAATTGCTGCCCAATCTCAGAACCATCCAAGAATGGTATATTGACTTTGAAGGTTAGTAATAAAATTTGTTTTTGATTGTCGTTTTAATTGTCCTTAATTACATACTTGGTTAAAAATTGCCACTTCACTTCTTGGCTTTGCTTGCAATCAAAATATTGTATTATTATATAAAATTTTCAATTATTCCTAACCAAATCACACCAATAAAAAACGACTCCTGCCTTATTGAAATTGCGCATTGAATTACAACAGTCGACATTGTATTTAACTGACCCTGCGCTTATTGATTACAGATGCATTTGGACTGAACCCGCCAAACTTGTTGATCCCAGAGAATCCTCAACAGCCATCCAAATTGGAAGAGGTCATGGATATTGGTGGCCATGTTGAAATGTAAATATTTTCTTTAAATGTAAATATTTTACTATTTTTATTTGCCCGCAGTATTGGAAGTCACTTTCCTGAACTGGAGAGGATGCAATGCAGTTTAAGCCTGCCCCCGGAAACCTACACACAACTGCCCCTGTTGAAATCGCTTTATCAACTAAATTTCCCAAAGGACTACCTGGCCCTGCAACTAGTTGGCGCCACACTTGTCGAGATAATTATTACAAGATATTGCTCGGAACATGTAGACTTGCGTGTCGAATTTTGATTTTGTGTCCCAACCTGGAGAAGCTGCACCTGCGCGCTTGCTTTTTGCAAGAGGAGCAGCAGCACCGTGTCAACCCTGCCAGGTTGAAGCTGAAGGATCTGGAGCTGATAGCAGATCGCTCCCCCGTAAGCAATGCTGAAGATCTTGGCATGATCTTTTGGGATCTGTTGCTGGCCCCGAACCTCCAAAATGTCGGCCTTTTCAGCTTTTTCTGCACCGAGCCAAGGGCCCTCCTCGACTCGGCCTCGCCCTTCCTGCAACAACTGATCCACCTCAAGACTAATTTTCAGTTCAAGTGGCCCACCAATGAGACCAAAGACGTAGTGTTTCCTCACGCCCTTGACATGCACAACGAGCTGCTCTCGGGGCTCATCAGAACTTGCCACAAACTGGAAACATTTTTCTGTGAAATTCGTGTGCTGAAATATCGTAATATGGAGTTTCAGGAGGTACTTATTGTGGACGTTGAACCAGAGAGAGCCCGCTTGAATAGCCCGCGATTGTCCGCCGAGGTTTCTCGGTGAGTGGCGGATCGTGGCCATCTACCGGTCAACATTGGAACGATCAGAAAGTAAACAAACCGCCTCGTGTTTTTGCTGTCGCCGGAAAGAAGAAAGAAAGCAAATAGACTCACTTTTTATTCGCCGCCGGCCAACTCGTCCCAGTCCCGACCCGAATAAGTCATCAGGTTTGAGTTTAATTGCCCGCTCAAGTCATTTAAACCCATTTTGTCGTTTTCTCTCATCTCCGCCGTCCATGTTTGGATAATCCCCGGAGAAAATGACCATATAAGGCCCGATTTGAGAACTCGCGATCTGATTGGCCGGAACCTTCTGGAAGCGAGTAGAAGCAGACCGATGCGTTCTCTCATTGGCGCTGGGCAGTTGAGCGAGAGAGTTCGTGCTGAGACGCTGAAGGAGCAAGAGCTGCGCGCCGCGAGCTCTTGGCTGCCGACGGGTTTCGGACGAATTTCGGCCTAGATTTGCGAGTTCTCTGGTAGTGTGAATTGTTCCCTGAGTTGGTCTGGTGTTGGTTAGGCGTTTATTTGGTGAGTTTATTGGATTTTTAGTTAATTTTGCCCGGTTTGAGAAGTTACGTCGGCCGCACGTGGTGCTGAACCCCGCCGATTTTTGAGTTGTAAGTCCCGAAATTGTTTAGTTTTGCGTGGAAATTGTCGGAATAATTAGCGGTTGAATTGTTTTCGCCGCTAATTTGCATATTTTTGTCAGATTAGTGGAAGTTGCGAGTTTTGTGTAAACCGGTGAACCGAGCGCGCCCTGTCGGCGGCGGCGGTAACCGAGGCCCGATTCCTCCCATCGAGTTAGTTTGTTTCCCTTCCTCCCTTTGCCGGTAGAGGCGCTGTTGGCCGTTTCAAGTGTAAAGTACCGTGAAGTTAGCAAGTAGAATAAATAGAGGTTCAGTTTAAATTGTAATTCTTTGCGGTTTTCGTTCGTGAGTTGGAGTTTCCCGTGGGATTTAGTTTAAGATTAGGTAGAGTAGAGAGAGAGAAATAGTTTAAGAGAAGAAAAGTAAGAAGTTGAGTGGAGAAGAAGGAAATTGCAGAAAAGAGAGACTGAGAGAATACGATTGAACAAAGGAGGAGACCCGCGTTCAATCAAGTTATTCTCTTAGTTCTGAGTCGTTGGTGGAACAGGCCGTTGCCACGATTCAGAACTTGGGGGCCTGGCCTTGTCGTGCCTCACGTCGTCTGGCGTGACTCCACGGTGTAATCCGGTGTGTTAATTTTTCTTTTTAGTGGAAAGTTGGTTGCGTTTGGAAATTTCTTTTTGGTATTAGTGGAAAGTCTTTGTGAGTGTCCTTGGGGGCCTTATTAGTGTAGAAAATAGTAACCGCGAGGTGTAGGAAAATTTTGGAGTTTTAGTTTTGAGTGAATTTTTTTTCTTGTAGTATTAGAAAATTGGAAATTGCATTTTGTAAAAATTGTGTGAATTTGCTGTAAATAAAGGAGTAATACAATGGATGTATTTTCTCCAAACCATTTCCCTGTCCCACAATCGACTCCATGTTACCCATATGTCGATAGTTTGCGCTTGAGCGAACCACCCACCCCGTTGCAGAAATGGATCCCTGTGGAACTATCTCATCAATTGATTGCCGAGGAACGTCGCCGACTGGTGGCTCAACAACTACAATGGGTGCAAAACGGTGCCTACTTGGACGGTGGACCTCTTGGTGCCCAAGCAGCTCAGTTTCCTCCTGGTGCCCACGCAGCCCAAATACCTACTGGTGCTCCATTGGTGAACGGTGCCTATCTTGGTGGTGTTGCTCATGGTGCCCCAATGGTACCAAACGGTGCTCATTTCCCTGTAATTCCAAGCGGTGCCTACCCTCCCGGAGCAAATGGTGCTCATGCTGCTTCAGTGGTGCACAATGGTGTTCATTATGGTGGACCTCCTGGTGCACAATCAGCCCAAATTCCTCCTGGTGCTCAAATGGTGCACAATGGTGCTCAAATGGTGAACAGTAATCCTCCTGCCGTTTCATTCTTTGTCAACTCAGCTCGTGCTCATAGTGTCCCAATGGTTCCAAATGGTGCTCAGCTTGGCGGAGCAAGTGGTGCTCACCTCCCTTTTCACCTTAGTGGTGCCCACTCAGTTCCCTTCCCAGCCAATTCTAATAGTGCTCATGCAGCTCTATGGTTTAAGTCTTTTGAGGTGTACACGCCACCAGGTTATTCCTATGCGACTTTTGCTTCGGCTTTCCGCACGCAATTCTTCCCTCAGAGCCTGCAGTATCCTTTTGATAGTGACGCTTCTTCGTACATTAGCCCTGTTGGTGCTCATAGTGCTCCTGTTGACAATGTTGCCAATTGTGGTATTCCTTTCAACCCAGGTTCGAACAGTGATGCTCATGGTGCACACATTGATCTTCATGCACAAAGAGCGCAGAACACTGTTGGTGTCCATGACCGAGCAGTAACGTCTTCAGAGAGTATTTCTAGTGGTGACCTTTTGACATCAACACAACAAGAACTGGCGAGTCCTGAAGATTCTCCGAAAGGTGTTGCCGAGCTTTCTCAGCACCCACAGGATGGGGGGCCGTTAGCAGCAGTTAGTATAGGTGAGCAGTCAGACGGCAAAGTTTCCAGCTCTTTGGCAGTGAATGAGGATCTTCAGCCTCCACTTCATGACCAACATGTTTCTGATGCTAATCAATTGCTCTCTTTATCCCCTCAACACACCGCCAATGTTCCCAGGTGTGAAACGGAACTGTTTCCAACACCCCAAGCCTATTTCAGGAAGGAAGAGCCCTCCCTGTACCTACAATTGTCCTATTACCAGCTGAACCAGCTGATTAAAAAATTGAACTCCAATCCCCCTAATGATGACTGTGAGCCAGAAAAGGACCCCGAACCTGGAGATGACCCTGTACTGGCGCAGATAGGAAGCATAGACGTGGGACCTGGATCTGACCTTGAAGTCAACCTAGGACTGAGTGACCTGTTTTATGAGCCGGAGACGTGCACAATCATCAACGAGGACCACCAGCTAGCGCTAGAGGATTGTGTGAAGGACGAGATGCTGACCATTGGAACAGAAGCCTCATTACAGCACGACTACACAGAAGTGAGACGTTTTGCGAAGCTAGCAGACGCTGATGCTGGTTCTGGTTTTGGCCTGCTGCCACAAGTGACAACAACTGTACGCGCCAAGGAGCCTGCCCTGCAGAAGACACTCTTCAACACCAGGTGCAACATCTTGGATGAGCCGCATGGACCGGACATCACTCTGAAGGAAGACAAGGCTGATGACAACCAAACTGCTCCATGTGTCCTGAGACAATCGGACACCTACGTGGGATCCAGGGCGGTCAGGCTGCGAAAGTCGTCTGACAGGCGTTCAAGCAGGGCTACCCCTTACATGATTCCTCCCTCAGAACCACCAGATAAGCTGCCCTTGCGCACATTCTGCCTGGCTGACCCGAGATTGGCTGAGTGTCGTCCTTACATTCATCCAAGTCATCATCCACCCGATTCCCTCGCCCTAAGCTCCTTTAGTAAGTTTTTGCCAAATGTTTCTTCGAGACATATGACAAAAACTTGGGGGGCATGAACCAGAGAGAGCCCGCTTGAATAGCCCGCGATTGTCCGCCGAGGTTTCTCGGTGAGTGGCGGATCGTGGCCATCTACCGGTCAACATTGGAACGATCAGAAAGTAAACAAACCGCCTCGTGTTTTTGCTGTCGCCGGAAAGAAGAAAGAAAGCAAATAGACTCACTTTTTATTCGCCGCCGGCCAACTCGTCCCAGTCCCGACCCGAATAAGTCATCAGGTTTGAGTTTAATTGCCCGCTCAAGTCATTTAAACCCATTTTGTCGTTTTCTCTCATCTCCGCCGTCCATGTTTGGATAATCCCCGGAGAAAATGACCATATAAGGCCCGATTTGAGAACTCGCGATCTGATTGGCCGGAACCTTCTGGAAGCGAGTAGAAGCAGACCGATGCGTTCTCTCATTGGCGCTGGGCAGTTGAGCGAGAGAGTTCGTGCTGAGACGCTGAAGGAGCAAGAGCTGCGCGCCGCGAGCTCTTGGCTGCCGACGGGTTTCGGACGAATTTCGGCCTAGATTTGCGAGTTCTCTGGTAGTGTGAATTGTTCCCTGAGTTGGTCTGGTGTTGGTTAGGCGTTTATTTGGTGAGTTTATTGGATTTTTAGTTAATTTTGCCCGGTTTGAGAAGTTACGTCGGCCGCACGTGGTGCTGAACCCCGCCGATTTTTGAGTTGTAAGTCCCGAAATTGTTTAGTTTTGCGTGGAAATTGTCGGAATAATTAGCGGTTGAATTGTTTTCGCCGCTAATTTGCATATTTTTGTCAGATTAGTGGAAGTTGCGAGTTTTGTGTAAACCGGTGAACCGAGCGCGCCCTGTCGGCGGCGGCGGTAACCGAGGCCCGATTCCTCCCATCGAGTTAGTTTGTTTCCCTTCCTCCCTTTGCCGGTAGAGGCGCTGTTGGCCGTTTCAAGTGTAAAGTACCGTGAAGTTAGCAAGTAGAATAAATAGAGGTTCAGTTTAAATTGTAATTCTTTGCGGTTTTCGTTCGTGAGTTGGAGTTTCCCGTGGGATTTAGTTTAAGATTAGGTAGAGTAGAGAGAGAGAAATAGTTTAAGAGAAGAAAAGTAAGAAGTTGAGTGGAGAAGAAGGAAATTGCAGAAAAGAGAGACTGAGAGAATACGATTGAACAAAGGAGGAGACCCGCGTTCAATCAAGTTATTCTCTTAGTTCTGAGTCGTTGGTGGAACAACGTGTCTCCCGAGTGGCACAGAATCCCCAAACAAAAATTGGTAGTTTGAAGAAGTTGACACTCGAGGAGATGATCATGGAAATGCAGATATCGGGCTTTTTCCTCGTTGCAAAAAATTGTTTTTTATTCAAAAAAACAAATCGCTCTACCAGTATTTCTCTTGCTCATGAAATAGGGTCGCAGCCCGTGACTGAAACTGGTTTTTGAATAGAAACAATTTTTTGCAACGAGGAAAATGCCCGATATCTTCATTTCCAAAAAAAGGTAGATCTCAAATATTGATTAGAGAGATATTTTCCGTACAGCTTAAACCTAAAATCACATTTGTGACTTAATGAGATGTCCTGATGTCCTCCAATGTGTCTTTCAAGACATTTTTATTTTTAAAGGATTCATTGTAGCATTTGCAACAGCCCAAAATAATTAAGACTATGGCTAATTTAAAAACAAAATAATTGACTGATTATGCCAGTATGTGCATTTAAATCACAAACGCTTCTATAATGGTCTCATTACAATGGTACAAGTTTTTAATATTAAAAGGTCTTTAAATGCAATATGCTATTAAGACACAAGATTCAGACCTCATCATTCTAGCAATTGTTCAGTCATTTGAACAAATTTTAATTTTAAACACAAAATGTATTTATTTATTCTTATTCAATCTTGATATTCTTGATATACTGCCATTATGAGAGTTGGATGAAATGAATTAATAAACACACAAATCAATATAATTATTGAGTAATTAAATTTCATGCACGTTTTATTAATGGTGCAGTCACTTCCATAAAACCTTCAAATTTTATTTGTATCTACACTTTAAAGCAGCCAAATGAAATCCACTGATCCGAGATGTTCTTGGTCACAAAAATATGATATTCCAACAATTGGTTCTAGTAAAAATTTTAAAATCAAAAGCTATCCTTTTGAATTATTAGATGAACCTAAAATACTTTGTAGTTCGCACAATCCAAAATCCAATCCCCGCTAGCATTTCAAATTGGCGCCGATTTGCCCTCTGGTGACAGAGCTGTGAGTCGAAGGGGTGTTTAAAACGGAGTTAAGGATTGGCCATCCTTGAAACTCAACTTTGTAGATGAAAGGTTCAGAAAAATACTCAAAAAATACTGTCCGTGGATCTGAAAATGTATATTTTAACAATATTTCTAAATAACTTGGTAAATTAAGCTTAATTATTTAGTAAAAGTTAAATGCATGTGTACTCCTTTTTATACACGCCATTGACGCCATTTGGTTCGTTTTCTTTCTCGGCAAGTTCAACAAGTTGCTGCAAATCAAATAAAAACTATAAATTTATTTTGAAATAATAATTTTAAACTCTGCAAGCTTGAACATTGACTGGGAGTGATCATTGGGACTCTGACTGACCAGCCACTGCAGCAGACAAACTGCCGAAGCGCCGAAAATGGATGAATCGGCGTCGCTAATTTCGAAGAGCGAGTTGAATGGTCAGTTTATTTAATTATAAAAACGATCCGAAAATCTGAAATGGGGTTTTAATTTGGGAATATAGACTTGGTCAAAGGTCGGGCCAGCGTGCAGGAGCTGGTCGGAGCTGCGAAAGTCCTGCAGACCAGACTGCAGAACCTGGTGCCCTTGAAGGAGTTGGCCATGCGCACCGTCGTCTCCAGCCTGCCCAAACTGGACCCTGATTCCATCAACAACCTTCGTAAGTCAACATTTTTGGCTATTTGCTCAGTTAAAACCACAATTCATGTTTTGCAGCCAGCAGTATAAAAGCTGCATTCCTTGAGCTCATCACAAAGTCAATTCCCAGGGATGCTGTTCGTTATGTGAGTCCTGATTGTCCTGAACTTGGCCTTGATTTTGCTTCAGACGGCACTTGCGTCCTCAAGGTACAATTATTTTCATCCACTTCGTTGGATGGAAATTGAAACTTCAAGCAGTATTTTTAAATAACATATTATATTTCCGGCTTAAGTTTTGGAACGTCATTGACAAGAACAATAACAATCAAGAATTTTTTTTAATCAATCTCTTTTTTGCAGAAAATTGTCAATGGGTGCACATTTGAGGAGAAAGACTTACTCATGCCTGATCTGAGCATAATGAAGCAGCTCATATCTTCAGACCTTCAAGATTTTGACTTTAATGCAATTGAAAGGGATACGACCGTCTTCAGCGAAGAATCCGAGGAAATCTGGAAGTGCTTGGCCTCTTCGGCCCCCAACCTGACAAGTGTTAAGGACCTGTGGAAAGAGTGTCAACTGCCGAGACCTGGACACCTGATTGTCGAGTACCTTGCTAAGTTTCCCAACCTGAGGGACCTTGAGCTGGCCACCTTCCGATTCTCAGACGGTATGATTCTGAAGCTTTTCTTTATTCTTTACCTGAAATAAAAATGTACACACAGAGGACATTAGAGTGCTGAGTACGAGCTGCCCCAACCTCAGGAGTATCACTTTGACAAGGAATCCTGACCTGACCGAGCAAGGACTGCATTTGCTTCAAAATTTGCCCCTGCTGAAGAAAATTATCTTCGGTGGTGATTCAAACATGCTTTTAACGTTGGGAGAGCCGAATTTGCTAGAAAATGCTGCCTGCCATCAAAAAGCATTCGAATTGCTGCCAAACCTCAAATCCATCCTCGTGTGGGACGATACCAGGGGCGGTTAGTAAATATGCATTTTTGTTGTTCTGATTTTAGCTACATTTATTAATTAATTTGGTTAAAAAATTTCCACTCACTTCTTATGGACTTGGAAGATTGAACATATGATTATGTAAAATCTTAAATTATTCACTTCAAAATCACTCCAATAACAAAAAATGTTTCCGTTATTTAAATTATGTTCAGAATTACAAAAGTTGACTTTCCATTTTTGGACCTTTTATTGATTGCATTCAATTAATTTTACAGGTGATCCTGATTCACCTTACTTGCCAGACTTGTTCTTCCCTAAGAATCCTCCACAGCCATTCATGTTGCAGGAGGCGTCAGATATCCATGTTTTACATGCTCAAAAGTAAGTATTTTATAACTTTTCTCATTTAAAAATTTATAATTTTTTTACCACCAGCATTACGAATCACTTTCCTGAACTGACGAAGGTGTACTACAGAGAGCACCTGCCCCTGGAGCGCCTGCCGCGGTTGCGAACGCTGGATGGGCTGCAGTTCCCCGAGGACTACCCGGTCCTGCAACTGTTTGGCTCCAAACTTGTTGAGATTATTGTTGATGTTTCTAGCGGTGGACTCGTTGATTTGGGTCACATTCTGGTTTCGTGCCCCAACCTGGAGAAGCTGCACCTGCGCGCTTGCTTTTTGCAAGAGGAGCAGCAGCACCCTGTCGACCCTGCCAGATTGAAGCTGAAGGATCTGCAGCTGGTAGCAGATCCCATCGAAGACAACCCTGAAGAACCTCGCATGATCTTCTGGGATCTGTTGCTGGCGCCGAACCTCCAGAAAGTCTGCCTTCTCTGCTTCCTCTTCACCGAGCCAAAGGCCCTCCTCGACTCGGCTTTGCCCTTCCTGCAACAACTGACCTACATCGAGACCAGTTTTGAGTTCAAGTGGCCCACCGAGGATACCAAAGATGAAGAGTTTCCGCAAGTCCTGGACGTGCACAACGAGCTGCTCTCGGGGCTCATCAGAAACTGCCCTAAATTGGAAACAATTAAATGTGACATTGGTCTGCCAAGATTGTTTAGAACAACAGATCAAGATGGTCGAGTTCTTTATTTACCTACAGAAAATCACACATTGATTTTGGCAGATGTGTCTCCGGAATGGCGCAGAATCCCCAAGCAAATGGAAGATGTGGAAGATGATTAGAGAGCCATTTTTCTGAAGCTTGAATAACATTTGTAATTTATTTTCCAATGTCTTCGATGCCATTTTACATACAAAAAGTCAATTCTAGTATTTGCAAAAGCTCAAAATAATGAAAACTAAGGCTAATTTTAAAACAAAATGATTGACTGATTATGCTAGTTCGTGTCTTTGCACCATGTGCGCTTATCAAATGGTCTGAATTGCTCCTTAAAAGAGTACAAGTTTTAACATTGAAAGTTCTTTAAATGCATTCATTTAAGCAATTAAGATTAAAGTCATATTTGCGAGTGTCCAGTCATTGAGTTTACAAAAATATAATTTTGAACGTAAACGAAAAATGTATTGCTCATTATTTAAGTCTCCATGCTAGCCATTTATGAGAGGTGGACTGAAAGTTTTACAAGTGAAATGAATTAATAAACACAAATTACTATTAACAAATTTAATTTCTGGTTTGTTTTATTAATGCTGCAATCTCTAGCATAAAACCTTCTTCCAATTTTATATTATCATTTCATTAAAGCAGCCAAGTGTGATATCCGCAGTGATGTTCTTGCGTTTTCATTTAATCTTAAAAATCATTTAAATAACAAGAAAAAAGTTTGATTTCTGTGTGAACATGGTTTCAAAGTATTTTAATAACCGAAAATTCTTTTTATGCAAAATTCAGGAAATATCCCCCAGTGGGAATCGAACCCACAACCACCATGGCAACAGGCTTACAGAGGCAAGTGCTTCTGGCGCCAAAAGTCAAATCAAAAAGGGGCGTGGCCGCTTAAAACTTTGTAAACAAACACAATTCAAACATAATCTTCTAAATTTACTCAAATTTCACCGCAAATTTCAGAATTTTCCGGTATTCCAAACCTTTTATTACTGTCTCGGTTTGTTAATTTGCTGATTTGTTCCTTAATTTGGATTATTTTCGATAATTCTTCCAGGTGAAATGGAAAATCCACCAACCAGCGTCTCGACAACAGATCAAGAAACGAAAGTCAGAATCGAGGAAAATGACAGTGGTAGAGATGAACCGTCCGAGCTGGACTTCAAGAGGCCCGTTTTCACTTTGCCGTCGAAGAAAAAACCCGGTCCGAGCGCCCTGAAAGCAGCGGACATTCCTGTGAAGCCTCCGGAGCCTCCTCCGCAGAAGGAAAATTCCTCTTCTGCAGCCCCCAAGGAAAATAAATTGCCTCCACTTCCATACTCGGAACCGTCTTGGGGTGGCACGGTTGCCCCTGAAGAATACAGTTTGGAGGTTTTATTCGTGCAAATTTTTGTTTGAATTCTGTCTTTAAGTTTGTTTTGGTTTCAGGTTTTGAAAAACGGGAGCATCGTGGAGAGGATCGCCCTGGACACGCGGCCCTTCTACGTTTTCGGCCGCCTCTCGAACTGCGACGTCCAGATGAACCACCCGTCCACCTCGAGGTTCCACGCCGTTCTGCAGTACCGGTCTGAGGCTGAAGGGGAAAATCCCAGTGGCTTTTACTTGTTCGACTTGAAAAGCACCCACGGCACTTTCATCAACAAGCAAAAGCTCAAGCCTGAGGTTTTTGCGCCTGTCAGGGTCGGCCACATGATTCAAATCGGGGGCAGCACCAGAATGCTCATTCTTCAGGTACTTATTCTTTCCTCAAATTACAAGGAAATTAACGGGAATTAGTTCTTTTCATTGCTATTCAAATTTTAGTCCAAGTCCTTTGATACAAACTTAAATTGAATTTAAATTTTCCAAATTGCTTTACTTTTTGAAATTGAGTAAATTTTTTACCAAATATTGTCTTCATTTTCAGGAAAATTATTAAAATTTACTAATTAAACATATCGTAAATTAATTCATACTCTTGAACTTTTAATTTGCCATCTTCTTTAAATTTGAATTTAGTGAAAAATGTTAAACAAGATCTCAATTTTGATTTTAAATTTTGAACAGGGACCTGACGAGGATGCAGAGCCCGAGTCTCAGTTCACGGTGACGGAACTCGTGCAGCAGAAAAGGGAAAAGGAGGTGGAAAAGAAGCGGCTCGAGCTTTTGCGAGTGGCCGAGGAAAAGGCGCTCGAGGAGAAAAAAAGGGTCGAGGAAGAAAACGCCGGCATCGACTGGGGCATGGGTGCGGTTTTTTCACTTAAAAATTCAGGAATGTCCAAATTGACTTGCAATTTCAACAGGTGAGGACGCGGACGAAGAGACGGACCTGACGGAGAACCCGTACGCGAGCACGACCAACGAGGAATTGTATTTGACAGACCCGAAGAAGAGTCTGCGGGGCTGGTTCGAGCGGGAGGGCGAGGAGTTGGTGTACGACTGCCAGGAAAAAACCAACGGCCAGTTTGTGTGCAGGGTCGTGCTGCCGGTGGACGACGCCGGCGGCCGGCCGCTGGTGGCCGAGGCCCTCGTCAGGGGCAAGAAGAAGGAGGCCGTCGTCCAGTGCGCCCTCGAGGCCTGCAGACTCCTCGACAGGCAGGGCCTCTTCCGCAAAGCCACTCACGGTACTCATTCCAGGCCAATCAACATTTTCAGACACTCTTGTCACTTCCCCTGAAGAGTTTTTGATTTAATTCTGTTTTAAATTATCCTCAGGAGGAGTAAATTCATAATTATGATCTTTATTAGTCAAATTGTTTTATTATTTTGCGTATTAAAAAATTGTGGAATTGCAGAGGCAAGAGGAAAAAAGAAGAAAGACTGGGACGAGGAAGGAGACAGCGACGATGACACTTTCCTGGACAGAACTGGCGCTGTCGAAATGAGGCGTCAGAGGAAAATTGAAGGGAAATCTTCGCAAAGAGCTCAGACTTACGATTCGCTGGTAAATTTGCTAATAATTAATCAAAAACTCCATTTAGATTAAATTAATTTTGTATAATTCCAGGTTGAAGAGTTGGAAAAAGTGAGGGAAAACATTAAAAAAGTGCAAGCCGAGTTGGACGAAAGAGAAAAATCGAGCAGCAAATTGGATGCTTCTCAAAAAGGGGAGCAGGACGAGCTGGACGCCTTCATGTCAACCCTGAGCAAGGACTCGACCCAGGACAAAATTAAAAGAAGGGCGGCGAAGGTTAGATTATTTGTAATTATGTCGGGAATTTAATTAATCATCCAATTTTAGACTCAGCTTATGAAACTGCAGCAAGACGAGAAGCGTCTCGTGAAACTTGCCAACATAGCTCGACCAGCGTCCCTGCCAGAACTCAAAGTGCAGACCTTGGAGGAGGTGAAAAAGGAAACCTTTGTCGGAGCCAGGCCGGTTGCGAAGCCGAAAGAAAATTTAGCCTCGGTGAGTTCACTAATAAAAGAAATCTTGTGAAATAAAAATATCAATTTCAGACAAGTTCTGCTGTTTGTGTTCCGTTGGAAGAAAGTTTTGAAGAGGAGGAAGAAGACGATGCGGAGGAAAAACAGAGTCCTGAGCCAGTTGAACCACAAACGGAATTGGAATGTACGAAGAGAAAATTAGGTCCTTCGTTCCCTCCGGAGATTTTGGCCAAATTGTACGAAGACCCTGTTCTGGACGACGAGGACGAAGACGAAGACGGGGAGTTCAAAGGGCCGAAGAGACAAAGGGTCAGGAGCAGACACAGCAAGGTGAAATTTCAATCGAATTTTGTTTATTTTTCTAAAGATTGATTAATTTCAGAATGCGGAGAAGAGCAAAAGCAAAACGCACTACGATGACGAGAGTGGGGACTATTCGACGTGGGTGCCGCCTTCGGACCAGAAGGGCGACGGGAGGACAAAACTGAATGATAAATTGGGATATTGAATGGTCAATAAAAAGTCAAACAGGCAAAATCAAAAACGATAATTGTTAATTGAAACTTTACCTTAATTAGAAGTTTTTAATTTATTTTAGCTATTTTAATTAAAACATTGTTATGAATAATTTTTAAATAACATAAATTTGTTTGTTGGGTCTTGAATGGTAGCTTTTGAAGCGGCAACACTTGATTATTTAGGCGGTTGCCTGCTTTTATTCTCTGTTTTTGACGAGAGTCGCTCTGGCCGGAGCAAGAAATGTAATTGCCAGCGAGAGTCTCGATCTCTTCTCACTGCTCTAATATGTTTTATTCTCTTTGTCACGGAAATGAACACTCGAAAGAGCTTTTTCTCTACTTTTCATGGCAACAGAGCTTTTTCTTGCCAACGTTTTATCTTTGCACATCCCTTTTCTGCGCCGCTGCTGCTTTTATTAAGGGACAGAGACGCACACAAAGGAGGAGATACTGCGCCGCGCGCCACTTTTATTCTGCAACATCAGTGCCAAAATCCACTCAGCGCGCAGCTAAAAAGCTCTCTTTCTTCGCAACCCTTTTATGAAATTAATTAATCATTCCGCAGCTGATTTATGCGCTCCTTTGTTTTCCTCCTTAAAATATGAATTAAGAGACTTCTTGTTGTGTTTTTTTGTTCAAAATATGTATAATAGCGCCGGGCCTTTGACAAAAGTCTCTCATGGCGCCGCTCTTGGAAAGTTCAAAGCGAAAAAGGTGCGCTTGAAATGTAGAAACAAAAAATTTGTGACTTTACGGCGATCAAGGTTTTACTGGAAAGTGTAAATTAGTAATAAAAGTTGCTTGAAATTTATTTCTGCTCAAATGTTAACTTCTTGGACCAAATTAATTGGCACCAAATTTCAAACTCCTGATTTTTCATGCCTTCTGATCCAAAAAAAGAAACAATTCAAACCTCAATTCGACACAATATTATTGAATTTAAAAACAAAGCAAGTACTTTCAACGGTTTTGATTAATTCAGAGCAATTCTTATTTGAAAAAGTCGATGAGGCACTTTTCCGCGTTAATTAGCTCTCAACCTTTGGATAATAAAAACTTGGCTCGATCAAATTAGCAAACAATGCGCGCGTTCTAACGACACATCCGCGCACTCTCTCTGCTTTTCTGAAAAGGAGAATAAAAAAGCCCGTGCCGTAATTTTAATTGCGGCAGCAAAAAAGCTTTTTTCGCGGGCGCGCAAAAAAGAGAAAAGCCATTAGCGCCGCGTTTTGGGCCGGCGCATCGAAAGAGAGAGACAAAGGAGCAGCTAAGCTTCCTTCCTTTCGTCGCCGCACAAAAGAGCCGATTCTCTCCCATATCTTGTGCACAACACTTTTTGCTAATGCAAATGACCAAGCGTGCGGTCATTTCCCAGCAGACGCAGGAAGAAATTAACTGCAAAGGAAACCCCTTCGTACTTTCCTCCGCTCATTAACAGTTTTAGCCGCAAGAGTTATAGTTCCAAAGTGGACATTACAAACTTCTTTAAACTCTTTCATTTGCATAATGATGTACATTTGCATCCCAAAAGACTTGGAAAATACTTTGCATGCATAAAAAAACTATAGGAAAATTAAAATTAACAACAATTTTCTTTTATTTTAGTTTTGACTTATTCAATCTGGCTTTTAAAGTTGAAAGAAAAGAATTTTAACTATTTTATGTGTAATTAATTAATGGTTTTAAAATTGTTTATCTAAATTATTTTATACCAAAAGGGCTAGAAAAAGTTAATTAAATAATTGGAAATTTTGACACATTTTTTTTCCTATAAAACATTTTCTTGATCAATGATCGACGCAGGCATAAAGTTGTTTGTTTCGATGAAAAATTGCAACTTTTCCTGTTCAAGTGTTTTTCAATTTAAAAGGAAACGATTATTTCTGTGTAGAAATCGCGTCGATTAACTTTGTATTGAGCGCTGCAGGTGAGAGTGAATTTCACAGCTTTGCGGGAATATATCGCGTTGACAATAATTAAGGGCGGCATCTGGCCGCGTTCCCAAAGCACCCCCGCCGGGCCTGATTGCTTTCTTTCGCGGGGCTGACCACAAAATCAGCCATAACGTTGATTAATCACTCGACGCAACCTGCAAAGCACACCCCCTTTTACCCACCGTTTTCCACGAAAAATAGAGAGCTCAAAAAATCGCGCGATTGATTCTGCTGCGCGGCACACACACGCCTCATACTGAAAAGCACTAATTGTACTACAAAATAATCAAAAAATAAATAAAAAATAGTTTTGATCGAATTCTAAAGCGACGTGATTCAGACCTAAACCCTTTTCTTTATACACAAGAAATTCTCAGAAGGGTACAATTTTCTTAGAAATACTTTACATAATAATTTCTCTAAAGAAAAAAGAAATAATAATAATCATAGAGTTAATTTTAATTTGTATTAACAAGGTTTTCAAATATCTTATCACAAAAATAGTTAATAAAATTTCCAGCAAAATATATCAAAATTAACATTATTTTCCCAACAAGGCACTTCCATGAGAGCCTTTGAAGGAATTTCATTTAGCAAACCAAGCATTTTTTTTATCACATTTGAGAGGTTTTCACCAAAAAGTTAGGAACCCAAAAAATTTGTTTCAATTTAAAACGTGTATAATTCTGCAACCACAAGTGCTAGAGTAAACAAATTTTTATCTCTAAACTCAATTTTCTATGCCGAACAACTTTGCTGCGGATACCAAAGCTGTAGGTCAAAGGTCAAGGTCACTTTTAAGCAAATTTCTGATTTTTTTTTACGAAGGTCAAATATTTGTCAGTTTTTATTGGTTTTTTAGCTCTAGCTCTTGTGGAAAACATTTTAGAGAAAAATGTTCCAAACAAAACTTGTAGGAAATTTAATAGTGCACATTTTTTGTATTCAACATTTTCTTGTAAATCCAAATCAGCAAAAGTTATTCTTCTCTAAAATGCTTTTCACAGGAGCTATAGCTAAAAAACCAATAAAAAATGACAATTTTTTTTACCTTTGTTCAGACAATCAAAAAGTTTGGCGCAAAAATAGTCATATTGTATAAGACTTGATAAGTTTTTGGAAAAAGCCAATGAAATTTCCTATCGAATGGCGTTGGTCTCATGTCTGTACAAGAAATAGAAAAATTACTAAAAAATTTAAAAAATAAGCTAATTTTCAAAGGTATTTTTTTTAAATGTCCCGAAAAAACGGGAATGTCGAAATTTCAGTAACCTTTTTAAAATCACTCACGTAAAACAAATTCCTCCAAAGGTCCTAAATGTTATCCTCATGCATGGAAAATGCCCAAAAATATCTGATACTTCAAATAAAACGGGAAAATTGGTTAAAATATGTTTTTTCTTTCTTTATTTTTGGTGCTCTTTTGTGGAAAAATGGTTTGAATAATTAATAAGCGTCGGAGGGCGATCTAATTGGTACTGTGTGGCACCTTTTCGCTGCGAAACGATAAATAAAATATTTATAAATATTCAGGCGCGCGTTTTCATTGTCGACGCGCTGATGATTTTTCCGTAGAAAAGCAGCTGCCGAAATTCACATTGTGTACAAAAAGCCGGCCCGTAATTTATCTTTTTGCGACCTTTAGTATCATTACACGACGAATTTTCGCACCCCTTTATATGTCGCTAAAGAGAGCTCCCCCTACCCCTCTCTCTCTCTCTCTCTCTCTCTCTCTCTCAACGCGTCGAATAAGCTAATTTACATATAATTTGTCTCTCTCTCTGCGCGCACAAAAGAATAATATTTGGTTTCCTTTGAAGCGATCTTGCTGCACGAAAATCTCATTATTATTTAATTTGCAACTCAAATTTTAATTAAAACACGCGCGTCCTTTGCGACTTCGATTCGGAAACATAACCAGCAGGGCAATTAAAACTTTTATGTTCCTCCGCATTGCAGAGAGACAGAAGGGATTGGCCTTTTAGATATATTTTGTAACTCAAAACCGAGAGAGCTTTTGATATATACTTGTTTAATTCAATGTTGTTGAAACGAAACTTGAAGAGTATCGCGGCAGATGGCCAATTTGTCGCCGCAATTGTGTGAATAACAATCGCGATTTTACATTAAGATAGCATTTTTGGACAAAGACACTCCGAGAGATTGTTATCTTTGCGATGCTCTTTTCCTCTCTCCACCCCATTAGGCAATTTTATACTGCAGGTGTTTTTTTTTAAGAAGTATTTTTTTTATTTTTTAGAGAACAATCGACACGTTCCATCTGTTTGGTTAAAGTCATTTATTTTTTCTGGCCGCCATCACAGGCAATTACCAGGTTTTTAGGAAATTCGAAGGAGAAAGTATAGAACGCAATCGAAAACGAGATTTTATCAATTCTATGTAATTATAATTTATAATGAGGCCGAACTAATTGGGAATAATTGCGGCAGAGATGAGCGCACAGTTAGTTATTTTTAGACAAAACTATCTCAATAAATCTAAACGTGAAATGAAAATGCTTCGTTTTTTTCAAAATGTTGAAATTTCATTTAGGTACACTGTAATTTGTTCAAAACACTAATAATTTTGCCCATTGCCAATAAATAGCACATAAATTGAGGGCGATCCAAAAGCCTAACCTGGCCCAGGCTAACTTGACTTAGCCCACCAGCAAAATTGAATGGCGGGATAAATTAGCCTGGGCCAAGTTAGTCTTTTGGATCGCCCTCATTATGTTTTATATAATTAAAATTTACAAATTAATTTTTAAAATTAAATAAATAATTCACTTTATTGATTAAAAATATTGAAATAACGCAATATTAACAATTAAAAAAAATTGAAATTACCTAATTTGACTGTTTGATTAATTTATTAAAATGATCCGCACAAATTTTGGAATTTTCACACCTTTTTGTAGGATTTGGTTTTATCAATATTTAATAAATGGAGGCCGCTTTTGTAATTAATAAATTTATGTTTCCAATGAATTAAAAGTCTTCAAAAGGAATAATAAATAAGGCAATTTTTTGCATTTGACATGTTGAAAGTTTCAAGTCTCGGCCAGGCCGTATGAATGT